TAATTTCAACATCTGGATATTCTCAGGTTGACTATAGCGAATGCTTTTCCCCTTGAGTCACTTTTTCCTATTCATATCTTATAAATTATTATAGTATAATGGATTTTTAATGATATTTTATAGAGATTTTAGATTCTGCTGTGTTCCTTTGAAGAGTGTTGCTATATGTTACTAATGAGCGATAAACTTTGCTGAACTAAAGCTATAAACTTTTCTCCTCTAGAGTGGCAACTGACATAAACTCTATACACAGTTCTTTTAACTTCTAACTGCTGTTTTTTTCTGGGTCCCCTGAACTCTACCTAATTTATATACAGTTCAGCAGTCAAATTAGGATTTGAGTAGAATTTATACATAGATATTGGCACTCTGTCTCCCTCACACCTGGATGTCTCCCTAATACGTACACATGCAATGAGTAAATAAGTTGGTTTCTTCATATATCATTTAGCAAAATTAACTGGGAATTAAGTTTTATTATCTGTACAAATTATCTAATAGAAAATTACATACAAAGATACTATTAAACTTTCTCTTCTACCTATAAAGATTTCTGGACAGGTTACACCTGGATGGTGACATCATAATAAAAATTTCATGTTCAAGAAATGAATAGATCTCTACTCATAAATAAAACAATTATATGGAGTATAAAATATTAAATAGTAAAAACAACAGTGCTTCAAAATTGATTGATTTAAAAGTTTATCAATCAGAATTTTTAGATGTTGGTATATAAACTAGTATTCCTTGAATATTCCCTTTGTATCCCTTTAAAAGTCATAAGACTCACTCATATTGGCATATTATTTTAAAACATACTTAAATGTTATTGAGGCAATTTTGTTTTGTTAGATCCGTATCTCCAGTAGAATTGAAAACAGTTAAGAATCAAAGTGCTAAACAAGTCACTGAGATTTTATGTGTTCCAACTGTCTAAGAGGGAAATGTATATTTTGACTGGTAAAAACAGTTACATAAGTCTAACTATAACTTTAGTTGCAAGATATATTAGGGAAACATATTAGGAGCTATACAAATGCTTCTCCTAGAGAGAAGGAGAAAATTGTTGGTGGGTATAGGGTAAAGTTTATCTTTCTTTAACAGCAGGTCCATATGAAAAGGTACAAGTTTCTCCAAGGGAAGAGACAGGAAGAGGATGCAGACTAGTTCCTTCTGATATGCTATGAAGTTGCAAAGTTTACCAAGCAGTGTGTACATAGTAGCAAAATCTCAGAAGGAACCACTTTGACCTAGGGAAATGCTTTTGAAATATTCTGCCATCAGCGCATTTGTTTATTCCCTAGAGTTTCCTTTCCAAAAATATAAATAAAAACTATTGCTGACAGATTCCTTGCTGTTTTACTAAGCAGTACACCAGTTTCTCAAACTCTTTTATTTTCTTATTGTCTCCCTTAGGAGGCTTTTGTAGACCATTTTTTTTTTTCCCCAATTGCCTCCCTCCCATGAAGTTTTTATATTACAGCTTTAATGTGTGTCTATGTACATTGACCCTTTGGAAGATCATGAATCATAATATCTAAGAATTTTACCCTCCCCAAGAAGTAATTTTACCACCTTAAGAAACAGAGCACACTAAGAAAATCTGATAGCTTCTAATATATAGCCCCAAGGACAATAAAGGGAGGCATTTCACAAAAGGTAAATGTAAAATTCACTCTCTGAATGTTTAAATAAGAATATTATATAAACCTCTTATCATGATTTCTAGATACAAAAAATTTCTTGTGGGGATGTTGTTAGGAAAGAGGAAAAATAATTTATATGCTTGGTTTAAATTAATTCTTAGAAATAATTGAGTAAATGAAATTAATTGTAGGGATCAGACAATTTAAACCTTAATAAGGAAATTTTTCAGTAAGATATAGATCATAGTAATAAACTGAAATTTCAGCTCCACTAAAGCCAGTTTTCATTCTTTATCAACTCTACAACTCTGCGGAAAACATAGTGTTTAAAAGGAAACGTAAACCCAAAGTATAAAAGTCTGAAAGGAATATAAAGTCCTGATTATTGAATTCACTTGCCTTTAAAGAATATGTTTTTTGACATTTATGAAAAGATGCCCTAAAAGAGGCAAAACTTGTTGAATTAATACTGATCTTAGACAAATTAAAAACTTAAACAGGGGGCTCCCTGATGGCACAAGGGGTTAAGATACAGCCTATGAAGCTATACACAGTCACTGCAGCAAGAGTTCGAGCCCCCACCAGGGGGCTACCCACATGGCTCAGCAGACCTCTCCTGACTTGCCCGCTGTTCCCCTCAGCAGTGTCTTTCAGTCAATCTGCCTGTTCTGTTCCCCACTCTGTCTCTGGTGAATCCTCTCACCATCACCCCCACTTCTGGCCTTTACCCTAGTTCTTTTATGCATAAATAAATCAATCTGTAAAAAAAAAAATAAAAAGTTAAACACAAAACAGAAGTTTCCTAGATGGGCTAATTAAAGTTTTTTCGCGCATATATATATATTTTTAAAAAATGTAAAAGTCCCCAGTCTTATATATCTACAAGAATTGAAAATAGGATCTTAAAAAAAGATAATTGTATACTCATATGTACTGCAGCATTATTCACAATAGCTGAAAAGGAAAAACAACCTAAATGTCCACCAACAAATAAATTATCATATGTAAATAAAATGGAATATTATTCAGTATTAACAAAGGAAACCTGGTCCTTTTATGACACAGATGAACTCTGAAAACAATATAAGTGAAATAAACCATTCACAAAAAGACAAATATTACATGATTCCATTTATAAGACATATCTGAAGTACTCAGACTCACAAAAACAGAAAGTAGGATGCAGTTACCAAAGACTTAGTGACATGACATAGGGAGCTGTTGTTCAGTGGGGTATACATTTTAGTTTTGTAAGATGAAAGTTACAGAGATCTGTTGCACAACAACGTGCATTTAATGAACATTACTATACTATACACTAAAAAATAAGATGGTAAATTTTATGTTGTTTTTTAATCACAATTTAAAAATACTCATAATCAGGGTCTCCCTGGTGGTGCAAGGGGTTAAGCACAGCACTACGAAGCTATCCATAGCCACTGCAACGAGTTCGACCCTGGCCAGGAAGGTGACCCACGTGGTACAGCAGACCTCTCCTGTCTCATCTGCTGCTCCCCTCAATAGTGTATTTCAGTGGCCGCCTGTTCTGCTCCCCTGTCTGTCTCTGGTGAATCTTCTCACTCCCCGCACCTCTGGCCTATACCCCAGTTCTTAGATGCATAAATAAAATATAAATCTTAAAAAAAATAAAAATACTCATCATCAAACCAATAATAGGTTTATAAATCAAATTAACAATATATCTCCCTTAGTTGCTTGGCATATAATTCAGGTAGACAGGTAAAACTATGAAAACAAACTTAAAAAATCTGGGCAGACAAATATGCTTAAATACATAGAATGAAAATTATCCACCTATATCATAATTTAAATCCAATTGTATATTAATAGCATACTCTATGAATTTATGAGGTTATAACGCTTACCAAAAACTTCCAGGCAGTTGTTCTAGAATGCAGAGATTCTCTGGATTTTAGCAAATTATATATAATATATAGTGCATATATTGTTTATTACAAATCCCTAGAGCAATGTCTGAAGCAGCACTTCTCATCAGTACATTAATATTTCTACAGAAATCATATGAACAGTCGTACTAAGTGGGATTATTAAAAACTTTAAATAACCTCCTGTCATTTCAGGTCAGACTAGGTTTTACTGCCAAGGGCTTGTTTACATTTCAGGATTCCAGATAAAGTATTGTAGATTCATTATATTATTTCAAGAATCCCGCACCATTTTAAGGTTAGCAAACATTAAATCTTCATTCTCCATGATTTTCTAACTCCCAGAGTAATTCCAAGTAGATAGCTAATTCCTTTTTTATATACTTTCTTTTTTTTTTTTAAGATTTATTTTTTTATTTATACAAGAACTGGGGTACAGGCCAGATGTGCAGGAGGGTGCGAGGATTCACCAGAGACAGAGCGGGGAACAGAACAGGCAGACTGACGAAATACACTGCTGAGGGGCGCGACAGGAGAGGTCTGCCGCGCCACGTGGGATTCTCACCTGTCGGCCGGGACCAAACCATCACTGCAGAGGCTGCAGACAGCTTCACAGCACAGCACTCAACTGCCTGTGCCACCAGGGGAGGCCCTAGATAGCTAATTCTTAACAGCTAATTCAAAGTCACCACACATCAGCATAAAGAACACCCATAATTAGAATCCATCAGCACAAAAATCAAAGGTTCCATAGAAAATTTTACATGACTTTATCCTAGGTTGCTGAAGTTTGATTTTGTATGTTTGCTTCTAATCTTTATGTGCACTACCAAATGGCAACCATTAGTGACCTACGACTTTAGAACACTTGAATGTGTCTAGTCCAAATTGAGAATGGTTGTAAGCGTAAAATATGTCACTAATTATTTTATTTTAATTATATCTTGAGATATTATTTTCGATATTATTATTTCGGGCCAAACAATATATTGAATTTCAACTGTTTTTTTTTTTTTTGTCTTTTTTTAAAACATGTCTCTTAGAAAATTATGTGGCTGGCATTATCTTTCCATTGGGCAGTTCTGCTCTAATAACATACTAGTCATCATGCCTGAGACTAATTATGAATAGCGCTACCTTCTCTGAGGCATCTCTCCTAATTTCCCAAGATTAGGGTAGATATGAGCCCTCCATAATTTCAATTACCCTTTATGCTTTTATTACAGCACTTCCATTGTATTTTACTTGTTTATCATTCCACCAGGCTGAAAGTTCCTTGAGAAAAAAAGCTGAATGTAGTTTTTAAGTCTCTGTTTACTGAAGCTATAGCACAGGCATGGAACAAGCAATAGAAAAAGCACACAGAATTATTTCAATCAATCTTAAAAATTCTAATTTAGAATAGGAAAAAAAAAGGCTATTGAAACCTCAGTTGTTTCCTCACCAGATGTCAAATTCCTAGCTGTACTTTGTGATTTCTGCATTTCAGTAGATTTAAAGTTGAGGTCATCCTGCATCATTTTCAGCTCCTGATTGGTGATAGAGGATATCTGTTTCATGCGATTTAAATTCTGTATTTGTATAAAATAAAAATGGAAAAAAATTCCATGAATTTGACTCTCCAATAAAACTTTTGTAATACACTGTTAAAGGATGGGAAGCTTTGAATAGGTATTCTTATTTTGAAATATGTCATTCATTGTAGGATACAGTGAGATTCAAAGTTAGGTTTTCTCAAAAGGAGAGGTTAAATTAAAATTCAGAACTTTTTTTTTAATTTGCTTTTATTTCACCATAGAAAAAAATCAACTACATTATTTTTAGTAATGACTGGAGTCTTAAAACTCGTTGAGTATTGAAAGGATATCTAGTTTTTTTGTTTTTTTTTTTTACATACAGTACACCAAATATTAGTAGCTCAAAAAATAATATTTGGTGAATCAAGACACTTATTAGTTATTTATCCTCTACTCTTACAGATTCTTACAAGAATCTCCTTCATGTACAAATTACAGGGTGAAAGTATGTTAACATTTTTCTAATATAACATATGTATTTTGAAGTTATCTGTGCAGATGTTACTACTATCAGTTTAGTTTAATAATGGAATAAAATTTTAATTGAAAAAACTGTGAAAAAATTCCTCATTTAGTGCTGAATATTGTTATTCTATTGCTCATCCTTTTCCTAATTGTCCTAATTAGCTGAATTTTGCTGAAAGATAAAAATAAATAGCTTAAACAAAATAAGGAAAGGAATTTAAAGGAAAAACATTAAATGAGCAGACACAATAGGGAATCATATTTTCAAAGTTTTGTTTATAAAGGTAATCACAGTAAAAATAATAAGAAACCCACCCCCTTCCCAGGACAGACACATGGTTCTTACTCGACTACAATGCTCCAAAAGTGAAACAATGCTGGCTTCTATCTGTGCCTTCCTTTCCAGTTCCTGATTCTTAGTTTCCTCAAAAGTCTCAATAAAAGCTGCAAATTGAAAAATATAATGAGAGACTATTGTTGATAAAGTTAATACCACACAAACTCTGATTCTTAGGGTTTAAAGATACTTTTTAGAAAATTAAAGTGAAATTTAAACTACCACTGCTTTTTATTAATATGAGAGAATTATTCAATAAATACATTTCCATTCTTTGAAATTTTGCAGCCTATAATGACCTAAACATAAGTAAACTTAAATTTTGTAAGTATGGGCTCAGAAGTAACAGTTGTTAAAATGGAAATTAAAAAAATAAGAATGTATTTTACACAGTACCTCCTTGATATATCTATAAATATTAGTATCTATAATTAGCCAAGCTTCTGTAAATATTACTAAGTAGCTATTTTATCTAAAAATGAGTATTTTACTTATAATACTTCTTCAGTCTCAACTAAATTAGTTTATTTATTCATATTATAAAAAGATATTCGAAGAAGTCATTCTTTTTCTTGTTCAATATAGAACTCAGCACATACATTGCTCTTATTTACATTCTTAAAAGTATTTCCATGGATTTTCCAAAAATAAAAACTCACAGTTAAGTATAATTAAACCATTAGCGTGGAACAATTAACTGATAACCTTTAGTACTTGTTTCTATGGAGGATAACAATTAACACCAGACCTAAGAAACTTCAGATTCTAATGAAATGACATTTAAGAAGGAAACCAGTAGTAGATAATATTTGTCAATTTTGAAAGATTTCTAAATGTACAACATATGAAGTAAAGATCTATCTACAAAATCAAGTTAAGATTTTTTTAAAAAGTGATTGTGAAGCTGCAACCTTCGGAAGCTACTAAAGTACAGTTAGTGATAGAACCAAGTAACAGGATGGGATATAGTAGTAAGTACTATGAAAAGCTAAAAAGGGGGGGAAGATACTTAAGGTGAACACAGTGAAGCATCTCAATGAGAACATTCAATCAATAACTGTTGTACAGACATTCTACTCAGACTATGAACATAAATACAAACATACAAACACTAATATGCACATACACATATACAAGACATTTTTACAGTTCTCTACACATCCCTAAACTATGATGGCTACTCAGTAATTCTTCAAGGCAAATGCTTTGAATGTCCACACTTAGCATTTATTGTTAGCCATACACCTTCCCTACATGAGATCTCTGATTTGGTATAAATGAACAGTTTATATCTATGATTACTTACTGTCCATGTTTTCCTCCCTTTTTTTCAGCTCCTTATACTTTTGATTCATTTCACCTGTAAGAGACACAAAGCATAACATTAATTTTAATAACACCAGAAATAATGCTCTAAATTAGAAATATCTCTTTGCAACTATGTATAGTGATGGACATTATAACCAGACTTATTGTGGTGATCATTTTACTTGTATACAAATATTGAGTCATTGTGTTGTATACCTGAAACTATAACAATGTCAACTTATAGCTAAATAAAAGAAAATAATAAATTAGGAATATTTCTTAGGTTCTTACATGCCATTAATCATTGAATATTCAATTATTTTAAATTAGGTAAAATTCTTGTAGTTATTGAGTCTTTTGAAAGTTCTATATATAGATATATGTACATATAGGTATATATGTGTGTATATATGTGTGCATATATATACATATATGTGTGTGTATATGTGTGTGTGTATGTGTATTTATATTTGACTATTTGGGGGGAAATTTCCTTATTGGAAAGAGGACTTAACACTTTCCAATGATTCCCTATTCAGTTCCACATAGTTAAGCTACATATGAATACTACTGGCAACGACCAACATAAGTTTCCATCAATGTTCATTCTATTCTTGAAAAGCTCAAAACAGCAATCAAGATAGTAGGGTTACTTCCTTCACAGAGTTTAAAACCTAAGGATTTAAAAAATACTTAAAATTAATGTACTAAGTGTAGTGCACGTGAGCTTTCAGGGGAAAAGGTGAGCCGATCTGACAAAAATAGTGGCTATTGTCCCTCACAGTCCCCACCCTAAAATTTTCTTTCGAGGCTGAGGGCTGCCCACTTCCAGTCAGTTCTATATGCTATGCCATACAGCCAGATAACTTTGATTCTACTCTCTTCAGTCCCTGTCTGCCCTGGTGTTGTTGCTGCTATTACAGTTGAGTCCATCTTCCAGAGCCACCAGTCAGGCATGACAAGTAATCAGAAATTGTAAAATGGATTGGCGACCAAGAGGGTGAGAGAGGAGGTTCCATACTTTACTCCTGAGACCATCATCTAACAGGTTACCACAGGGACAGTACACCCCGCGGGGCCTGTGGCTCGGGTGAAAGAGGAATATCCCATGGATTTCAGAGACCAACAGACTGCGAAATAAAAGAGTCACATTTCATTGTACATGAGGTTGCAGTCTGAGGAGGGGATGGGTATATAGACAGTAAGGCTCTTGGCTCAGGCAGGGGCCCCAGGGAGGGGAGAGCTGAATGGTGCAGAGGCACAGACCAGACTAAGTGAAACACCTGCTAAAAACTAGTGAAACTACTAAAAACAACAAAGACAGTACAGAGAACTGCCCTTCTCCCTTTCCTCACCCCTCAGGACTCAAATTGATCTCTGATGGGCATACAGTGTACAAATTGTACACTCACAGGTACATCTGGAACTTCAGAGAGAAAAGACATTCACAGAGAAAGAAACCTCTACCCCAGCACATTTGCATTCAGAGTTGAATCCCTGGAGGTTCCTCCCTACATGCTGGCTCAGCAACTGCAAAATTAGGTCTCAGTATCTACAGAAGTCAGCAAAGGTCAAAACACTAAAAGCAAATAAAATGACAGCACCATCTGCTGGAAAAGCAAAAGTAGCTCAACTCTAATTTATTGCTATAGATGTTTTTAAAAAAAAACAAACATAAATGTTAAAATACCTTTCCAGCAAAATGGGAAGACAAAAAATAAGATAAAACATGGAAACCTGAGTCCTCAAAGTAATATAATATCATAAGAGAATAATTCCCTAGAATCCAACTATAAAAACAAGGAATATTAACTTCAAAATTGCTCTAGGGGCCTCCCTGGTGGCGCAGGGGTTAAAGACAGCACTATCAAGCTATCGCCAGCCACTGCAGCATGAGTTCGATCCCTGGCCAGCCAAGGAGCAACACACATGGCTCAGCAGACCTCTCCTGACTCGCCTGGTGCTCCCCTCAGCAGTGTATTTCAGCAGATCTACCTGTTCTGCTCCACACTCTCTTTGGTGGATCCTCTCACCCCTCACACCTCTGGCTTACATCCCAGTTCTTGCATGCATAAATAAATAAATCTTTAAAAAAACAAAACCAAAATTGCTCTAAAAAAGAAAATAAAAATGATAGAAGAAAAAACAGAAAGGCAAATTACAGTGATAAAAGAAAACCTAACCAAAGAGATACAATAAAATTCAGAAAAGCAAATGAATGACCTAAAGAATAAAATTAATGAACAGAAATAGAAACTGAGCCTTTAATAATAACAGATTCTGAATGTAAAAGAAAAAACTCAATAGATGAAATAAAAATAATTCTAGAGAAAGCTATGGAAACAGAATAGATCAAATGGAGGATCGAATTAGTGTCCATGGTAATGCACAAAACAACCAGGTAGAAGAGACAAAGTAAAAAGAAAAAAAAGGATAAAATAAGAAATATTTCAAGAACTATCAGAACTACATAGAAGGGGAAGATACCGTGTATCTGGCCAGTACCCCGTTTCTTGTATAAATAAATAAATCTTTAAAAAAAAAAAAGAAAGAAGGGGAAGATAGAAAACAGAAAGCTTATTCAAAAAAATAGAGGAAAATGTACCAAACCTAGGGAAGGAACTATATATTCAAGTCCATGAAGCTAACATCTAAATGCAATGAGACCTACCCCAAGATATATTATTTTAAAGAAGGAATATTTAAGCTTAATTATAGGGAAAAAATGAAAAGCAAGTCCAGGTCAAAATTCAGAAAAAACATGTTCAAAATCAAAGCATTACAAACACAAATATTTGAAGTGAGAATGACTATCTCACAAGGAAATGAACAAGTGGTATTGTTGAGGTCGGGAATATGAGGTGAAAAAGAGGCATAAAGATAAAACAGGTTATAAAGGACCTTATAAGACACGTTACAAAAAATTTGGAGTTTTTCCTAAGGGTAATGGTAAAAATACTAAAGAATTTTAAAAAGGGGAATAAAACAATCCATTTGCAACTTTTGAAAGACATTTCTAATCCAGAGAAGAAAAACAAAAGACTAGAAACTGTCACAGAAATCTGGGTGAAAGATGAAGGAAGGATGCCTGCAGCACAGTGGTGGCAATTAGGAAGAAAGACAGTTTTTGTTTGAGACATTTGAGGATCAGAGTGAATGAACAGGAGCAGGTTGAAGAAGTTTTTTACAGGACTCCTAGACATGTTACACTTAATAATATGTGAAAAATTGGGGCCTCCCTGGTGGTGCAAGGGGTTAAGCATCAGCACTATGAAGCTATGCGCAGCTACTGCAACACAAGTTTGATCCCCGGCCAGGGAGGTGACCCACATGGCACAAGACCTCTCCTGTCTTGCCTCCTGCTCCCCTCAGCAGTGCATTTCAGTCAATCTGCCTGTTCTGCTCCCCACTCTGTCTCTGGTGAATCCTCTCACCCTCCCATGCCTCTGACCTGTACCCTCGCTCGTGTATGCATAAATAAATAAATCTTAAAAAAAAAATAAAAAGGGGCCTCCCCGGTGGCGCAGCGGTTGAGCGCTGGGTTGCGAAGCTGCCGGCGACCTCTGCAGCGCAGCGGTTCGATCCCCAGCTGCTCCCCGGCCACCGGAGGAGGGTCCCACATGGCGCGCAGACCTCTCCTGCCGCCCGCTGCTCCCCTCAGCAGTGTACTTCGGTCCTTCTGCCTGCTCTGCTCCCCGCTCTGGCTCTGGTGAATTCTCTCGCCCTCCCGCGCTTCTGACTGTACCCAGTGCACGTATAAACAAAACAAACAAACAAATAAATAAATAAATAAATAAATAAATAAATAAATAAATAAAAAAATAAAAAAAAATAAAAAGAAGAGGCATGAATAGCTACTACACCTGCATACTGGGAACCTCCTCCCTTCAGGATGTTTCTCTGGCTTATCTTGTTCTCAGATTACTCCTCTTTTGTCTTCTCGTCATAGCTTTCTCTCCTTTTAAATTCTGGGTTTTGTTCTTAGTTGACTTCTAATGCTACATTATGTCCAAGGAAATCCCATCCATACCTGTGGTTTAGGAACAATCCAATTTGACCTATCCCCTAATTTTCAGATTGTTTTATTCGGTTGTTCACTAGATCTATTTCTGTGACTATCTTTCAGGATATCTTAATACTCAGTATATCCATAATTAAATTCATCAGTCTTCCCCCTCAAAGTCTGCATTCCATTATGTTTCCTACTATGTTTCGTAGTCCTTCACACACACCATTTAAGTTAGAAACCTGTGAGACTCCTCCCTTCTGCTCCCCTTAAGTCCATATTCCTCGCTGCCAAATATGGAGGACATATTTCGTCAATGGCTCCAGCTGCACAGCTGAATTAGATAGAAAAGAGCTCCCACTATTTCAGCAAATTCCCAAGTTTCATAAAAACTCCTCCCGTATCACTCATGTTAAGGAGAGAGGTCAGAGCATAAGAGAACTCCTCTATTTTATGACTTCTCAGTTAGAGGATTATATCTGAGCTCCCCATGAAAGGCACTGTACACATGGAGGTCATTCTAAATAGGGTAAAATACAGGGGTTACCAAATCTATCCTTAGATTTATTGTCATAGGAGAGGACAAGCTCATAGACAGGAGGAGTTAACAAGTCTGTCACATTCAGGATGCAAAGCAGGCAAGCAAAAGGGTTTAATGTAGGAAGATCAAGAAGGGAAAGACCAAAGAAGAGGCGGAGGGCATGCTGATAAGAGGGTGATGTGGAGCTAGCCTCAAATTGTGAGAATTTAATGTGGTAAGTTCTTTATAATTTTTGAATTCCAAATTTACTGAGTGTCTGTCATATCCTAGATATTATAATAGGCACTAGTGATGTCAAAATGAACAAGACAGTTACCCTCTATCCTAGAAGGGTTTACAATCTATTAAATGTACACAAAAATTATAACAGAACAGAAATGATGTAACTGAGGTGTATATATAGATAGGTGGGTATATATACATTTTATTTAATATATACTTAATAAATATATTAAGTATGCTGATAACTAGATGGGTAAAAAGGATTCAGGAGATTTTTACACAGAAAGTACATATTGGCAAGCTACTTCAGCAAGTGGTGTAGGTCATATAGAGAAGGTATTTTCCCTCAAGAAATTTACAGTCTACTAAGTACTCAAAAATATGCACTATAAATTCAAGTCTTTTTTTTTAAACTCACAGAAGGGAAAGAAGAAATGGATATAAACTCTTAGAAAAGACCTGGGACATTTTAAAAGGGATACTGCAGCTTTTTGATGCTCTCTGCGATGGCCAGTCATTGGAGTAAGGCAGATATGCTCGTCTTGTGTTACTAAGGACTAAGTACCACCTTAACCACCTCTTCCTCATGCCAGGAAGTTTGTCTCTTTTACTTCACTGGTGTCAAATGATGTTCTCTGACTCAGAGGTTTCCTTGTGATTACCTTGCCATTTATACTCTGAGAAATTGTTCCTGAAATCATGGTCAGAAAACTGTTTTGCAAAGATAAAAACCTGTTTCACAAGGAATGGTCTAAGTCTACTCATTGTCCCCCTCTTTGTATTTATCTCCCACCCCTCCTTTTTTCACAACCTTTTACCTAACTTGTTTTTGCAAAGTCAGTAGAGCCTGGTCAGCAGAAAATGGTAAAAACAGGTTCTAGAACGTTACCCAGCAGCTCTGTTCCGGGGCATACATGTGACCCCCTAGAAGAAAGAATGCCAAATCTGCTGTGAAGCATAAGCTAAGAGCCTTCCTCCTGGATTAACATGTTGCTCAAGAAGAGCCATGAGGGGCCTCCCTGGTGGCGCAAGGGTTAAGACGCAACCTATGAAACTATCTGCACCCACTGCAGCATGAGTTCGATTCCCGACCAGGGAGCTACCCACATGGCGCAACAGACCTCTCCTGACTCGCCCGTTGCTCCCTTCAGCAGTGCGTTTCTGTCGATCTGCCTGTTCTGTTCCCTACTCTGTCTCTGGTGAATCTTCGCACCCTCCCATGCCTCTGGCCTGTACCCCAGCTCTTGTATGCATAAACAAATAAATCTTTTTTTTTTTTTTAAGTAGAGGCATGAATAGCCACTACACCTGCATACTGGAACCCCCTCCCTTCTTCCTAACCTATCCAGGTGTCTGTGCCCTCCACTCACCTTTTAAAGGTGAGAGTGAAAATCCTATAAGGGGCAGGGACACAGATTTGAATCAGTTCCCACTTCCATATGTGACTGGTCAAGTAATAATATAAAGCTTTTCCCTGCTGTAAAAACCATTGTCACAGGTTCAGCTGTCTCGGCACAACAGGCCAAGGACCCATGTTGATTCCAGTTACATTTTGACTCTGGAGAAGGTCTGATTATCACTTTCCAGAACAGGTAACTACCCCACTCTTTTCTCCTTATCAATATACAAGGCATATGTGTCAATGATTTCCCTGGCCTAATGGCCTCCAGCTCAGCAGGTCTACTGACTTATATTGGATGTTTCAGACAGCAGAAAGCAAATCGGTTGGAGGTGGGGCAAGAATAAATCTCAAAAGACTTCTGCACAGACAGACTCTGCTTTCTGCACTAGAAGCCCTTCTGAGGCAAGCTAAGTCTCCTTTGTACCTCTGAGTATTTCTTAGGTGATAAGGTTTCTGTTTCGTCACCTTTCTCTTCATTACACTTTTTGTGAGTGCCGGTTCTTGTCTCTTCTAATGTATGATGCCTACAAACTCAGGGTTCCATTTTCCAGAACAGGCTTCCATAGACTATACATCATCTCTTTGTTAATGTAATCTAGGATTACAGCTGTTGGGGGGAGGTTATTTTTCATTTAACTAATTCAAACTAGATTATCTACATCCCTGCTATTATTTTCACGTATTTCACTAAGCCAGGACACTTTCTTCTCCCCTTTTCAATTTTAATTAGTTTTGTACAGCTATTAAATTCCATTTTTTACAGTCAGTCTCTTATTTTTCACGTATCATTACAGCAGTAAATAAAATCGAGAATATTAAATATATACTACTAAACTGGTATATTGAAATGAGTACAGATAAGTTTAATGTTTTAAACTACATTTTGACTTTAGGCTTCACCCAACTTACTAATCATATATTCTCTGAAAATGTTTTAAATTTTGGCAGGAAAGTTTCTTTGTAGACATGCAGACAAGATTAGATAACTCTCTTTTTTTTTTTTTTTGTGGGACCCTCGCCAGTGGCTGGGGATCGAACTGGCGCTGCAGCACTGGGCAGCTGCACAACCCAGTGCTCAACCGCTGAGCCACCAGGGGAGGCCCAAGATTTGATAACTCTTATCTCCAGCCATTGGTGGTACTTAAAAATATACATCAATATGTATATATATGTGTATATATATATATATACACACACATACATGTATACTCACATATATATGTACACATACACACACAACAAAAAACCTCTAAATTGGTAAAAGTTAAATTATTGCTAAAAGCTCCATCATTTCTAAAGATGAGGATGACTATGTAGAAGTTTATTTCAACAGAACAATGTTGATAAATTCTGATGGTATAATTAGTAGTCTTTGGCATGTAGTAAAAAACAACAGAAGTTCTTCATTATTTCCCAAAGTGGTGATGATCAGACTTTAGCATGCATCAAAATCATCAAGAAGGTTTGCTTAAACACAAAATGCTGAGCTCTATCCCCAGGGTTTTATATTCAGTAAGTCTGGAGTGAAGTCCAAGAATTCTTGTTCCTAACAAGCTGCAGATGTTTCTGATGAGCCTGATCTAAAGATGATACCACCATTCTAATGAAAGACACAAAGTGTAACTTAACCAATCTTCCAACTGAACAATAAGCTATGACTCATTCTTCATTGCGTGTATACTGAGAAACTAGAATGCAATATACAGATATCATTTGAAATCTCAGATACCAATTTGAAATTGAATAGATTATTTTGTATATCCTGGGGAAAATATTTTCAAAAAGGTGTTTCAGGGAATCTCCAGAAAAGTTAAGTTTCAGTTTATAAATGAATAGCATCAATAAAAATTGCCAACAACTTACACTTATGAGCACCTTGACACTGTGTGCAACTCTTGGTCACATACATACACATTACATTCATCTAACTCTCAGAATAACCCTAACAAGTAGGTAGATACTGTTATTATTTCCATTTTAAAGGTGAGAAAACTGGTACATAAAGGTCAAGTAAGCCATATCCATGATCATCCAGTAAAATGTCACGTTTCAGATGTGAATCTAGGTATTCTGCTTTCAGAAACTGCTCTAAAACAAAACTCTTCTTTTTTTTAAATTCTGTTTTACCTTACACAGCCAGAATAAAAATGCCTAACTTAGGCATTGGAACCCTGAATATGAAGTATCTTACAAACCAATTAAGGTAAAATGTTGTTTCATATTTTTAATCTTTTGGAAAAAGCAAATGGATTATAAAATAAACTGTGGGGAGTTAATTCACAGTTTAAAAGTTATCAAATAATCCTACAGAATTTTATGTATGCTGCTATTATGATACATACTTATAACACTAGGAGTTAAATATTAAATTTGTGATATGATGTTTTACAATCTATTAAACCTTTGGGAAAAAACCATATTCTAAAAATAAAGGAATAATTTTTAGTGCATTATAACACTCAAAAATGTCTCTTGGAGAGGTAACAGTACTTTGTCAAGTGTAGTTTATGAGGATGACTAGAAAATTAGCGCCATCTTGTGGATCATGCTAGTAGTACAAATTCAGGCCTTAGAGGCTAGAAAACTGTCAGAAAAGTATATTCTGACTGGAAAAACTAAGAAATTTATATTAATTAGCATTAGTGAGGAATAACTTTCACATATCTCTTCTCTTGTATAAATTTTAAAAAATTTAAAAAAATACTGTGGTATTTCCAGACAAAGGACTATTTCTCAGTGAGAAAGAAAAGTATCATCAAGCCATGAAAAGACATGGAAGAAGCTTGAATGTATGCTACTCAGTGAAAGAAATCAATCTGAAAAGGATAAATACTATATGATTTCAACTATATGACAATATGGTAAGGGCAAAAACTATAGAGAACAGTAAAAAGTTCAGTGATTGCCAGGGGTTAGAGGCAAGGAAGGAATGAATAGGCAGAGCACAGAGGAATTTTAGGTCAGAGAATCTGCCGTGTATGTTAGTGTAATGACAAATACATGCCATCACACATGTGTCCAAATCCACAGAATGCACAGCATCAACAGTGAACCCTACTGTAAACTCTGGACTTAAATGATGATGTGTCCAGTGCAGGTTTATCACTAGTGTAACACATGCACCACGCTGGTGGGAGATGCTGATAATGGGGGAGGCTGTGAATGTGCAGAGGCAGAAGGCATATGGGAAATTGTTGGACTTTTCCCTCAATTTTGCTATAAAACCTAAAGCTACTCTTAAAAAATAAAGTCTTAAAAAAGTTATTTCAAGCTTATACTGCTATTATAAAATATATATCATCATAAAGAATTCATAAATCCCTGGTAAATAGTCCCCAAGGCTCTAGTTAGTACTGTACCAATAATGATATAGATCTATTAATCTACATTATAAAAATACAAAAAAATTACCTTGGTGTTCTTCTAAATCCATGTCAAGTTGTCTAATTTCTTCATTAAACTGATTAATTTTTTCCTTTATATCTGTCAATCTGTTGAAATATTATTTAATGAATTCATGACTGATAATTTAGACATTCAGTAAAAATATTTAGATAATTTTAGGAAATATTAAATCTTTTCTAAGTTGCATAAAAATATCTAGAAGTAATATGATCTATTCTGAGGCTAGTAATACAAATTTATATGAAAAAGTTTTCTAAATACTTTTTATGATTCATATTATGCATACAGTAAATTCTAAGAATGTTAAGTTGTCTACTTTTTCAGCAGGCCATTCCCCAGACATTAAGCCGGACTTGTGATGTTAAGTGAAAATTTTTAGCAGCCGATTTTTTGTAGGTTTATATAAACTGAACTAAACTGGCAAATTAGTCTCAAAAATCAGAAAATTTACCATAAAGAAGATTATATCAGTTAAAACTGTAACAAAAGTAGTTATAACAAAGCAATCATAATCAAGACATTGTGATATTGCAATAAGGACAGGCTTATATAGCCATGGAATAGAACTATGAGTCCAGAAATAAGACCATGTCTCTGTATACAACTGATTTTTCACAAAGTTGACAAACAATTAAATGAGGAAAGAATATTAAATAATGTTTGTTGAAAGACTATTTCAATAAATGGTGCTGGGCCTCCCCTGGTGGCACAACAGTTGAGCGCTGGGCTGTGAAGCTGCCCGCAGCCTCTGCAGTGCTGGTTTGATCCCCGGCAGCCAGCGAGGGTCCCACATGGCGCTCAGACCTCTCCTGCCATCCCCGCTGCTCCCCTCAGCAGTGTATTTCGCCGGTCTGCCTGTTTTGTTCCCTGCTCTGGCTCTGGTGAATTCTCTCACCCTCCGTGCTTCTGACTGTACCCAATGCTTGTATAAATAAATAAATCTTTTATAAAAAAAAAAAACAACAAAACAACAAATGGTGCTAGGATAACTGGATATACACAAGCAAAAGAAAAAAAAAAACTGGATACCTACCTCACAACATATACAAAAGAATGATTTAAATATAATAACTGAACTATAAAACTCACAGAATGAAATACAGGCATAAATCTTTGTGACCCTAGATTAGGCAGTATTTTCTTAGCTAGGACACCAAAGACACAAGTAACAAAAAAAAAAAAAAAGAATAAGCTGAGTCTTATCAAAAATTTAAATTTCTGTGCCTCAAAGGACAACATCAAAAAGTGAAAATACAACTCACAGAATGGGAGGAAATTTTGGTAAAGCTTTTATCTAAGAGACTTGCATCTAGGGCATATATAAAACTCTTATAATTCAATAATAAAATGATGAACAATCCAATTAAAAAACTGGCAAAGGATCTGACCAGAAATTTCTCCAATGAACATAGCTGAAGAGGTGTGAACATATACTTTTGAATCATATACAGTGTTATAAGCCAATGCTACTTCAATTAAAAAAAAACTCACAATATTAAAAGACAACAACAACAAAAGAAGATATACCTGTGGCCACAAGCACAGGAAAAGAAACTCAATATCATTAGTCTTCAGGGAAATCCAAATCACAACCATAATGAGACACTACTTCACACCCACTTGGATGGGTATAATAAAGAAAAGACAGATAATAAAAGAGTTGGTGAAGATCTGGAGAAAATTAAAACTCTCACATAATTTTGGTGAAAATAAAACATGGTGCAGTTGTTTTAGAAAAGAGTCTGGTAGTTTCAGCAAATATAGAGTTACTATATGAGCCATCGATTTTCCTTCTAGGTATCTACCCAAGAGAAGTGAAAGCATATATTTACATAAAAGCTTGTATATGGCATCGGGATCCATCAGAGCAAAAAAAAAAAAAAAGCAAACAATTCAAATGTCTATCAACTGATGAATTACCCACACAATGGACCACTGCTTGGCAACAAAAATAAATGAAATACCGATTCATGCTACAACACAGATGAAAGTTAAAAGATTATATTAAGTGAATAAGTGAATGAACCCTTACATGAATACATGGGACCATATATTGTATGATTCCATTTTTATGAAGCATTCAGAATAGACAAATCTACAGAGACATAAAGTAGATAAGTGGTTGCATAGGCTTGGGGGGAGTAGGAGGAAATGAGAGGGGTGATGGTTAAATAGTGTAGGGTCTTTTTTTAAAGATTTATTTATTTATGCATACAAGAGGTCAGAGGTGCAAGGGGTGAGAGAATTCACCAGAGACAGAGTGGGGAGTAGAACAGGCAGATTGACTGAAATACACTTGAGGGGAGCAGTGGGCAAGTCAGGAGAGGCCTACTGTGTCATATGTGGGTCAGCTCCCTGGCTGGAGATCAAACTCATGCTGCAGTAGTTGGCTTGATAGTGCTGAGACTTCAACCCCCTACACTACCAGGGAGGCCTGGTAGTAGCATCAACATTATAAATGTGAACTACTTGAAAAAAATTCAACAATGTGCAACTCTTATACATTTAGAAAGTAATTTAAAAGATGAGAAATGGATTTAAAAAAATCTTAGCATAATTGAGTGTAACTGTACTTACTGTCGTTCCATACTGGCTATTTCCTGATTATCTTCTTTAACCTACAAAGTCATAAAAAGACAACAGTATTTAAAAAAAAAAAAACAACTCACTGTCAAACTATTTTTTTTAAGATTTTATTTTTCATATTTTTTAACTTTCTAAACCATTTTTATTAATTTATTTTTTATTTATATCGTTTACATCATTGTGTACTCCCCATAAAATTCCCATCACCAACTCACCTGTGAACTATCACCATAGTCCCTTGTACTTTAGCTATCCATACAAGAGTTGGGGTGTAGGCCAGAGGTATGTAGGGGACAGTGAGAGGATTCTCCAGAGACAGAGTAGGGAGCAGAACAGATGGATTGACTGAAATACACTGCTGAGGGGAGTAGTGGGGAGATAGAAGAGGTCTGCTGCACCATGTGGGTTAGCTCCCTGGCTGGGGATTGAACTCGTGACAACTTCATAGTGTTGAGACTTAACCTCTTGTACCAGCAGGGAGGCCCCTGCCAAACTTTCTTAAAGAGAATTTACTTCCTTCTAAAGTATGTTATACTAAAATGTCAAATATAGTCTCTTCTTTCTTCAAACTTAAGTTCTCCAACTTATTTAGTAAAATACAATCTCAAAAGTTAAAAAGATCATCAAGGAGCTATTCATAGATTTTTTTCCTTTCTCTACATAGCAGCAGGAAATTAACAAATCTTCAGGCCTGAATCAGTTTATATAAACATCTAGGATTTCTGAGACTGTCTCCTTTATTCCCTCTAAGCTAGGTTCACAAATTTAGCAATCCCTATTACATCTGAATGTCAGATAAACAATAAAAAAATTTAGGGTACAGGCCCTACCTAGTGGCGCAAGGGGTTAAGACGTAACCTATGAAGCTATCCACAGCCACGGCAGCTCGAGTTAGATCCCCAGCCGGGGAGCTACCCACATGGCACAGCAGACCTCTCCTGACTCGCCAGCTGCTCCCCTCAGCAGTGTACTTCAGTCTATCTGCCTGTTCTGTTCCCCACTCTGTCTCTGGTGAATCCTCTCAACCCCCACACCTGTGGCCTGTACCCCTGTTCTTATATGCATAAATAAAATAAATCTTTAAAAAACAAATAAATAAATAAATTTAGGGTACATACAGATAATGTAATACTTGGGATATACTCACCATTCTTACATCACACACACACACACACGCATATACACACACATACTTATTTTATTTTTTTAAAAAGATTGTTCACTGTTTATTTGAAATTCAAATTTAAGTAGTTGTTATGTATTTTATTTGGCAATCTTATCCTGAAATCTCTCTCCTCCCCTGCTTTTAATGATTTCTTTACAAGAAACTCCAGAGTTTCTGCATTTTATACCTCTCTGGAATGATACTAATAAATAGTTTGTGAGTTGATACCCAAAGTTCTTCTAAACCCAATAGGTTTAATCTAAGACTACAGCAGGCATTCCATTTTTAAGTCTCTAACTGGAGTCATCCCCAAATATGTATGCAGTTCTTCTAAGGGCTTATACAAGTGCCTCAGGATAAATAACAGGCTAATTATAACTTAGTGTGAGATTAAAACTAGCCTTTGGAGCCTCGCTGGTGGTGCCGGGGTTAAAGTCTCAGCACTATCAAGCAATCGCCAACCACTGAAGCATGAGTTCGATCCCTGGCCAGGGAACTAACCCACATGGCGCAGCAGACCTCTCCTGTCTCACTTGCTGCTCTCCTCAGCAGTGTATTTCAGTGGATCCGCCTGTTTTGTTCCCTACTCTGTTTCTGGTAAATACTCTCACCTCACAGCACCTCTTGCCTACACCCTAGCTCTTGTATGCATAAATAAATAAATAAATCTTTAATATAAATAAATAAATGAAATCAGCCTTGGGGTATTAACAAAGTATTGAGCTCAAGGGACATGACCTTGTGACATAGTATGATTTCATAGGTCACTTTAATTCCTTTCACTTTATGGAGGCACTGATTGTAATAATCACAAAAAGTTACTAGCCTTGGGGCCCTTTATTTTCTAAATATGAAACCCAAAGCAAATAATGAAATATATCTCAATAAGATTATATAATTATTTACTGACCAATAAAGAAGTTTCAACTTTTTCCTTTTTTTCAAAAGGTTTATTTATTTATGCATACAAGAACTGGGGTATAGGCCAGAGGCATGGGTGGGGGGGAGATGAATAGATTCACCAGAGACAGAGTGGGGAACAGAACAGGCAGACTGACTGAAATACACTGCTGAGGGGAGCAGCGGGTGAGTTAGAAGGGGTTTGCTCCGCCCTGTGGGTTGCTCCCTGCTGGCCGGGGATCGAACTCGTGCTGCAGTGGCTGCGGATAACTTCATAGGTTATGTCTTAACCCCTTGAGCCATCAGGGAGGCCCTCAACTTTTTCTTAACAGGGCACAAAACATGAAAAATAAATGGCCAAACCATTCATGAAGACCTAATACAGAATTAGGATGTAATTAAAAAAAAAAGTTTATGCAAAAAATAACTTTTTCCTATATTGTCTTGGTGAAGTGGTCCCTGTTAGTTTAGGTGAAGCTTACTTTTCACTTATTAACAAACTTACTGACATTTAATTCATATATTTTAAATAAATCAATGCATTTTCCAAATCCTGATATGTTAAAATAAAAGTTTTTTTGTGTCAATTTCTTTTTTTTGTTTTTTTAGTTATTCATTTTTTAAATTTTCTCTTTATTTATATAATTTTTACATCATTGTTCATTTTTAAACAATGTTTGCTTCCCCCCCACCAGCTGTAGACCCCAAAGGATTTCCTTTACCTGCTTAAGTAATCTCTCTCTTTCTTCCATTGGAGATCCCATGCTTTTGTCTTCTGCAATCATTTGATCTCGATGGGACTCTAACTCGTAAAGTTTTTCGTGCAGTAATACGGCCTCCTGTTTTACCTGGGAGTGTGCTATTTCCTGAAAGGAACCAAAAATTAGTATTTTATCAAAACTATTTGCAAATAGGTTTTAGTTTATAAGAATATGGGCAAATTTAAACTAGCAGCATCTTTACACAGATATCAGATATCTATCATACTCAATAATGCTAAAAATCATATTTCTAAGATGAAATAAAAATATGTATATTTTCATAAGTTATTGTCAGTCTAAGAGTCACAAGAGGATGGTAGGCTTACTTTATTTTCTAAATATAATATTTAAACAGCGATAGAACATCTCTACCAATGGTAAGATAGTAAAAAAAAGTCACACTGTATGTGCAAATTTAACCACAATATCCAATTCAAAGTCCAAAGAGCCTATTTCTAGAGGAGAGATATTTTTCCTTGAAACAGATTATATATAATATATATATATAATTATATATATAATATATATATAATTATATATATATAATTTCCCACAATATTAGGGTTGAATTGTGTCTTCTCCAAAGATATACAGGATCCTAATATCTAGTACCTGTGATTGTGACTTAATTTAGAAATGGCGTTTTTGCAGATTTAGACAAATAAAGATGAGTCATTACAGTGGAACCTAAATCAGCACTACTGCTGTCCATTTGAGAGAAGAGCTATAGAGACAAACAAGGAGAAAGTCACAATGACATAGGGATTATAATGATTGCAAGGAAAGCCAAGAATTGACAGCCACTAACAGAAGTTTGGAAGAAGCAAGGAAGGTTTCTACCCAGCATCTCATAAGTATGGTTCTGCTGAAATCTTGATTTTTAACTTTCAGATTCTAAAATTGTGAGAAAATGTATGTTCTTTTAAGTCCTCCAATTTATAGCACTTTATTATAGTAGCAATAGAAACTAATACACCAAGTAGAATAGTTTTGTGTATTTGAGCTGCTCTGCTCACCAAGAGAAAATAAGGGCTATTAAATAATTGAAAGAACTTCTATTAAATAATGGAAAGAACTAGAGATGTTGATGACGGTGATGATAATGATTATGATGACAATGAAAATAACATCTGAAGCTGTTGTTTATCAAGTTCTTGTTTTGGTGGTAGGTTGGTAAAAATACTTACAATTGTGGAAATGTAAACCTATACCCCTAAGAAATATGTTGTGATGTAAATCAACATTACTGCAATAAATTTCAAATAGTTAAAAACAAATAAAAAATTTATGTTAATTTCATATGTACACAATAGGTACTCAATAGTTGAATCTAATTTCTTACCAAACAAGGATATGTATAGTCATGAATGGGGAAAAAATATTATACTCTTGTTAGTAAAATGTTAAATTAATATGTACTTGAATGAATCCTAATAACATAATTAATTGAATTATTGTCTATGACTGAGTAATGTAAGAACCCTATTTAATTTTGTACTTACTGCTTCCAGGCTCTCTTTTTTCATGTTCAATGAATCTAGCTGTTGCTGGAGTGTATCTAGTTCCTAAGAACAAGGGAAAAAAGCAAATATAAATTCAAGTTACATTAAGAATATTTCTGTTTCTCAAAACTTCAAATATGGATGTAACAAAGTAAATATTGTAAATAATTTCAACAGCATTTTACAAGATGACTAGAATTTATTAACATTCACTAATTCCCCTTTACCCAATTTCTTCTGTATTCCTAAAACCCTTACCATGATCTACCTTTATTTTTTTTCCATCTTTTTTTTTAAAGATTTATTTATTTATACAAGAACTGGGGTACAGGCCAGATGTGTGGGAGGGTGAGAGGATTCACCAGAGACAGAGTGGGGAACGGAACAGGCAGACTGATGAAATACACTGCTGAAGGGAGCAGCGGGCAAGAGAGGAGAGGTCTGCTCCGCCATGTGGGATTCTTGCCAGCCGGCTAGGATCGAACCCGTGCTGCAGAGGCTATGGACAGCTTCACAGAGTGGCACTCAACCACCTGTACTACCAGGGAGGCCCATGATCTACCTTTAAAAATAGTTTATGAACTTGTCAAAGGTTGCCAGACCTATTCACAGTCAAATCTGATTCTGTTCGAAAAATATCACAAGTCTTCCAATTAATGATGGCATTGTTTAAAGTGGTGATTTTTACTTCTGATCTTTTTAACCATATTTTCATATCTTTTGCCAAATTTCTTTTAGAGCCAAGAGTTATACCAATTTACAAGGCTAAGGGATAAGACCATGAACTGACTACTCATTCAAAATTTCTGTAAAGAATAACTATATATTTTATATTTGACATTTCTATAATGCACTTTCTTCTATATTTCACTGTGGCTTATAAATCTTGTCTACAATTAAAAGTTACATTGAAATACCAATCAAAGAAAATAAAGAAACTAAAACCATTCATAATTGGCATTTGTGGGAACTAATGGCTTAACCATTTGGTTAAGGAATATCTGGGCATGAAAGGATACTTCCATGTGAATCTGAGTCAACACCATAACTTAATGTTGGGAGGATTCTTAATACTCCACCAATAGGAACCCAAATTACTTATGTAAATATCATGGTTAGGGGATATTAGTTGTTCAAACCAAGGACATAGCAGGTAAAAAATTTAAACTGCTTAGTAGGCAGTACAGAAAAGAAGGTAAATATCTATGAGGACTTTTGATGCTTCCATTAAAACATCATTGTAGGGGCCTCCCCGGTGGCGCAGCGGTTGAGCGCTGGGTTGCGAAGCTGCCCGCAGCCTCTGCAGCGCCGGTTCAATCCCTGGCTGCTCCCCGGCTGCTCCCCGGCCACCGGAGGAGGGTCCCACATGGCGCACAGACCTCTCCTGCAGCCCGCTGCTCCCCTCAGCAGTGTACTTTGGACCTTCTGCCTGCTCTGCTCCCCGCTCTGGCTCTGGTGAATTCTCTCACCCTCCCACGCTTCTGACTGTAGACTGTATCCAGTGCTTGTATAAATAAATAAATAAATCTATCTTTTAAAAAAAAATCATTGTAAAAACAATTATCTTTATGATATGCAAAAATTAAGGATGCATAGAACTGAAGAAATAATATAGCAAAAGCTAGGTTATTTATGCAGCATAAGAAAATTAGATCTGGCTTCTCAAATTTAAATGTCCAGACAAATCTGTAGACCTTGTAAAAATGAAGATTCTGATCAAATTGTTGCTTAGGTTTCCCATGTTCAGATTTTTGTAGCAAGACTGCAGAGTATTAATATTACCTGCAACAATTTTTCATTTGTGGTTTTCATTTCTATATACTTGACTTGTTTTTCAGGAGACATATTTTTGATAATGCCATCTGCTGCTTGTTTTTCCTGTTCAATTTCTTCTTCCACACTTCTGATTTGTTTTTCTTTCCTGAAATCAAAAGTCAGGGGGAACAAAATTAATTTTACTAAGGTCAGTCCCAACTTAGTAGGACACTTAACAATAGTTCGTGTTTGAAAATCCTTATAGTTGTATAAAAATGTTCTATGTGACCTTCACAAAATTTGGACATAGCAGTTCAAATTTATGTCTCTCTCTTCTCAATCTCCAAATCATTTTATTTCCTTACTATCCATTTTACTTATTAGAAAAAACAGATTATTGTTAAAAAACAATATTAACAAAAAATTAACAAAGAAAATTGTGAAAACCTTGTACTTAAGAATGTATTTATACTTTTTATTATCACACTCTCAAGACAAAAGTTATATTTCAGAATAGTGGTTTTCAAACATCAAGGTACAGATTTCTTTGTTATGGAAATGTATCATGTAAGTCATATAAAGCAAACAGCTCTGAGTGAACTGGAGAGTAGGGAAAATTATAGTACAATTTTATTTCAAAAAATAAAATACTTTTGGATTAATAATGTACTTAAATTTCCTATTAGCTATTGCTTTAGTTGAAAATGGTATTCCAGAAATTATCAGTTACATTTTAACAGTTTAAAATAGTAAGTTAATTTTCCTAAAAACAAGAACATTACAAATATAATCCTGTAAAAATAATAGCAAAATTAATTAAAGGCCCTAACTATCTTTATCATATAATTGCAAGAAATACAATGATGTGCCACTTACTATTTAGGCAACATCAGTTAGTAACAGGGTAAAGAAAAATTGTGAAAAGAAACTTCTGGAACTAACTCATTCTGAATTCCATGATTATTCACTATCAACAATGCATCTTAATGATGCTTTTGCCTAATGTCTACTGTAGTTAGATGGGAACAAATGTTGGACAATACTCCCTTCCACAGAGGGAAAATTATAGCACAAAAAAGGTAACTGAATTTTAAGACAACAAAATGGCCAAGTGTAAGATCTTTTGATGCTTTCAGCACTTTGTACCTTCTGTAACAGCAGTAAAACCACCAATGAGGGTATCATAAAAATGAGTAAACAACAAAGTTGAAACTCAGTGGAATGTAAAACTTGGTGGAATCTTTTCACTCGAATCTTTCCAAAAACAAAATACCTTTGCGATTAACTCAAATCACCTATGTATCTTGCAAAGCATGCATTATCAATTATTTTTTATGTACTTTAATTCACAACATAAGTTACTTATATTTAAATTTTTCAAGAGTAATTATGAAAAACGCTATGCAAACCACCTTATTACATGCAAAAGTCAAAGATGACTTGAAGAAATGCTAGTCAATCTTTTGCTAAGGAACTCTAGCACTTTTTTTTTTTAATCACCTGTTCACTGGGTACAAAGGTTAACACAAAGTGAAATGTAATCATATGACATACTTTTTTTTTTTTTTAAATTGGTTTAGAAGAAACAGAATAGATTCCTTAGTACACCATTTTCTGAGACAAAAGCAAAAAAAAAATAAAGGTAAGATCCTATGTAATTACAGGTTTGGGGTGGTTGTTGATATTCTAAAAAATGATAATTAAGTTGTTAAGTCTGTACTATAATCTTTGCTTTTAAAAGGTGAAGTAAGAGCAGAAAATGTGATTATATTTTTATGTAACCAACCTTACAATTATAAACCTAGAACATGGACAAAAAAAATCTTTCTCAAATAAAGTTATGCTGTAATGCAAAGTAATTGTTTTTCTTTCAAAATCAAAAAGTTTTCATCTAGCCAATCATATTTATAAGATCTTTTTATTTTGAAGTATAGTCACCACAGGTCATTTTGAAGTGACAATAACTTAAAAACAACTTTGTAAGATGAAAAAAGATTGGCCACCATTTGATTATTGTTGATACTAGGTAGTGACTATTTTCTCAAGATTTTTGTCCTAAAATTTTCCATTATAAAAATTTTTAGCAAACAAATGAGACAAACAAAAAAAAAAACTTTTGGATTACACAAACAATTAGTGTTTACCACATGGGAAGGGGAAGGGAAGTGGGTAAATCAGATAAAAGAGGTCAATTGTATGGTGAAGGATAGAATTTTAGTAGCTAATTTAATGTAAATATTAACCTGTTGATTTTTAACGCTGTACATCTGATACATATATTTTATTCAACAGACCAAAATAATTACAGCACTTTTCTTGTATATATTGCTTGTAATTTTAAGATTTGTCAATTAGGAAAAAGACTCCTCTAATCCTTATAGTTTTATTTCCAGTAGCACAATGGATAAAATAATTTCTGGTATTAAATAGATGATATAAGTAATGCAGGGCCATCTTCTGTCTTCATAGGCTCACAGTGCTGCCTGACTTCCATTACTTTCTTCAGCTGTTCCTATTTCACATCAAATCTTAAGTCCAGTTCATTACCTTTTTATAGTCCTACCCTATTTAATGATCTCTACCCAATTATTTCTGGGGCGGAAAAAAAGGCATGTCTCTTTTATTTGCCAATATCTCACCCTGCCATAGACATCGATATAAACTTTATTACACCACTGAAAGTACAGAAACAAGCCACGGAAGAGGCTGTATACTTACTCCTAAAGATCATTAAATATGGGTAAACAACCTTTTACATATTTGGCACCCCCCTTTTGTAAGAAATGGTATAGAGTAAGTGACAGTTTGAACTAATTTCTTAGTCTAAAAGAGATTCTATTATGAGCTACATCTAAGTTGTAAAAATCTGGAAGAAAGTGTGGCTTTTCTAACAAGTTTGATTTAACTATGGATAGGGAAAAAGTGGAAGGAGAATATACATAAACAGATGAATGAACTGAAAGCAATGAGGAAGTCAACTAAAATATATCAGTATTGAAATAACAATAAATTTCTCATTGCTAATGAGGTAATTAATAACTTGAAGTGAGTCTCATTCTGAGTAACTGTCCTACTTCCTGCTCTCATGGAATTAATTTTTCATAAAAATCATAAGTAACCAATTGTAACAAATGCCATAAGAAGGTTCAAAAGACAAAATGTTAGAAAAACACCACAGATGTCTTTATAACCATTCAAATAGATATTTACAGCATAGTTTCTATGACTTTAAAAAAAGATAAAGAACAAGAAACATCACAGCAATAAATGATTAAATAGAAAATATTCAAGTATTCACGTAAATTCAAGAAGAATTTACTCTAATAAATAGCAATTTCCAGTTAGATGGCACACTGACTGTAGCTATTAACTTTTCTGCCCAGAACCCAATGAGAATGAAAATAAAAAGTAATAAGGGATAGAAAATCCAAGGACAAAGAGAATGGAAAAGAGAGGAATAGCAATAAAACCAAGAAACTAGGGCCTCCCTGGTGGTGCAAAGGATTAAGACACAACCTATGAGGCTATCCGCAGCCACTGCTGCATGAGTTTGATCCCCAGCCAGGGAGCTACCCACATGGTGCAGCAGACCTCTCCTGACTCACCTGCTGCTCCCCTCAGCAGTGTATTTCCATCAATCTGCCTGTTCTGTTCCCTGCTCTGCCTCTGGTGAATCCTCTCACCCACCATACCTCTGGCCTGTACCCCAGTTCTTGTATGCATAAATAAATAAATCTTAAAACAAACAAACAAACAAACAAGAAACTGGAACGCTAATAGTTAAGATGGAACTGACTGCTAAAGCAAAAATTTTCCCAAGCCAGAAATGTGGAAAAGTTGAGAAGCCACTTGAACCTCTAAATGGTCCAGAATTTATACTGCAGAACCTCTAAATGGTCTAGAAATTGGCAGCACGAGGTATTGTGTAACCAGAGGAGGAGGGGCTATTATATATTTGACAGTGAGAATATGTTTACATACGAAGATAAGCCCACTTTCACCATCCAGCTCTCAGAATCCTGACCACATGGCTTTACCTGTTGAGGCAGTAGATAAGAAGAATCATTTGGGGGAATCCAGCCAGCAAGAGAAAAGAGCTAAACAACAAAATTTAGGAATTCCTAAGCAAATAGCTTGGCAACTTCTAGTCTACAGCAAGGTCTACAGTCAATAAGACCCATAAATACAGTTTCCAATTAGCTTTTTAGTCATCTATTTTTATATGTAAGCTCCAAACCCAGTGTTAACAGATATATGAATAAGGCCTCTAATATAAAGGACATTAACCAAATTAAGCCAGAAAAGCACAACCTGTGGCCACAGAGGCTATTCAAGGAAAAATTAATTGAGAAATAACAAGAAAATGTACAGGACAATGTCAAAGAAAACATTCAGAGGAGAAAAAGAGCTTATAGAATTAAAAAGATGACAGTGAAAAAAAAACTAATAGAGAAGTTTAAAGATAAAACTGAGGATATCTCTCAGAAAGCAGAGCAAAAACACACAGAAGTGAAAGGTAGAAGAGCAAAGATAAAATATTGGAAAATCATTCTAGGAGATCAAACATACAATTAAGGGAGTTCTAGAAAGAGAAGACTGAAAAGAAGGGAAAAAAAAAAAAAACTACCCAAGAAATAATTTATAAAATCTGCTAGAACTGACTGACGTAGCTTCCAGATTGAAAGCACCCACCAAATACCCATTTTCATCAATGAAAACTAACTTTCACACAGGATTATGAAATTTCAGAACACTGACTTTAAAAGCTACTGGGGCTAAGAAGAAGCAAGTGACATAAAAGAACAAAGAATTAGTACGGCAAGACATCAGAGTTCTTAAGAGTGATACTAAAACCCAAAGACAACAGGGCAATGCTGTCTACATTTCGAGAGAAAATTATTTTCTACTTTGAATTTTGTTACTTCCCAATATCTTTCGAGAGCTAAAAAATTTCCCTCCTCCAGAAACTACTATAGGATTTTCCATTAAAAAAAATAAGGTAATAATTCAAGGGATATTTTAGAAAAACAGGAATCCAGTAACAAAAGCAAAAGGGACTGTCTCTGAGGACAGAGGGAAAGCAGACATCAACTGCTGTGTAGAGGGCCTAGAGATCAGCTGCTCTAGATTAGAGACTAGTTACAAGTACTTGGAGAAACTTTTCTAAATAAATGAAACAGATAAAGTTCCTAGTATATATGTAAACTATGAAGAGATTTGCACTAACAATGGAGAGAGATGGAAGGAATTATGCATAAGTCAGAATGACAAAGACAAATATTGGACATTTACATAGATTATTCAACAAAGCAAAATACTTATATAAACTTGTGGACACCAATAAGCAAAATGAAAGTTCTGAGGTTAAGAGAAAAGGGGGAGGGAGACAGTATGAGGGGAGATAAGGAATGGTGGGAGGAAAAAAGAATTTAAAAAAAGTTATTGAGAGATTTGCTAGGGGAGAGTTTGTGTGTACATTCATTAAAAAAAAAAAAACAAAAAAACCCCCCAGAAAATAAAGCACATTAATAAAAAGAACAGTTAATTTAGAAGAGAAAAGTGCAGGAACAGAAAAGTAATCCTGTTACATGATTCAGTCACTGATAGTGTTTCTATATTTATGGTATAATATAAAGAATAAATATTATATATAATAAATATTATATTATGGTATAATATAAAGAATAAATATTAATCTAACCAAAATTATAATGTACTATCTAGAGAAATGAGGGAAGAAAGACTCCGATGTGCTAGAAATGAAGGAAGAAAGACTCTTATCTCCTACAAAGTCAACAGATTATAGGAATAGTTAACATCTAAAATTGAAAAGCAAAAAGGTAACAACACAAGGATATATTTAAACATGTACATATTAATGAATACATATTCTTCTGAGTATTTTTGTCTACATATGTTACAAAATTTTAAATGCACAACCACATCAATCATTTTAAAGTTCCTTTCAATAGCTCTAGAAACTAATGAGACACCTTAAAATGTACTTTCATTCTCTATACAAGGTTTTCAGTTTAAAATTAGAATGTAAAGAAAGTGAAGGACAAGTACTTGTTTCACATTTTATGTATTCTAAGGAAAAAAATTGAAATGAAAAGGGTTATCAAGATGTCTTAAATAATCTTTCAAGTGCTAGTCCCCTATCCAGATGAAAATGTGCTCTTTCCTATCAGGTCTGCAACATGAAAATTAAATGCATCACAATCTTGTTTTGGACCTTCTCCATGCTATTATTATCAGATGAAAGTCAGACTTCTGAAACAGTAAGTTTTTACAATAAAGTAGTGATTTTCAAGGGCACACTGTGGGTATATTAAGCAAAATATCCCAAGACATGAAAAGAAAACAAAATTTAAAAAAATTCCAAGTTATCAAACTAGTTCTTTATTTAGCTGTGTATATTCAACTGTTATCTCTGAGCTAGATTCTAACTTGACAAAAGCAGTCTTCATTTCAAAAACTGAGTTCTCTAAAAAAAAACAAAACAAAACTGAGTTCTTTGAAATTGGTTAAAGGAGGTATGTATAAATTCTTACTACAAAATAAAAGATTGCTTTCAACTCCAAAAACAATAAAAACAAGAACTATTTCTCTGTATCCCCTCCACATAAGGAGAGCACTACTTCCTGTCACCTAAAATTCAATACAGAGTACAATTTCTGTTTTAAAGATAAAAACTTTAGTTTAAAGCACCAAACTCTGAGCTGTTAACCCTACAGAGCTACATATTGGGTATCATTTCTTAATTATTTAATAGTCTAGGTTTAATGTTGGTAGCTCTACTTATTTTTTTAAATTACATGTTTAAAATAATTTCCTCATTAAAACTGTCAGTCTTGCACAGGGGAATACTAAATATTTTAACAGAATTACTATCACGTATTTCCACAAAAATAAATTGAAATATTCTTTCTGTAATGGTTGAATAAATTGAAAGAGACCTACATGCAAAGCTAAAATCACCATGATCAATTGTATGGATCAGAATTTCTTAATCTTCAGTATTTCATCCCAGTTAAGATTTTTACTGAAGATTTTTATAATGATTTTCAGTCCATTAGAAAAGCATCTGCTTTATTTTTTTCACACTATATAATACCATCAGATCAGATAATAGATATTTTTCTAAACCTTTTCCTTCCAATGTCTAAAGTCTAGATCTAAAAATTTGGGAAATTATGTTAATATTATTTCTGATTAATACATTTTTAATATTTTTCTTTTTTAGGAAATCAAATGTAATTTCACTGAAAAGAACTATTCTTTGATTCCAGTGAATATTAATAAAGAAGTTAACATACTTGATCTTAGTTATAACCAAATTTCTCTGAATGCTACAGACATTAGGGTTCTACAGCAGTATTTTTTACTCACTGAACTCTATTTGATTGAGAACAATATCTCTGCTTTATATAGTAATAGTTTTACTAATCTCTCCAAGCTAAAAATTTTAAATATCTGTAAAAACTCCATCCACTTAATTCAACAGCATGCATTTGCAGGTTTAAATAAACTAAAACAGTTATATCTCTGCCAAAACAAAATATTACATTTGAATCCCGACATGTTTGTGTCTCTAAAAAATCTGAGACTTCTAAATCTGCAAGGCAATTTGATAAGTTATTTGGATGTACCACCACGGTTTCATCTGGAATTAATAATTTTACATGAAAATCCATGGAACTGCTCTTGTCTACTGAATTTGCAGAACTGGTTGAACACATCAAATGTGACACTAGGTAAGCTATCATAATTTAATACAAATCAAAATTTGAGTTTTGTGTGTTGTTCCACCCCAGAATAGCCCCTTATTTTATGTTTTAAAGTAAAGGAAACCATTCCTGCTTAAGGGAACAGGAGAAACACTGAGAGTGGATGAAAACAGGCTCTCTACTTTGTTAACTACTAACCATGCTCGGCCTAAGATTCAGATTTTCACTATAATTTTAATCACATCAGATGTATTAATGCAAACTAAATAATAAACAGATACTGCACTTAAACCTTATCATAAAATAACTTAATAAACAAGAATGTGTTGCCAGGCAAATCTAAGAGTCTTATACATGTAATAAATTCTAGATAATAATTGTAAAATTCTGAATAAAAATAATTATAAAATCTTGTTAGCCATTCTTATTTTCTATAATATATTTTAATTTATTCTTTCTTATTTACTAGAAAATGAGAACATCACCATGTGCAACTCCCCAGATATCCTGAAGAACTACAGTATCAAAACAGTACCTTATAAGGCTAAATGCTATTCTAAGTTTTCTTCACCTCTAACTGAAGATTTTTACAATGATTTTCAGTCCATTAGCAATTCAACATTTAATAGCTCTTTGAACAACTTAACAAGAAATTCAGGTAATGTACCGTTTTTGAATATTACTATCGCTGAAAGTAGTACACTAGTATACTGAACTGAGGTTGTTCTCATTATTTTTCTGTATTTTTAATTTCTGTAAACAACAAGAAAGAACAATTCCTCATCTCAACAAAAACTTTCCAAAATACTGGATTTCCAAACCAGGCTCTGAAAGTTAGCAGCCAAATGCCACTATGCAAATTATTTAACTTCACTGAGCCTCAGTTTTAAATCTTAATAGGCATAATCAATAATGTTCCTAAATGAATGGATAAGCAATATTTGCAAAGATAACTAGTTATTTTAAAAAAGGTATTCTTTTACCGCACTGTGATATATCTTTATTTTTTGTAGCTTTAGCAACTATTGCCTAAAGAAAATTATAAAATATGTTTATTTCTCCAATATAGAGGAGTTACAGGACACACAATTATAATTACTTTACTTTTTGTCAATTTAACAAAATCTCTCTCTCTCTTTCATTTAAGAACATGAACCAATCGGAAAAAGCTGGTTTTTTCTTGTCAGTGTTGTAGTCACTGTACTGCTCACTTCATTCCTCATTTTTATTGCCATCAAATGTCCAGTGTGGTATAATTTTCTGCTTAGTTACAATCATCATCGCCTGGAAGAGCATGAAGTAGAAACCTATGAAGATGGGCTTACTAGAAATTCAAGTTATCTTTCACAGATATCAAATACAAACTCTGAAGACACTACAGTAATATTTGAACAATTGCATTCATTTGTGGTAGATGATGATGGATTTATTGAAGATAAATATATAGATACTCAAGTATTACATGAAGATTAATTTCTTTCAATGTTTGATTTTCTAAAAAATGTTATCAACTCATAGTTTAGACATGAGATTTTGATATGAGGCATATCAAACTATAGCTAATAGACTTTCATGTTATTAAACACAACTACCATATAATTATATTCTTCTCATTGGTATTAAGCAAGTAGGTCCAAATAGAGCAACTGACACTTACCAAAAGCTAACAGTTACTGGCCTCCCCGGTGGCGCAGCGGTTGAGCGCTGGATTGCGAAGCTGCCCACAGCCTCTGCAGCGCCGGTTCGATCACTGGCTGTCAGGCGAGGGTCCCACATGGTGTGCAGACCTCTCCTGCCACCCACATGCTCCCCTCAGCAGTGTACTTCGTCACTTTGCCTATTCTACTCTCCGCTCTGGCTCTGGTGAATTCTCTCACCCTCCCGCGCCTCTGACTGTACCCAGTACTTGTATAAAAAAAAAAAAATAAATCTTAAAAAAAAAAAAAAGTAGCAGTTACAAATAGTAGCAGTGCTATTTTCAGCAGTATTCAGGAGACAATACATAATAGTAAGGAAAACAGACTACAGTAAATGATTCATTAATGTATCTACCTGATTTTCATTCTAGCCCAGAAGTTTAATGTCATATACATTAAAGTTTTAGTAATTGGAATCAATAAAGAAATAAAGGTTTGGATTTGTATAAGGGTCAAAGAAACAGAATTAGTTTAAATTGACAACACAGTAAGATTAATTTTATGTTCACAGAATGAATTCATGGATATGTATAATATTTTTAAAATGTTCACTGAATTAGCATGATAAATTTCCTGAAAATTTAGTAGCAATTTAAACCACAGGCACAAAGTCCAAGCACAATCCCTAATAAAGGTGTAGGATGACCTTTCCATTCAGTTGACTATATTTTTTCATCTCCAGAATTTCAATTCATTTCTTTTTAATAATTTCTGTCTCCTTATTGATATTCTGTTATTTGGTGACAACAAATTCTGTTCTCATAATTTGTTTTAGTTATGTAGACATGGTTTTCTTTAAGGCCTTTGATCATATTTAAAATGGTGGATTTAAAATTTTTGTCTAGTAAGTCTAGTGTCCAGAGTTTGTCAATGATGGTACTTATTGTTTGTCCATCTGTATTGGCCACACTTTCTTGCTTCTTTGCATATCTCCTAATTTATTTTATTAAAATCAGGAAAATTTTAAATAATATAATGCAGAAACTCTGGACATCAGATTCTCACCTCTCCCAGAATTTGCTGTTATTACATTTTGTTATTGTTTGTTTAGTGACTTGTAAAGCAATTCTGTGAAGTCTGTATTTTTTGTTGTATTTGGTTATTGAAGTCTCTGCTTTGTTAATAGTTGGACAAAGATTTTCTTAGACACATAAAATCAATAACTCTCTAATTTGTTCAGAGGATGTGTATGTGTGTGTGTGTGTATTCTGAGATACTACTTCAATACTCAGGCATGCACTTTACAATTCTGACTTAGCCTTCACTGCCTGTGCAGAGCTTCACGATCAATCAGAAGTGGTAGTTTTGGCCTTTTCAGATCTTTCCTGAGAAGTCACATTGCCTTGGACATACATGAGACCTTCTACATTTCCAGAAACATGCAATATTTTCAATGTTTCTATGGACATTTCATTCCTCAGGTTTTCCTGTAAAATAGAAGAACTGACTCATTTATTTATGATGCATATTTGCTTGTGTTTAGGGGAACATGCTTTCAATAAGAAAGCATGTTTCATAATTTCTAAAAGATAATATCAATCATACTTTATTATTAAATTTCAACTGTCAGAGTGAAATAATTGTGGAAATGAGACATCTTTTTCTAAATCATCTATCATTCTGCTAAAACATATTTTAATTTAAAATGCAAATATTAATATTTAAGAAATGTGGTAAAATGAAATGTAACTATTAATATAAAAAGACAAAGACTACATCTACTCTCATATTCAAAAATGTTTTAATTGAATATTGGTTTTTAACAAATATGTGACTAAACAAAAATAAATAGAATATGAAATTATAATTACATGTTTTTAAAGGATAACTGATCCTAATTAATATCAAATTAGAGAGTGTGGACTTCAGAATTGGAAGAGAATCATTGATTCAAGCAGACATATGAAATTTAATTAAAATCAGGTATCTAAGTGCCATTGTAGTAATATATCAAGGTTATATATTGTAATCAATTTATTGTAAATAGGTGTTCCGTAATAAAGTCAGACAGTCATACCACTCTGAGTGGTGGTATAAAAGAGAGTGAAAAAATAACTTTTTCACACCTGCCTTTTCAAGTATGGTATTTTATACTTCCTTTGAATGTATAGAGGCAAGATAGATCCTAGTGTTATTCAGATGTTGGCCATCTGGTTAACACATGAAACAAATCTATCCTTTCTGTTGCATATGAAAATAAACTTCACAAAAATAACTTTTTTTCTTAATTTAAAATTCTGCTTCAAAGGATCAAGAGACCTTATTCACTCAGCCTCAACTACAAACTACTAATATTAAGTTTTGAAAATATTGACATTTCTAGGACAAACTACCATATTATAAGAATTCCAAAAAGACATAAAAACCTACAGCATTTTAAAACTATAGTCTAGGAGTTATCTTTTTAGATGATATATCTATAAAACATGTACATACAATGTTTATAAATCTGACCTGGGTATTAAATAATTTTGTAGATAAATGAAATGTGCTAAGCTCTGTAAAGTCTTCCATAAACAATAGTTTATTATTTCTTATTTAGGTACAAAGGAGAGTATAGTAAATACTCCATGGTAAATAATAAATATTTGCTAAATGGTTTAAATCTGGAACAACTGCAACACAGGAAAAATGTTCAAGTAAGAGCTTGGTCACTACGAATATGGAATTTTCTTTGTAAAAGGGAAAAGACTCCATTTTTTGTAGTTTTTAAGAGAGTAGTTTACAGTACTATCAATTGATAAGGAGAGATGATATGGGGGAAAAAGAGACTTTTATTTTTAAACAACAGAAGAATAATATTTCTCTTTCAAATGTATAACAATATTTCAGTATACTATTCTTCAGCAAAATTTTTTTTGTCTATGCAAAGGTAATATATTATATTTGGTGTTAAAAAATTTTGGTAATTTTGGTTATTATCCCTGCTATCAATAAATTTCTGGGACAAAATGTGTGTACAAAATATATCATCTTCTATATTTGCACTGTTTTAGACAATATTCAATTAGGGTCAAAAAGCCAATGAAGAATAATTATGTTAACCATTCTAGGTCTCAATGTTTATGTTCTTCCCAATTCAAATTCATGTTTAAATCCTAATCCCCATAGGTGGTAGTATTAATAGGTGGGGCCTTTGGGAAGTGATTAGGTACACAGATGGCATCCTCATGAGATCCCACACAGTTCTCAAACCCTTCCATCTTGTAAAGACACAGCCAGAAGGCACAAAATTTGAATCGGGAAAACAGCCTTCACCACGATGATACCAAGCTGGTGCTTTGGTATTGTACTTCCCAGCTTCCTGAAATGTTAACAGTAAACTCCTGTTGTTTATAAGATACCCAGTCTATGGTATTTTATTATAACAGACCAAACGGACTAAGACAAATATATCATCCCTACTTATCTTTATAGGCATTATTGTAACTGCCACTTATTCCCGAGGTCAAAGTTACTTGGCATTTGGTCTTTAACTGGGTTATATATAAAGCTGCAACTACATCTATGATATAGACTATTATAATAACTATTAATTATCAATACTAATGAAAAAATGTAAATGCCTCTCATTAGACTGGGGTTTAAATCTCATAATCAAATTAGTTTAAAAGCCCAGGTTAAAATTACAAATGACACAGGTGAAAATATTCTTAATCAACTTAAAGTTTAAACTCCTATAAGTAGAAATCTTATTTAGCTAATCTACACAGTAATTTTCTTTGTGAATAATCTCAGTACAGGTACTTAATGGTAAATGAGGATAACAGATGTGTAAACAATAAAATTTGTATTGCAAATATTCAACATTTAAAAAAATGCAACAGGGACAGTTAAGAAAATGTGAAAGGAAATAAACGACTCTGAGGTTAAACTACCTGGTACCTGGTAACAGCTCACTAATAAATCTATTATTTCTAAGTGGATTGTACTTACGCTTGTCTTTCAGTAAATATGATATCCATACTTTGTGCTTCTCGGTCATTTTGAGCTTTAAGCTGAAAAAAGGGTTAACAAAGTTAATAACCAAAAATAGCCATTAAGCCAAACTGTTTCTTTCTGATAAAAAACTGAGAGATTATTATAATGATACTAATGTAACTGTGAGGTAGAAAATTTACATCAAGTTTTCCTTTTATAAGCCTGAGATTGGAGATAGGTATTAGACTCAACTGGTTATTCCCAAGATGGTGAGTGAGTGTCTTAGGGGAAGGAGACATGTGCCAAGAGTTCCTGGTGCATGAGGAGACCTTCTGTGCATGACACTTCAAGACTCTACCCTGATTTTGTGATTTACCAGTCCCCAAATAAAAGGGAAACCCTTCCTAAAGCTCAGGGAGAAGGTTTTTGAGCACAATTTTTCCATTCTCCATTGCTTGTTAGGCAATAAAGTTCTTTGTTAAACGGAACCTGGCTTCTGAATTTTTGCTTTTAATCATTAGACAAATGACAAAAAAGGATCCACACCTTTAGGGTAGCTGGATAATACTAGTGCTATATGCAAAATTAAAAAAAAAAATGTGTGTTTCATTTAGCAAATATCACAATACCAGTCTCTTTCCTGGTATTGTTACCTCACACCAAAATTATTGTTTAGTGACCTGTCAAATAATTTGAAGTAAACTTCATTTATATAGAGCATTTCAAATATGTATTGGATGTTTAATGTTAGGAATATGTTGAATTTAGACCCAACACAAGTTTTATTCTTTTTTTATTTTAAAGATTTATTTATTTATGCATATAAGAACTGTGGTGTAAGCCAGAGGTGCGGGGGTTGAGGGGTGAGAGGATTCACCAGAGAGAGTGGGGAGTAGAAAAGGCAGATCTACTGAAATACACAGCTGAGGGGAGCAGCAGGCAAGGGATGAGAGGTCCCTATGCCATGTGGGTTGCTCCCTGGCCAGGGATTGAACTCCTGCTGCAGTGGCTGGCAATAGCTTAACAGAGCTGTTTTTAACCCCTGTGTCACCAGGGAGGCCCACAAGTTTTATTCTTAAATCACTCAGTTTCACATGAGTAGATATAGTTGACTCCACTCATGAATACTGGGCCTATAATACTGGACCGAATCCTTATAACTAACAAAACATATAGAAAATATAACTTTTGTATATACCATATTTAAATTTGGAATTATTCTGTGTTCTAAAGCTAAGAATAATTTCACTTAATTATCATGCTTTTAGAACTCCAATTTAAGGATTTATCTTATAAATTCTATGTTGTCATAAGATAGTCTTTGATCATGCAAGTAAATAACAAGCTATATAAGTTAAAAGTTGCATGTCATTTTCTTCCAAATGTTTATAATCAAAATAAGCTAGTTATCATTTTATTATTTTCTACGAAATAATCTAAGAACATTGAACATAAATTCTCATTTACCAATCAAAAGTAGTAGTATGTCTAGCATCATACTAACTATACATTTTTCACCCTTTCTTACAAAATTATGTAAAGGTATCACAATATCTCAGTAAGAACTCAGCTCCACTTGTGCAAATATTAAAATAGAAGTATTAAAAACTAGTTTGTATATAAGAACATGTACATGGTATTCCCTAACTGAAGCTGAGTGTGAGAACAGTTTAAACTCTAGCCTCATAGACACTAAAGCATCTACCTGAGAGTGTCAACCATTACGAAGGGACTCAACTGTATTACTAGTATTTAAAATCAGAGTAACACCTATTGCTAAAGTCCATAAGTTCTATCAAACTACTTTGAGATATAAATACTTTGTTTTGGAGGATATGATATACATAGATGAATTGCTTATACATATAAATTTTCTTACCATGTTGTAATCATTCATTACTTCTTCCATTTCAGTATTGGTATTAAGTTTATCCACCAACTGAAAACAGAAATATAAAAAAGAAAACACATTCTATTACTCTCAATAAACTTTCTTCAAAATTCAATAATATAGTCATCAATCTTATGAATAATGAGTAGTAATTTCAGTTTTAATACTTTCAACTATTTTATCTTCTAAAATAAAGGTAAAATTAAGGTACCCAAGTAAACATATACTATACATTTGACCAATTAATAATTTTAGAGAAGAAAAAATGAGCAAAATGAACTACTTTTTCTGTAGAGGAGTTCTACCTGTTCTGAAAAGATAACTGATATTATAAAAAGAGTTCCTGAGAAGAAACGTTTTGAAATCACTCTTTTTTCTTTTAATCCAGTAGAGAGGTATTAAAAGATTAACAAATCTATACCGATGAAAATGTGAAAAAGGGCCTCCCTGGTGGCACAAGGGGTTAAGCACCGCAGTATGAAGCAATCCACATCCTCTGTGGCTTGAGTTCGATCCCTGGCAAGGCAGAACTCTCCTGTCTCCCCACTGTTCCCCACAGCATTGTATTTCAGTTAGTCTGCCTGTTCTTTTCCCCACTCTGTCTCTGGTGGATCCTCTCATCCCCTGCATCTCTGGCCTGTACCCAAGCTCTTGTATGCATAAATAAATCTTAAAAAAAAAAAAAAAGAAAGAAAATGTAAAACAATTTTCTTGGTCTTTTAATTTTTTTTTTTTAAATCAACAGGGTAAGGCATAGCATGAACAGAACACCAGTAAGCTTACTTTAAAAAGTTAGGCAATGATAGCAATAGCTAACATTTACCTTCTACCAAACACTATTCTGAACCTATTATGTGTGTTAATTCACTTAAATTTCACAAATACTCTGTAGAAATTATCATTCATACTTAGCAAATAAATAAATTTAGCAAGTTGTGGAACCAGAATTTGAATAGGAGGGCTAATAAAAGTAAACTATTTGGGTATAATTGATTCTAAAAGACTAAGCTTTATTAATGTAATACATATTTTGTATCACATTTTCACTTGTAACATAATCAGTGCTAATAAGACCTAAAATCAGGTGCTTACTATTAACATATGTTAGATATCTAGCTAAGTGGTTTCTTCATTAAACCTACAAATGACATACTTTTTTACACTATATTTAATGCTAAATAATTTGCTTACGGTATTCCAGGAAAACTCAAATCCTCTTCATCTTATGTCATTTCATATTTTATAAAAAACTAATTTTGAATAGAATATCATCTACTAAAAATTTTGCACTATTAAGTCCTAAAAAAATGTTAGTTATGTCCATAGACCAACACACTTTGTCTAAGTTTGTTGGTAAAATTCCAAGTACACTATCATAATATCAAATATCAATACCAAATTTACCTAACCATTAAGGTAGAAAGTTTCTTACTTTTTTAACATTATTTTTATTATTTTTTAAAGATTTATTTATTTATGCATACAAGAACTGGGGTACAGGCCAGACGTGTAAGGGTAAGAGGATTCACCAGAGACAGAGTGGGGAGTAGAACAGGCAGACTGACTGAAATACACTGCTGAGGGGAGCAGCAGGCAAGACAGGAGAGGTCTGCCACTCCATGTGGGCAGCTCCCCAGCCAGGGATTGAACTCGTGCTGCAGAGGCTGTGAATTGCTTCATAGTGCCAAAACTTAACCCCTTTGCACCACCAGGGAGGCCCCATATGTTTAAGTATTATTTAATATGTTTTTTTTTCAAAGATTTATTTATTTATTTCTACAAGCACTGGATACAGTCAGAAGCACGGGAGGGTGAGAGAATTCACCAGAGCCAGAACGGGGAACAGGACAGACAGACTGGCGAAATACACTGCTGAGGGGAGCAGTGGGCGTGGCAGGAGAGGTCTGTCGTGCCATGTGGGACCCTGGCCAGGGATTGAATCGGTGCTGCAGAGGCTGCGGGCAGCTTTGCAGCCCAGCGCTCAACCGCTGCGCCACCAGGGGAGGCCCTATTTAATATGTTTTTAAAGGTGTAAAAAGCAGTCAAAATATTCAATGGAAATTATCTCAGAAAAAAACAAATACCATGTTGTAGTCTGCAAGTTGTCCTTGAAACTCTTTGATTTCAACAGCTAAAGTCTCAGCTCTGCAAGCATAAAAAAATACATTCATAAAGAAATGAGGATGAGTATTACAAATATTATGTAGAACTAAAAATTCAGCATTAAACTTCTGAAATATGTTACATTAAGTGTTATGGTACTCATATAAAAAAAATCTTGCACATTTTAACTAAATATTACTTACCTCTTTTCATATGACAAATATACTGAATTCTCTTGATTGTACATTTCTATTTCTTTCTGGAGTTTATTAATTTCTATAGTAAGTTCACTTATTTTACTCCTAAATGAAAAGAAATAAGAAATTCAGCAATATTTCCAAATCCAGAAAAGACTCTTTCTAGTCAAACAGAAAACTTTTAATAAATGTACAATAATACAAATGTATTTTTAAAATTTTCACTAAAGAAAGAAAATAATTTAAGTGGCTTATTTTATTAATAATGAAACAAACTCAAATGAATATCCTTTAGTCATTAAAACCTTAAGTCACAATTGATGGCCTCACTATCTTTTTTATTAATGTTAGTTTTGAGGACAGATGGGAAATTTACAGATTTATTACCTTCTAGAGTTTGAGAATCAAAAAGTTTAAGATCAATGAGAAATTAAAAAAGGAGGACTAAGGAATAAAGTAGGACACTTAGGAAATGATAGAAATATGGATTAAAATGGAATGGAAATATGAAAGAAGATCTCGATAATGAGACCAGAAGAAAATAGAGTAAAATGGACAGTAGGATATATAAGCAGAAGAAAAGGTAGATAGAAAATGAAGGAAAAAGAAAGGTTCTTAAGTTAGAGTGGCATACATAGAGAAATATAACATAATTTGTGAATGAGTTAAAATTAGGCCACAACTGTAATAACTGACCAATATACTAAATAAGTATATTTCCATTTCTTATTAAAAGGTAACTGATGACATTCCAATGTCATGAATAATACACTTCAGAATAGTGAATGAAACAAAAAAGATTATTCTTATCATTAAATAAAAAATGTGAACTTGAAAAATAAAGGTCACTTAGATACAAATTCACAAGATTTTGGGGCCTCCCTGATGGCACAGGGGTTTAAAGTCTCAGTGCTATCAAGCTATTGCTAGCCACTGCAGCACGAGTTCAATCCCCTGCCAGGGAGCTAACCCACATGGCGCAGCAGACCTCTCCTGTCTTATCTGCTGCTTCCCTCAGCAGTGTATTTCAGTAGATCGGTCTGATCTACTCCGCAATCTGTCTCTGGTGAATCCTCTCACCCCATTCCCCTCCCTGCACCTTTGCCTATAAATCCCCCAGTTCTTGTACGCATAAATAAAAATAAATCTTTAAAAAAACTCACAAAATTTTAAAATCCTAATTGCATTTTCATCTCCAGTTTGCTGCACAGCCAGAAACTCTGCTACAATACAAAAGAGTTCTTAGAAATCAACATATGCCTAATTACATTAATAAGCACCATAGTTAAAACCTCATGATCAGGCATAGAAAAAATAAGTGTTTATTTAACATACCTAAGAAGGCCAAGATAATAGGATTTGTCTAAAATTTGCCTCTGGGGACCTAAAAAAAAATTTAAATTATTAGTGTTTACTTTGGAAATGCTGCCAAAATAGCAAATTCAAAGCATAACCAGAATTACACTTCTTTGATCAACCTCATGAATGCCCCTATAAATCTGTTAATCAAGAAGAATCATGGAAATGGAAATGAGTACTAGTATTATATCATGATGACATAGTGGAAGCTTAAGCTACAAAGATGGGACTAGAGGAGGGGTAGGATCTACAGGACAGGGTGACTGAATGGAATTTGGTTTAAGGTGTCAAAGATAGAAGAACTTCCATAACAACAGAAATATTCTATATCAGCACCACCCAATAAAGCAGCTACATAGAATCTCTGAGTATGAAATTTGGCTGATGCCATTATGGATCTGAATTTTTATTTTACTTAATTTTAATAAATAAAAATTTAAATAGTTACATGTAGCTATTGGCTATCATAATGGATATGCAGGTTTAGACTGTAAGTTTCTCAATGTGTGGATGAGACTATCACTTTTCATAATTTGTTTCAGACCCTCTTTACAGCCATGATCATACATTTCAGTAAGACTAAGAAAGTATTCCTAGGCTAAACATCCCAAACCTTGCAAAGGCTAGGGAATATTGACCGTGAAATCTATGATGAGACAATAATTTTTTTTAGAATGGGGGAACGAGCACTAGATGAGCAAAAACAAAGGTCACAGTAGATAGTGATGCATATGGTAACGATCAGAACTCTTTCCTATAAGGCTTTGACATACATTGGCAGAAACTGACCATCTTAAATGATACTGATTCTGTTTTGAAGGTGAAAATAATACAGTAATATATTGAATGAATTTTCTATAGAATTTCAATATGTTTCTACCTTTAATATTTTAAAATAATATAAATATATGTGTTTCTATGAGTACATTTTTAAAAGCCTCAATGATATAATTTTGACATTTTTTATAAAATTGGTAATTATTAAGCAAACACTTCAAAATAATAAATTAGTTTATAATATTTAGTGAGCTAAGTAGTATTATAATGCAAATAGGAAGATTTAAGTCTCCTCAAATGTATAACACACTATATTATGAAAGACAGTATATTTTATAATTATTTTTTTACCAGAAGGATACCTTCATCCCTGATAAGTCATTTGTCACAAATACAAAAGACAAAAACTCAATATAAAATATTTAACCATGCTTTGATTTATATTTATAGCACATACCAATTTTTAAATTCATAATATAGTATATTGTGAGGTTTCTCTTAACACATTCAGAAAGGCACAATGAGAGATGCAGATTAAATAAATCTGTATGTTAGACTCATTCCCTTACTTATGTACTATAATAAAGTATTACTAGAATAGATATCATTTCTATATACTTCTCATAAGTACACAAGTATTTTAATAGTGCCATTTTAATATGGAAACAATCAAAAGGCACTTTAGAATATTTCTACAATACTAGAATACTAACTTTCAATCCTGAGCTTTTTACAAATTATTTTAAATTTCCTCAAGTTACATCAAAGATCCATTTCAGAAAAATGAAGACAAAATAGTGTATGTATATATGTAACTCTCTAGTTCATGACATAATTTCACAATCATTCTCTTGTTTAACCCTCACAACATTTTGTAAATCAAGGAATAAGAATTGAAACATTCTCTTTCACACTATCATGCTAATTCAGTACTATGTGACTATAATACTTTTTATACTTTTTATACCCAATATACTCATTTTCTTAAAATGAATACCTTTCATGCCAGTTTTCATTCCACTCAAACCTTGCTGTGTTACAGGACGATCAGCAACTTTGATTTGAGAAGACAGAACTCCTCCTGTCCCTAAGGGACCTCCACGAGAGCCTGGTCTTGCTGTTCCAGGTGGCATCTAAATGACAAAAAATATTTTAGTTTAGTAAACTAGAAAAATACTGTTCCTTTACTACTGTTGAAAAGGCAAAGAGAATATTTTATTATTATAATTCTATATAATTTGTAAAATATTCTTTATATTTTGGAATGTCTGAAAATGAAAATTATTAAACACACCCAACATTTATAATTCTATGACTATTAAACAATATTTCTTTAAATGAATTCTGAATTCAGGCAAGTTGGCAACAGAGTGAAGATGCAGGCTCACATCCTCTTTGTACTCCCATCTCCAGTGTAGCAAAAGAAAGCAGTTAACTCCTAAAGGTAAGACAGAGGGCTGCAGCATGTACTTGGAGCACATCCATGAGAGGGGTACCTAGCCCAGCCCTTAGTCATCTGGGAAGCCCTGCTGCCAGAGTGCCTACCAGTCATGGGAGGTAGTACTAGGTACCCACCATCTGACAGTGGACAGCTGCAAAAGCAAGAGTCAAACATCTACCAGCATCCAATCACCAGCCATAGGACATTCCCCTCCCCAGCCACGGCAGCAAGGGCCAGATTTCCCTGGCATCCATTACCAGCAGGGGAGCCAAAACTCAGGCCCAAACTCCAGCTGTGTCAGCAAGAACTGGGCTGCTGGTCCTTAGCTTCCATTCACCAGCATGGTGACTAGAGTCAGGCCAAGTAAAATAAGACAGAAGGAGAAAGATAAATACTGGATGGTGTATACTGCTGGTGGGAATGCTGATTCACCTAGCCCCGATGGGAAAATGGTATGGGGGTTTCTCAAAACATTAAAAATAGATACATGATATGATCCAGTAATTCCACTCCTTGGCATTTACCAAAGATGGCAAAAACACTAATTAGAAGGGATATACGTACCCCTATGTTCACTGCAGCACTACATACAATAGCCAAATTATAGGAATCACCTATGTGCTCTACCACAGTTAAGTGGATTAAGATTTGATACGTAAATATGATGGAATGCTATTGCGCTATATTAAAAAAAAAAAAAGCTGCCATTTGTGACAATGTGGATGAAACTGGAGGGAACTATGTTAAGTGAAATAAGCCTGGGGGAGAAAGACAAATATTGGATGATTTCACACATATGTGGAATATAGAGAAACAAAACAAAGAAACTGATAGAACTAAAGCAAAACACATTCTAGAAATGACTGCAGAACTGAGGCCATGAGAGGGGGAGAAGAGGTGGGAATTAAGTGAGTAGGGGGCCCTACGGTGCATGAAAAAGGGAAGTAGTTGCTCAGGGGTGGGTGTGGTAGACACTGCACATCTGAGAAGTTATGAACCTATTCCTCTGAACCATACAGAGTGATATAAAGCACTGTTACCTCAAATAAATAAATACATTTAAAAAATAATTCTATGTACAGAAATTATTTAAATTCTTCAAACCAGAAAGGAGCTAAATGTCCAGTTATTTGTCTTTATTTATAGAAAATGGTAAAAGTAAGGTTTAGTGTATATAAACACACACCTGTATATATAAATAGTTTATAAAACAGTATATATAATACCATTTTTGTAAAAAAAAAGGTGCAGAGTATTATTTAAAAATAATTATATAATAAAAATAGTAATAATGGTTATGTCTATATATTGAATAGTTATTTTTACTTTGTCCATTAAATTCATTCAGTATTTTCAGCATTATTACATTAAGTATATGTTACTTATAAAATAAATTTCATTTTGAATTAAAAAAATTAGTTATAATCCCACCACAGGATATTCATGTAACTGCTAAAAGGCTCACATCATTAAACAAGAATTCAGATTACTAGACATGATTCTCTAGTTTAGGTCTGCAAAATCCAGCCTGAGTTTCTATACCATGAGGAAAGGACAGAAAAATTCTTGTCAGTTCAGAGTATGGACTGGCATGAGAAAGTATAAAAGACAAAGCGAAAATGTTCCAAGATGTCCTTGCTTTGTTTTTCTTTCCTTTCTTTCCCCCTATTCTTTCTGCCAAAGCAGAAGTTTTAGATAAGGATTGGAATACCCATCATCTTATATTCTGATTATTTGAAATTCTAATCCTATCAATTAATTTAGGCCTTAAGTTAACAAAGATTCTGAGAACTACTTGGTAAATATTTTGAGTATAGGTGCCAGCAACAATAACGCATTCTAGAGAACACTGTCACTACACAGGAATACCGTCAACTACAGATTTAAATGAAATGAGTTCAGTTATCCTGAATGATCTTTGGAAGCGAATGCTAAATCTTTCCCTGGGTAAACCTTCTGAATAATTTCCTCATTTGCTCTATGCAGTCATAACAGTTACTCAAATAACTGTGTTTAAAAAAAAAATTATCAGATTATAGTATAGAGAAGAAACTAAATTAAAATTGCACACATGAAGAGCAAATACATATGAATATATCACATGAATATTATATGTATAATAATATATTATGAATATATGTGTGAATATATATATATGTGTGAATATATATTTTCAACATATTAATGAAAATAAAGGAGAAGATAAGAATGTACCATATAGTATTATCCTGATTTTGGAAAAGACTACACTAATACCAATTGTATACGAAAGGGTATTTGTAAATAGACAGAAAAGCATCCTAAAAGATGTAAGTCACAATGTTGACAATGGTTACACCTGGGGCAGAGAGAAAAAGATGTGAGACTTGCCCTCTTTTTTTTTTTTTAAACTTTTCTTTTTTAAAGATTTATTTATTCATACATACAAGAACTGGGGTACAGGCCAGAGGTGAGAGGGGAGAGGATTCATCAGAAACAGAGTGGGGAACAGAACAGGCATACTGACTGAAATACACTGCAGAGGGGTGCAGCGGGCAAGACAGGAGAGGTCTGCTGCGCCATGTGGGTTGCTCCCTGGTGAGGGATCGAACTGGTGCCACAGTGGCTGTGGCGAGCTTCATAGGTTGCATCTTAACCCCTTGTGCCACCAGGGAAGGCCCTAAACTTTTTTTTTAAAACTGTAAATTTTAAGTAGGTAAAGCACCTGGTAAATAATAGTTGGCCAATAAGTGACATATTCCCTTTATAAATATTTCACTAACAAGCATAAATTCTTATTAGAATAATAGGCAAAGATATTCTAGCTTAGTACCATATATTTATCTAGATCTACCTACTTATATAGATAAATATATATGTAGACTTCTGAACAATAATTTCAGTATAAGTTGAATATGATTGTAACATTACTTGAACTTCTAGAAAAATGAAAACTTTAAGAAAAGCCAACTTTTCACTCCAAAAAATGCTGCTTTTTTTACTAATTAAGCATAGGATCCAGTATTATCTACAGTATGCAGTTAGGCTGCTGTCTGAGTTTGTGTACCTCATATATTAATATATCTTATGAGGTAGTTAAAATCAACTCTTGTGAGCATTGAAAAATTACTATGAATATTTTAGCATATTCATTGCTTTGTATATACGCAAAAATGCTTTTTATATAAATGTTTTAAATGTTAAACTGATAGCACTCTGCCCTTTTTAGGCTTACTATTGCATTATAAAGGTATATAATTGCCGCAAATATTCTTTGGAAATAAATTTTAATGGTTACCTAATACCCTGTTATAAGCATATTATAATGTAAAACTTAACCTGTTGTAAGATCATTTACACTGCTCCCAAATTTTCAGTATGTCATAATTATTAAAAAATGAAGTAAATTGCTTTATACTATATTACTTTGCTTGGAGTTATCAGTTTGTAAACTATCCAATTTTTTTCTAATGTGGTATACATTTCCCTGAGTGATCCATTGATTTACGATACTATCTAACATTATGCTCTCAATATTTACTAGAGTTGGTTTGTAGGTTGCTGTGGTTACCTGTACATTGTTTTATTTATTATCTGTAATATATTTTTAAATTAGAGTATCGTGTTTTTTCTGATTTTTGCTTTTTTATTGTCCTTGATAAATTGGAGAATAGTTGTATAATGTTATCTCCCCTTCCACACCCAAAAGAAATGTGATGGACTTTTGATTGGACATAGGGTTCATAGTTATAATATAGAAAGAGCATTTAAAAATTAGTAGTTTGCCTTCTATTTTAAACATTTATTTTATTTATTTATGCATACAAGAGCTGGGGTGTAGGCCGAGGTGAAGGGAGTGAGAGGAGTCACCAGAGAGTGGGAAGCAAAACAGGCAGACTGACTGAACTACACTGCTGAAGGGAGCAGCAGGAGACGGGAAGTCTGCTTTGCCTTGTGGGTTAGTTCCCCTGACAAGAATCAAACTGATGCTACTATGGTGGCTGTCAATAGCTTGATAGCACTGAGATTTTAACCCCTACATCACCAGGGAGACCGCTTGCCTTTTATTGTTAAGATTTTTGAATTCTTGGGCCTCCCCGGTGGCGCAGCGGTTGAGCGCTGGGTTGCGAAGCTGCCCGCAGCCTCTGCAGCGCTGGTTCGATCCCCGGCTGCTCCCCGGCTACCGGAGGAGGGTCCCGCATGGCGCGCAGACCTCTCCTGCCGCCCGCTGCTCCCCTCAGCAGTGTACTTTGGTCCTTCTGCCTGCTCTGCTCCCCGCTCTGGCTCTGGTGAATTCTCTCACCCTCCCGCGCTTCCGACTGTACCCAGTGCTTGTATAAATAAATAAATAAATCTTTAAAAAAAAAAAAAAAGATTTTTGAATTCTATATGTGAAATACGTTATAGTATGTTTTTACTAATTAGTCATTTTTCTTTTAACTTTTTTGTAGTTTTAAATTTTCTTAAATTCGAATATACCGAAATACTCTCCCCTTCAGTGTTTAGTGTCTCTGTCATTTTTAGACAGTCCTAGAACATATTAAGTTTTATGTTACATACTTGCCAATATTTTCTTTTAGCACATTTATGATTTTATTTTCTAAATTTAAGTTTCTAAATATCTAGAATTTTATGTGAGGGAAGCATCAATTTAAAAAACAAACAAACAAACAAAAAAAATGGTTCACCAGTTTTTAAATGCCCTGTTAAATACTCCATGCTTTTCCAACTAATTTGAAATGCCACCTTATTAAATAAATTCTTACATATGGTCAGATCCTGTGTCTGGTTTATTTTATTTCATTTGATCCTAGTACCAACCCACTATATCACTGAATTATTGTAGCCTTAAAATAAATTTAAATTCATCATGAACAGGCATCTATTCTCAATAGGTCTTTCAGACAGTCTTCTAAATTTATGTTCTAGATATATTTCAAACACAAACACATACAATAGCATGCTGATAAAGAAATAACAAAGTAGAACTCTATATTATAGGCAGAATTTCCAATATTTACCAAGATATATACACAAGAATTCATAGATTTGTTTTAAACTTACTGCAGTTGCCACTCGAATATTTCCTGATGGGGGACGTATTCCAGAAGGAGGTCTTCCTGTCATCCCAACTCCACCACGTGAAACAGGACGAGTTACTGAAGCTTTATGATTGCTGGCCATGGCTCAGTCACTTTAAGGAATAGATTAATTCTCCTTTGATAGCCTTTATAGTAAGACACAATTAATTCACATTTCCCTCAAACATTTAATTAATGATAACATTTCTTACAAATTGGCATTGTAGGTACCACTAAAAAATTAGATCTGTTTTAATTCTATTTAAATTTTGACATTGATATTACATTTACATACACCTGAAGAGGTAGAAGCCTACTTTTCTGAACCATATTCACAAAGCTGTAAACCATTGCGCCTAATAAAAAAATTCTTTAAAAAATTCCATTTAGAACCATTTATTACAACATGCTCTCCTCATACTCCTTATTATTTTATCAAAATGCAATCCCTCTAGTTATAGCTCTCTGCTATGCTCTCACGGGACACTTCCAGTAAGTTTTCTCTCTCCTTGCATAGTCAGTCTTATTTTTGTCCCAACTCTTTCCTTTGCTTTCTGGTCAATGATTAACTGCTTTATATTCTTAATCTTGTTATCAAATACGTCCTTTTTCTCTTTGCCTTAACAGAATTCTGGTTTCCATGGAAAATACTTTGGGCGGTGAAGGCACTGTTAGCATCCTGTCCCATAATTCTAAACCAAAATAGATGTGTGCAGCACTCTACCTGCTCCTCAGTGTCTCCTAAACCATTATTCTCCCAAGTCTTAAAAAAACAAAACAAAACAAAACAAAACAAAATAAAACAAAAAAACAAGCAGGATTCTCTTTTCTTGAGGATCAAAGAATGCAACCATATTGCCTTAGATCTTTCCTGGTTGCTATTATGTAGGCATTTCCTAATCTCTCCCCCATCTTTATTAAAGTCCTTAACACCCAGTTGATAAACTGTCCATTCCATTCCCACCAACATATTGTATGACTTCCATTTGGAAAACAGATTCAAAACCTAACATTTTAGTTTCTTAGTTCCCTGACATAATCTGTCAGTCACCATCTCAACTTCAATCATTCAAGATCAGCAGCTTGTCAGCATCTAGAATTGCTTCATCACAAATCATCTACATAAAAACACCTTAACTCTGATCTTAAACTCCTCTCTTTCCATTCTTTTCTCCACTTTATTTTTACTACATCTCCCTTTAAACCATTTCCTCAATTCACTCAACCTCTCCTAGTTTATCAATTCCACTTGAACGTCCCATCGATATGTTAAAATACCTATAAATTTAAGCTTATTGTTATCACCACAAATTTGTTCTTTCTCTTGGTACCGCTGTCTAATCATACAAGCCAGGTTAGTGTTTATTTCTTCCTCTTCCTCATTTCCTATTCTTAATCACATAGTTTTATGGATTTTATCCCAAAATGCTTAATCTGTACCATCTTTTCTATACAGCATCACAGACTCAAGTGAATGATTACGCTGGCATCTTACCTGGTCCCCTTGCCAATACACATCTTGCCTGTTACCTTCTCTAGGAATCATTCCATGACCCTGCCATAAGCACTCCCAAGTTTTTCTATGCGTGTTCATGGACCTGTCCTATATGCCACTATATGTACCATACATACCTTATCCCAGAACCTATCACAATAATTTGCTTAGTATTTCTTCTTAAATATTTCTCTCCCTTGAGGGCAAGGTCTGTATCTTACTCATTTTCATATAACCAAAATCTCAGTGCCAGGCAAAAACCTTGTGTTTTTTGGGTAAGAAAACACATTCCTCTCATATGAAGGCACTGCCAATTGCAAAAATGTTCTAAATTGTTAAAAACAAATAATTTGTTGAACTGAAATGGTTTCTTAGTTTTTACATCCCATGTCTAGTACTTCTTTGGCTTTCCTTAGCATCACTTATGATCAGACCTTGGATTGCTTCTCTTCTCTCCATAATCTTTCATTCTTTTCTTATGACTTAATTATGCAAATGCTTTATAACTCACTATATGCAGTTCTTTCTTTTAAACTGGGTACCAATTTTGAATTTTCAATTGGTTATTGGAAATTTGTATTCAGATATGCCAGTAACACTTCATATTGAATCTATTGATGTCAAATTTACAATCTCCCCATTGCAACCAGCACTATGATTAAATTTCCCTTGTTTTGAACTCTTAAAGCAACAGGATTGTTACTGCTATTTCAAATGTAAAAGGGAGTTACATAAAAATGACTTTTTGAAAGGAAGAAAAAGTTTATGATCAAAATGGTTTCTCCAAAAGAAAGTTAACATAGTAAGCTTTGTATCCAGCACAATTTGTCACTGTTATTCTAGATTTCCTAGTAATTTTTGAAACATGTAAAATATATACAATTTCCAACCAGTTTACTTTGTCACTGCTTTACCACAGTGAAAAAAAAAAGCTTAGCATTAGCTCAGGTCCAGGGTCTAGAAAGGGGGAAGCGGAGAGGAGACATAAGGAAGAAAATGTCACTAACTCCAGGCTTATTCACTTAAATAGTCATACAATCTCAGGGTTATTCAAACAATTCACACTGAGGTAGAGTGGCCTTTGGTTCCAGAAGTCCAGATACTAACTGTGGCAGTTACCATCTGTGCAACGCCCTCTGAATGCGTTTCCTCATCTGTAAAATATAAATGTGGCAACGAGCACACCTTGCTATGAAGACTATAGATACTATAATATATATATATATAAAAAAACCCCGAAAAACAATAACCATCGGGCTCCTAAGTATTATCACCATCACTATCCTCCCTAAATCAGGTTTTGTCACATATGTAAAAAAGTAGAAAATTCCTTCCACTACGACCGAGAGAATAATCTATTTACTTTGAGTAGCATTCCTCTGTCCAGAGTGACTTTCTCTAACACCCTTGGATTCGCTTCTGAGAACTGTCTGATGAAGTATCTGAACATGCATCGCCAGACCGGAGCTGGGAATGTCCCTGATCTGGCTAGGCACTGGGAAAGCACTGCTAAAAATCATAGTTGGGTTGGTTTTCTTTGGGAGGATGAGCATCTCCAAGGTCAAGTAACCCGCGAGAGGGAGGGAAGGAAGGAAAAATTAGACTCGGGATCTCTCACCACCACAGCCGGCGCGGAAGGGGGGAAGTCAAACAACTCCGAGGCTGCCGAATTCCTTCTCGGGGTGGCCACTGCAGCGAACCCCCGCTGGGCTTGCAGAGGGGCAGCTCTCGGGCGGTTCCTGGCTTTCGAGGCGCAACTTTCTTCGGCGCCGAGGCCTCGCTGGCGCCGCGTATCCCGGCAACCGAGGCGCTGGTTGGGGGGGCGGGGGGGGGGGGCTGATTGGCCAATCTCAGGCCCAGGGCATGTAGGTGCAGCGAGAAAAGAATGTTCTCGCGAGATAGGAAGCCTAAAATTTGATTTTTCTTTTCCGTGCTTTTCTGGAATAAGTAGTGGAAGATGCAAACTGACTAGAAAAACAGACATTTTATTTGAAACCTTTTATTTTAATAATCCGAGCAACCTGATTGTGTGCGACCTGAACTCACTTAAGCGAATTTTAGGATATCGATTTGTAACCTCACTTCTGCCTCCTACCATATGTTCGACTTTTAAATAAGACTTGTTTGAAGTTATTTCATGGTAGGCGGCATTGTAGTCTTTTTACTGCTAATTCGTGGTAGTTTTTCTTCCCGTTAGGAGTACACAGTGTACCCATTATTTAAAATATGGATGCGATTCTGCTACCATCTGTTCAGGTCTTCGTTTGATTGACAACTTCGTATCTTTAAGCTTCCTTGCAAAGTTTTTCTTTTTTTTCTTTGATCCAAGTTCTGGAAGAAGGCTAGTTAAATGACAAGTAATCTTAAAGGAATTATTTTAACATCTGTTAAGAAATAAAATGCAAGAACTACTTTAGTTCAAATTCCACCTCTAATAAAGTAACTTGCAGTTGGTTTTCTGCAATAGGTAGCTTAAATGGGACTGTTCAGCTTATTTCCAACTTGCACACACCATGCAGGTTTATTGTCTTATATGCCTATCTTCTGAAGTTTCAAGTCAGTGCAATACAAAGTGAACAAACATGTCATTGTGGCTGTGTTCTCAAAGTTTGTACAAACATTTTCATGTAGTTATTCCATTTGTGCCCAACATGTTTGCAGTGATCACTTGTTATCCTTTTGGTCACTTTGTAGAGGAGTTGCCAGCCCCAAATATGCCATTTGGTAGGAGGGTTATTGTGCACTGAGAAACAAAAGAAAAGCTCTCTATTAATCCCCTACTGGCTGAAAAAAAAGGATAAACGTTTTCGCAAATGTCCTCCCTGCCAAGCAGGAAGGATAAAAGTTAATAAAGACAACTTGACTTTCCTGGTGGCCTAGGGGTTAAGCAATGTTTTCAGTTATTTGTCCCTGAATTTCTCGCTTGGATATGTGAGAAACATGTCACTATTTTTCTCTTCCTAATCTGTATTTTTGCTAGAGAGCCCTAGAAGCTGGAAAGAAAGTTTTTCTTCCTTTATACTATTGCATATTGATCGAGAGAGCTGCTGACATGGAATTCTTCCTCCTTGCTTCATACATATGGGACACCCACAGTTTGTATGCAGATAAGACAGTTGGAGCAAACCCCTTGTTTTAAATCTTTGAATTGCTTTCACACACGCAAAAAATGTGTTTAATGGGCCTCCCTGTTAGCATAAGGGGTTAAGCACCGCACTATGAAGCAATCCACAGCCTCTGCAGCACGAATTCGATCCCCGTCCAGGGAGCTACCCACACGACACAGCAGACCTCTCCTGTCTCGCCCACTGCTCCCCTCAGCAGTGTATTTCGGTCAGTCTGCCTGTCCTGCTCCCCACTCGGTCTCTGGTGAATCCTCTCACCCCCTGCACCACTGGCCTGTACCCCAACCCTCGTATGCATAAATAAATAAATCTTTAAAAAAAAAAAATCTTTTTAAGTACTCAGAACACTGTTTCTGCACAGAATTTGAGGCAAGCAATTGCTTCCAATTTGCCCCAAGCGTTCTTTCTAATTTAAAAACCACCTTAAGCTTGTAAAAAGTTCAGAAAACTGCGCAGAAAAGGAATGAAAAATAAGGGTCACGATGCTCTAAAACTCACTCGTGGGCAGAGGCCGAGAAGCGCCCCAATACACACAGCCCACGATTCAAAATATCCGGTTTCGGCGCCTCCGCTGCACACGCCCCACCAGCGCGTGGCATTGTGGGATTTGTAGTCCCGACCAGTATCCCTTGCTCCTGCAAACGGGGCCCGGAAGGACTCGAGCTAGGAAAGGCCCCGACTGGGCTGCCTGGGCAGAAGGGTCGCGCGTCGTCATAGCCTTGGCGACCGGAGGCCCAGCGCTCGGTAGCGAAGCGAGCCCGGCCTCCGCGCCGGCCTCCGCGGTCGGGACGCACACGCTCTGCGTCATGGCGGGCGGAGGCCGATGATGAATTCCGGTGTGCCCGTCGGGGTTGCTGTGTCACTCGGCCCGCCCGGCGCGCCCCTTCCCCGCCGCCCTTCCGCACCGGCTCGCGGGCTCTTCCGGTCTCCGACGCCCCTCACCTGCAGGCCCCTTTCCCGCCGCCCCCCGGCGCACGGCGGGTCTCCTGGGCGTACGGATCTCGCGCGGGGCCGCGGCCGGGGGCGCCACGCGCGGTAGGGCCATGGCGAGCGGCGCCTCCAGGTACCGGCTGAGCTGCTCGCTCTCGGGCCACGAGTTGGACGTGCGGGGCCTGGTTTGCTGCCTCTACCCCCCGGGGGCCTTTGTGTCTGTGTCCCGAGACCGCACCACCCGCCTCTGGGCCCCGGACAGGTGAGTGCGGCGGGGCGGGCCGCCTCCCGGTCCCTCGGGGTGCGGAGCCTCCCGGCGGGGTGTGGGAAGCGAGGGGCCCTCCCCGGCTCCAGCCTGCGCTCTTGCTCTCTCCCTTGGCCCTCCCGCCGCCGGGGGGCCCCTCCGAATTCTGAGAGTGTTAGCACCTTGGGCGCGCTGTGTGGGGAACCGGTGAGATGTGCCTGGAAAGAGCACCGTGTTTGGAGAACTTTTTTTGGTCTAACTTGGCCACCAACGAGTGGGTGACCTTGGACGAACCACTTGTCTTTTGGGGCTTTGGGATTTAGGCGATGATCTCTGTGTTTCTTTTAGATTTAACAAATTATGGGTGCTAGGTGTACTCTCCTAGATGAGTTAATGAAAACATCTGGCATGTAATTGAAGTTAAGTTCTTGTTTTCCGAATTTGCTCTTTAACAATCTTCCCTCGAATTTAACTTTTGAGGGCGCCAGAAACTGCATTGCAAAAAGTTGCGTTGGCTCCTCTTCTGGTCTTGGTTAGAGTTTCCAAGTCTGGGACTTGTGATGGACTTGGGTGGAGAGGAGGAAACGCTGCAGATGTCTTAGGGATATGTGGTAAAGCATTGTTTTCTTGGGGAGAGAAAGCCCGCCCAAAAGATTGTCTGAGAGATTACCCAAAAAATGAGAACGCCCCAGTTCATATTAGGTTTGAGGTTTCAACTCTGATTTGGCTGGTTGTAACAGAAAATTTATGACCTGGAATACATTTAATTTTAGAAACAGCAACATTAGGGTTAGTTCCTTTTTTCTGTAGTTAAGCCTCCAAAGGTTTAACTTACAGTTTGGGTGACCATCCTTCAGTTCAGTTGATGACTATTCTGTGCCTTCTACTTGTTTGGGATCCTAAAGAATAAGACTATGGACTCGTGCCCTGTGTTTATAGAACTTTCTGATACTCGTGGAGGGAAGATGGATCAGAAAGCAAGCAAATAAATAGACATTGGTGCATGGTACTTTGAAGAAATCAAGTAAAGGTACAGAATTGAATGGGGAGAGATGTTAAGGAGGAAAGGCTCTCTGAGAAGGGTTTTGTATTTGGTTTGTGTTAGGCTGACAAGAGATGGACAGCTTATTCTTGGGAGCCTGAAATGTGGAGGGTTTGAATTGGGAGAGCACTGTAGGTTGTAGGGAAAGGAAGCATAGAGACCATTGACTAGGAAAGAGTAAAGCCTTGTATGCTGGAGCAAATGAGCTGTGAAGTGATCTGTGAAGTGAGGGTAGGTTTTAGATGTTGGCAGGAGCCAGATTATGCCTTGATAAGGGGGCTAAGGAGAGAAGTCAGTATGTGGACTCCTTCAAAGTCAGTATGTGGACTCCTTGGAGCAGAGTGCTGCATCTCGTATACCTGTTGAAAAGTTTCTGCTAGCTGCTGGTTGGAAGGAGTTGCAAAGTGGTAACTGTGGAGGTAGATCTGCTTGGAGGCGTTTGCAGTATGCAGCCAAGAAATGGTAATAGACTAGACTAGGGATATTGTAGAGCAAACTCTGTGTTGGATGAGATGACCTCAGAAGTCTCCCAAGATTCTGTGATACCCAAAACCGCTTAGTAACATTAAAATAGAACCTTGTGTTTTATTTGGGCACAGTTAATTAAGTTTATATTTAAAAATTAAGTTCAGCAGAAGCATGTGCAATTTAAGATATAAACATTGCACTACAGAGGATTTAAAGGATGCTTGGTGTAAACTTTTATGTTTTGTGGGACTGTCCTGCATTTACCAGGAGCTTGAGGGTTTTTGTTGTGCAGAAATGATTGCATGTTTGAAATCGAGGGGTTTTTTTTCCATTTAACTCATGTTTTTTTGTTTTATGTTTCCAAATTTTATTTTTTATTTATGTATGTATTCAACTCATGCTGATTGAGAGCCTGCATTGTGCCAGGCACAGAGCTAGATAGTAGTTAGTGAGGTTAGATTGTTTTACCTCCCATTTCCAATTGCTCAGGTTAGAACATCTCATCATCACTGGTGAGAAAGCTCTTATGCATCCCAACTAGAGCATCTCATCTATAGCGTTAGTGATATAATAAAGTGTCCTCCAAGTTAATGATGTGCTATTAAATATTTGGAGACATGATAAATGAAATGTGTCTTCCCATGTACATTGTTTATCAGGGCAGTAAGTGTAGGGATGGACTTGAAAGGTTAGGGGAATTTAATTTGATTCCAGGGAGGCAAAATGGTTCTATTCTAGGGAGAACTAAACCAGATACCTTATCTTTTACAAAAGCCCATTGAAAACCCAGGAAGTCTGGGCCTTTTGAATGCCCTTCCAAATGAGAGATACACTATTTTTTGGTTGTGCATGGAACTGGATCTCTCAACATGCCATTGTTTTAGACTGCTTCAGGCTTCTCAGTCCACTTCATGTTAAACTGGATTTCGCAAGTCTATCAGCTGTTGCTTTGCCTTTTGAATGCTATCCATATATGAAAGATACAACTTCAGATTGTCTATTTAATATGCATTAAATCCTTCCTGATCATTCCAAGACTGAAGTGACTTGTTCTTCATGTGAACACTCAGCATTTTTGGTTCTTAATCAGATATTTCTGTGGTATTCAAAAACTCAGAACCATTCCCTCCCTCCTCTCATTTTCCTTTCTTTGAAGATAAAATTTTCATCTCTTTGCTTATTTTTGTATCTTATTTATCCTTATATAAAGTGCTGTATTGCTGTCTATTTTTTAATTTCAGGCATTTTTATTAGTTTCAGTTATGGTACATGAGAATTTAACTGTATCATCTGCCAACCCCCATCATATTACATCCCTTCTATGTCCTGATCCTTATTATACAGGTAATTATATTATAGCTTAGCTTAATTTTATTAACTATAATAGAGCTTTATTTAGATTAAATCAGTATTTTGTGTTAGCATGTGTAATCTCTCAACACCTGATCTGTGAAATAAGGTGTGATAACTTATCCTCAACAATTTTATGCTTTCTCTGTAGTTAATGTCTCTTTTGGTTTTCACTTGCGTAGTTTTAGTGATAGATCACTAATTCAGCTTTAAGTTCTTTGCTGGCTGTCTAAATATTGTCTCAAGACCTTTAGACATATTGGAAAATTTCCAGTTTCATCTTCTTGACAATGAAGACTTTTTGAACTGGTCTATCAGCTCATGACAGTTAATTCTGAGACCTCCCTTTACTGTCATCTCTGTCATCCCCTTTATGGACAACATGTGTTGGATTTCTATTATTAATATCCATTAACTTTCTCTTTCTTAGTTTTCTTCCTTGATGCCTTATTGGAACACATTCTCCTGGGGTTTTGCCTGAAATGTAATGCAGTGAAAATAAATGTATTAAAATCTTGCAAGACTGAAAGTGATATTATTCTGCCTTGCTAACTTTCTAATTTCCAAATAAATATTCTTAAGAATTTGAAGCTATTGCTTCATTATCTTTTAGCTTCTAGTGTTACTGTTGAGAACTCTGAAGCCATTTTGATTGATATCTATATATCTCTCTCTCTATATATAGAGAGAGATATATATATATATATTTTTTTTTTTTTCTTCTCTGGAAGGCAGTCTATATTCATCCAGTTTTCAGAGCCTTCTTGTTTATAAAAAGTCATTTCCTAAGTTCTGGGACATTTTCTTATTAATTCTTTGGTATTTTTCCTATTTTCTTTTCTGGATCTGTTTTTATTGAGACACTGCAATTGTTTCTAAATCTCTGTCTTCTCATTGTGCTATAACCTCCTCAGAGACTGACTTGACTTTCTGTAAAGTTATGTTCTTGTTTCATGGCTGCATGAAAGGATAGTAATGATGATTGTTTTTATTTTTACTGTCCTTTGTGGCTTGTATCTTCCAAATTGTTTGTTTTCTCTTTCCTATTTGTTTTGGCCACCATACTGTGTGCTGGAGGACATTTCCCCAAAATGTTTGGTAGTTCTTATTCTGTGCTCAGTGTTAGGGGTAGGGAGCTTAAACAGCTGCTGGGAATCTTTGCTCTTGGTGGGACTTGCTGGCTGAGAGCTTCACGGTAGCTTCCCTGACTGGACCGTTTCACTGGACTGATCTCCGGCCTCAGAGATGGCTGCCTGATTGCCACGGTTTTGTCTTTGGTAGCCTTGGGCACCATTATAAGTACATGTTCTTCATGCCGCAAAGCTCAACAAGGCCTTGTGTCACCCCATTTAAAGATTTTCACCTTTTCTAGAGAAAAATGTTTCATATTTGCTCGATGCAAATAGGACTACTGTCTGTCTGAGGTGTCTATATTTTTTTTTAGTCTATATTTTTTCAATGATTCAAGAAATACTGTTTACTATGTAGAACATTGTGCTAGGAATTTGAGAATGTAAGAAGAAGAACCAGATATGGATTCAGCCTTTAAGAATTTCACAGACCACCGTGGGAGATGCACATAAACACCTAAGCTGGGAACTGCTGTGTGTCACAAATAGGTAGATTTAGTAGTTTACATAATAGTTTTTTTTTTAAAACATGTCCTACCTTTTAAGTTCCTTTGGGCTAATTGATAAATGTTATTTAAAAGCACAGTTTAAAAAAAAAAAAACTCACCAAAATAAAATAAAAGTTAAAAATACCTACTACCAGATCTTATGAAGACTTTTTTTTCATATGATTCAGTTTCTGACTTACTCTGAAGACTTTCAACTTAGTCTGCCTTATTCTAGTCCTACCCTTTTTTCTCTTCCTTTTTCTAGAGTTACATGGCGCTGGCAGTTCATGAATCTGTAGGGGATTCATTGGTAAATTGGTTCTTTACTTACTTATACAAGAACGGGGGTATAGGCAAGAGGTGCAGGAAGGTAAGAGAATTCACCAGAGACAGAGTGGGGAGCAGAACAGGCAGACAGAAGCAGTGAGCAAGACAGGAGAGATCTGCCGTGCCATTTGGGTATCTCCCTGGCCAGCTGGGAATCAAACCTGTACTGTAGAGGCTGTGGACAGCTTCACAGTGCTGCACTCAACCCACTGCGCCACTGGGAAGGCCCTCTTTTTTTTTCCCTTTTCTCTCTGGCCTTGTTGGTTTATGTCTTTCCTAATTTATATATTATATACACATATACATGAAGGTGTATACCTATATGCATATGTGTATATACCCATATTCATGCATATATGAAAAAAATAGATATTCTAAGATAGACAACTCCACAAAATAACCAAAAAAAAGGAAAAGAGAAAAGGATTATAACTTTGAACCCTGAGGTGAACAGAAAAGTAGTAAAGACCTTAGTACAGGTGAGAAAAATGAATTCTAAGCAGGCAATTAGGGAAAGTAGAGAAGCAGTTTACCATTGAATTCCCCAAAGGCTCAAGAATTAGTAGTGGGTCTCCCTGGTGGCGCAGCGGGTTGGGCGCAGCTGATTGAACGCAGCGCTGTGAAGCTTTCTGCAGCCTCTGCAGCATGGTTTGATCCCGGGCCGGCCAGGGAGATACCCACATGGCATGACAGACCTTTCCTATCTCACGCTGCTCCCCTCAGCAGTATATTTTGGTCCTTCTGCCTGTTCTGCTTCCTGCTCCATCTCTGGTGAATTCTCTCACCCACCCGTGCCTCTGGCCTGTACCCCAGTTAAAAAAAAAAGAATTAGTAGTGCTATGTACTTCCAAGTATTTTGGGGAGAGAGTTAAAAATAGAGGAGTATGTTTGATCTGTGTGGGAGTCTTATCTCTTTGTGTGCACTTGTTTTATCTCCTTCAGCTGGACTGTATACTCTGATTCAACTTGAGCCAGGGTTATCATATCCCTCTCAGCAGCTAACTTCCTACCACATAGTTTATCACAACCAGCTATTTAGTTCGGTATATAAGCAATGATGCTAAGTGACTGATTCACATAACAAATTATTCCCAAAGCAATTATTAAGGGGCAGTATCCCTAGAGCAGCCATTTATATGTCCCTCTATTTGTTCCTTTAGTTTGCATATTGAGAACGATCCATATTCTAGCTACTTAGATACACACACTATGCTAATGGGTACTAAAATGCTTCATAGTGTGAAAATGTTCTCTCTATGTAAAGCCTTATTGGTAGTGGATTCCATTTTCCTAATTGCATGAATGTTTCACTTCAACAGGGATTTCTTAGAGTAACAGTCACTAATGTGTAGAAATGAAAGAGGATGAAAAAATACCATGTAGGATATTTGTTTCCTCTCTTTCCTCACTTGTTCTTTCTGCTGATGAACAAATTCTTACCAATGAAACAGTGACCTTTTATTCTGATGTGAACCTCTGTTGTAGCTAATATAAATTAGCTATTTAATATTTAATTTCAAATTATATGCTCTCTACAGTTCACCCAAGAACTAAATGAGTACCTGATAAGCCTATGTTCAGCTAAGTGAGGGGACAAACGTATATTACACTAATTATCATGCTTTTCCAGTCCTAACAGGGGCTTTACAGAAATGCATTGTATGAGTGGCCACTCCAATTTTGTATCTTGTGTATGCATCATACCTTCAAGTGACATGTACCCTCATGGACTAATCGCCACAGGAGGAAATGACCACAATATTTGCATTTTCTCACTGGACAGTCCAGCACCACTTTATATACTAAAAGGTCACAAAAATACTGGTGAGTATAATGCTTTGATATTTTTCTATTTTAGGACATTTCATCTTTTGAAATTGAACTTGATATCCATTTTCCTAAGTTTTTATTTTATGTTGTTTTTACTTATAGCTGTAGTTTGATAATGAAAATCTTTTTGGATCATCATAATCTTATAAATGTCTCTTAATTCTCTTATAATTTTATTGTCATTAAATATTGTCATGCTTATATATGTAAAAAGTAAAGTGTTCAGTTACAAAAGGCACTGTATAATTCTAACCTGCACTTTGTGATTTTGGTTTTTCAACTATGTAATGTAAGAAGTTCATTTTCAGACTTGTAAAAAACTATTGTAGAAATTCTCATTTATATAAAAGGAGAAGCAGTATTTTATAATGTGTTTTAGATAAATCTGTGCAGTCATGTAATGCTTAATGACACTTGTTCCTGTCAAAGATGGATCATGGTTGTCCCGGGTCTATACGACAGCCTCCAAGTGTAGTGGACAATACCATTTAGATTTGTGTAATTATACTTGACGAGGTTGGCATAATGACAGAATCGCCAAATGGCACAATGAAATGTATATATTCCCATTTAAGGGATATGTGACTGTATAAAAGAGGTAATAGTATGGTGGTCCATTCACCCATGTGTTTACATGGCTTCAAAGGTTGTTATCACATGGCCTATCTTGTTTTATCTTCCCCCCTTTCAAATAAGGTTTTATAAAAGAATTCCAATATACTCTTTCTTTCCCTCCCTCCCTTCCTTCCTTATGTGGCTCTAAAACAGGGATTGTCAACTTTCTGTAAAGGCCAGATGTAAACATTTTGAGATTTATAGGCCTGTGGTTACTATTACAACTACTCAACTATTCAGCTCTGTTATTGTGTACAGAAGCAGCCATCGGCAGTAAATAAATGAATGAGCTTATCTGTATTTCAATAAATTCTTATTTATGGACCTTGAGGATTGAGTGTCATAAATTTCGTGTTAGGAAATACCGTTTTTTTCCTTCTCTCAATCACTTAAAAATATAAAAGCCATTCTTATTGTGTGAGCTGTATAAGAATAGGTAGTCCACATGTCATAGTTGGTTGACCTCTCAAAGATAAGGATTCAGTCTTTAAAAAGTAAAAACTATTGTTATATTTCCTAAATGAATGTTCCGATTTGGCCTGCTTCATAAATTTTTTATTATTTGAATTGTGACCAGACAAGATCCATGTCTTTAAATCTGTTGGTTTCTTCCCTTACTATTTTTTTTTTTAAAGATTCATTTATTTATACAACAAGAACTGGGGTATAGGCCAGAGGTGCCGGAGGCAAGGAGGGGTGGGCACGAGAGGACTCACCAAAGACAGAGTAGGGAGCAGAGCAGGCAGATGTACTAAAATACAGTGCTAGGGGAACAACAGAACAGTGGGTGAGACAGGAGAGGTCTACTGCTCTGTATGTAGGTTAGCTCCCTGGCCAGGGATCCAACTCATGCAACAGTGACTGGCTGGATGTAGCTTGATAGTGCTGTGTCTTTAACCCCTGCGCCCCCAGGGAAGCCCGCTTTCCCTTACTATTTGAAAGCAGGTTATTTTACTTGTAGAATTTTCTGCATGTGAAATTTGCTGATTAAAACTTTGTTGTTTCCTTTAACATATTCCTCAATCCCCTATATTTCTTGTAAGCTGCTAGTTAGATCTAGATGGTTGATCAGATTCAGATACAAGTTTTTGGCAAGAATACTTTGTAGGAAGTATTGAGTACTTTCTGTTGTAGCACTTTGGGAAGCACACACTATCTCTTGTGCTGTTAAGATTGATCGGTGGGTTCAAATTATGTGAGTTTCATTAATTCATTATAAAGTTTCCATTATAAAGATCCAAAAACATTTATATTATGGTTTTTAGAATCTGTTGATGATCATTGCATAAGTCCATTATTTCATTAAGGTGTATAGGTGGTTATAGTTTGATTCTACCATTATTTCTGCATTTAATAGGTAGTCCCCAAAAAGGGAGAGCTACCCCAGTCTATTACTGGTTACTTACTTGACTTGCTCTCCTTTCTTCAGGTAAAATATATTCCTCTCTCCCTCTCAATGTCAGACAAACTGAAACTTTAAACATAACATCAAACTCAAGGCTAAGTGTCTCTGGATAATAGTAGTCTAAACATCAGGGTGGTGATGCTTGCATGGTTTTACATGATCACTTCTAGACATAGTCCCTTTTAAATTAAGACACCTGTGGAATAAAAACACTAGTTATTTGTCGCCGATTTACTCAATACAAATTGTGGAACAGGATAATCAGAGCCAATACTACGTTTTGGAAAAGCGAGCAATGCAAGATAGCCATTTTTAACCTGGAGCCATTATGAAATCCATATGCAAGACTGTTTCAGGACCTCGTGCTCTGAGAGAGGAGAGAGATTTGTGATTCTCCTCAAAAGGTGTTCCCCCAGTCCCATTTTTCTTTATGGCTCTGCTCTGACCTATAGGGACACTACACATTAGTAATTGCTTTGGGAATAATTTGTTACGCGTGTGTCACTTATGCATCACTGCTTATATAACTATATGGCCCTTATGATAAACTATGTGGCAGTGAGTTAGCTGCTAAGAGACTCAAGTTGAATCAGAGTTTGTAGTCTAGGTGAAGGAGATGAAACAAGTGCACTCTTCCTGTATTTTCCTGGGTTACATTGAAGTATATGCCCTTCTTGGGAACTAAGCAGCTATCTTACCTTGCTTTCTGCTTGTGGGAATTGGGAACACAGGAGTCTTTTAAGCCTTAAACAGTCACAGACTCTTTGATTCTTGGCAATATGACTTTCTTAAACTAGTTCCCTACAAGTCTAACTGTAGAATTGCCACCAGAGTGGGAGAGTGAACAGCTGGGTGTAAAGGGGCCCAGTGGACTATAATGGAGGATTATGGGTTCCTTGGTGGTGGGTGGTAGCATACATATGAAGAGACGTGATCCCATACCTCTGAATCAACACAGTAAGGTATCTTAATTGGTCTCTGTGTCACTAGCCCTATTTAGCTGTAGTCTGCATTTGCTGTATTTCTCTCCCCTCTCCCTTCTGTACTTGCCTCACCAGATTTAACTACTGATAACTTGAGCCGGTCAGACATCAGTGGGATGACTGCCGTTTGGTTGTTTTCCTTGAGCTCTTTGCCCAGTTGAAAACATTTATTATCATGGCAAGAGGTTTTGGCTTCAGAAATACTTTAAATCCATATGGAAGTTTTGACAACTGTTTGTGATGGCCATATTTATTTTTTTCTTTATTCTTGCTGCATGACTGAATTTCAGTTGCCCTTTGCTGCTGGAAGAGCGTTCAGATTTACTCTTTTCATTTACGATTGAAAGTTGACTCCTCCAGCCCTTCAAGTCCGTAAATTTCTGGACTCTCCATTTCTGCTTGAAAATTAGCTAATGCTTGATCTTTTTCCATTCTTTTCCTGCTTAGTAAAATGTAACCAGTAGTAACCATTCCTGTTAATAGAAGTCTCACTTTCCAAACTTTCTTTAGGTTATGTGTTTTTAATATCCTCAGTTATTGCAGGCAACTGTTTTACAAAACATTCCTGCACAGTGTTAAAAGGATCACTGACCTTGCTTTCTTTGGTCTCCTCATGACTCATCAAGTGAGTGCCATGTATTTTAGATTTTTGTTTCACAGTGCCTTCTGCCGATACCTGGATCATTCAGGTTTGCTAGATAACATTGTGCTAACAGACAACTCCAGATATCAGTGGCTTAATACAGTGTAAGATTGCTTAGCTCTTCATGGCACAGTACTGGGCTCTGCCCCTTAGATTCACGCAGAGGCTTTATCCCAACGTATTTTTACAGACTTTGGAGCGGGGAGGAGGGTGGGAGAGGGAGACATACTTGTATCCTGTCCTTAAAGCTTCCACATGGAAGTAACATTATTTCCTCTCATTCTTTAATGCTAGAACATGTCATGGAAATTGCCAAAAACCAAAGGAAATGGAGAAATTCAGTCTTAACATTTGGTTAGACAGCAAAGAGCAGAAAATGTTTAATGGATATCAGTGATGGCTGCCACACACATTAAATAATCATCTGTTTCATGTTTTCCCAGAAACTTCCCTCTTACATTCTGCTGTTGTATTCACACTCCCTGGATTCCACTTTGCATGTCTGTTTTCTAGATTCTACATTTTTTGTTATTCTTAACTCCTTTAGTGTAATATAGCTGTTGCTAAGAAAGATAAGACTGTAGTTAAATCATGTTTGCATATTGGAAAATGGCTGTACTTCACCTTTATGTTTGATTGTTAATTTGGCTAGCTATGGAATCCTGTGTTACAACCATTAACCTTAGAATTTTGAATTTACTCTTTTTACATCATTGTTCATTTTTCTGTAATATTTGATTTCTTCCCACAGATGTAATCCCTGTAAAATTCCCACCACCAAATCACCTGTGAACCGTCACCATAGTCTATTTTGCTCTTCTCTCCCCATTTTGACTCCTTTCCCTGATTCTCCCCTGCTGTATGTCTCAGATCGATAGTTTGCCTGCTAGTTGTTTTTTTTCCCCCAACTCCTTCTTCGCTTTCCCTGTATCCCTCCTATAAGTGAAATCATTTGATACTTTACTTTTCCTTCTGACTTACTTCACTGAGCATAATCCCTTCTAACTCCATCCATGTTGCTGGGAATGGCATGAGTTTATCTTTTTTGATGCTGAGTAATATTCCATTGTGTATATATAAATACCACATCTTCTTTATCCATTCATCTGTTTGTGGGCATTTGGGTTGTTTCCATATCTTAGCTATTATAAATAGTGGTACAGTAAACATAGGAAGTCGCATTTCCTTTCGAATTAATATTTTTGTGTTTTTGGGCTAGATTCTTAGGAGTGGAATTGCTGGTTCATACGGTAGTTCCATTTTTAATAATTTGAGGGTCCTCCACACAACCTTCCATAATAGTTGAACCAGTTTGCATTCCCACCAGCAGTGTAAGAGGGTTCCTATTTCTCCACATCCTTGACAGCATTCATTCTCAGTTTTTTTAATGTGGGCCATTCTTACTGGTATGAGGTGGTATCTCATTGTGGTTTTGATATGCATTTCCCTGATAATAAGTCATGTTCAACAATTTTTCGTATGTCTTTTGGCCATCTGCATTTCCTTTTTGAAGAAGGTCTCTTTAGCTCTTTTGCCCATTTTTTGACTGGGTTGTTTATTTTTTTGTTGAGTTGTGTAAGCCCTTTGTAGCTCTTTGATATAAGCCCTTTATCAGTTGTATGAATTGCAAATATTTTTTCTTAATCTGTAGGGTGTCTCTTCATATTGGTTTTGTCTCTTTCACTGCACAGAAGCTTTTTAGTTGATGCAGTCCCAGCTATCTTTTCCTTCATTTTCTTTGCTTTGGGGGATGCATCTCTAAGATGTATGTCATGGAGTGTTTTGCCTGTGTTTTCTTCTATATATTTTATGGTTTCAATCAGGTCTTTTATCCATTTTGTTTACTCTATTGTCTTTTAACTTATGTTACTAAGAAGTTTAATGCTACTCTGATACCCAACTTTTCTATGGGTTAGTTTTCTTGCCTCCCAAACTTTTAGGATCTATTTCTGATGTTATAAAAATTCACAATGCATCTCTTTGTTTCTGAAAATGCCTTTTATTGGGCATATTTGTGGGTTGATTCAATTTAGTTACTCATGTCCTTCACTTTGGGACTCTTACTATTTCCTCTGTGCCCCCCCACCCATTATCTTTTCATGGAGTCCCTATTTAGTTGGATGAGGAGCATGCTGAGTTGGTTTTCTAGCAAAACTTTTCTTTCCTATTTTTCATGTCATTGCCTTTTTGATCTCAATTTGGGTATTTTTCATTTTTTTTTTTTTTTTAAAGTATAGCTCTCCTTTTAGTTTTTTACTTATTTTCACACTGGAATTTTTCCACCTCTTGCCTGCATTTAGGGAGATATATGCCTGACTACTGTTATTGCAGGAGCAGAGGACTACAGGTGCCCCATTGCAGGATGTAGGCTTTACCCACTCCCCTTGTGTACAGGAAGACTCTTTTCACTAAGCCTGGCGTCTTTAATCTTGAAACTGCTTTAGTTTCCCTAGAGAATAAAACCTCTTGTCTCCTGTAGTGAATGAGGATGTATTTTCTGATTAAGTTGCAAGGGGTATCTATTGTTTCGTTTTGTTGTATGCAGACTTTGATTCGCTCTTTTCATTTTTCAAGTCCTAGTTTCCTCCGTGGAAACTAGTAGAGGGATATTGAATCTCATAGGAGCTTTGTGGGGCCAGTCATTCTGCTTCTAACCACTCTTCTGTGGGCATCTAAATTACAATTTGCTCTATTTTGCTAAGTTAGTTATGTTGTTTCCTGTTGTATATAAACTTCTTACAGATTCAATACCATTTATAATGTTACATGGAAAACCTGCCATTTTTAATTAGAATTGTCTCTGTTTCCATATTTTTAAGACAAGTTTTCATGTTCATTTATAGCCTGTATATTTTTTAATGCCTGTATAATTTTATGTCAAGATAGTAAGACAATTATTTCACTGTTTCATTACTATTACACACTTATCTTGGCTACAGTTTTCACATTTTAGTTAAAATAATCTGTATGTTTCAAAACCATTTGTATTGTTTTATCTTCCTACATAGTTCTTAGAACTGAAGGCTTTGTGTAAGCCACTTAATCCTCTTCTTTCATTTTACACATGAATAATCTGAGGGTTAAGAAATAGTCTGGGGCCTCCTCGGTGGCGCAGCGGTTGAGCGCTGGGTTGCTAGGCTGCCCGCGGCCTCTGCGGCGCCGGTTCGATCCCCGGCTGCTCCCCGGCCACCGGAGGAGGGTCCCGCATGGCGTGCAGACCTCTCCTGCCGCCCGCTGCTCCCCTCAGCAGTGTACTTCGGTCCTTCTGCCTGCTCTGCTCCCCGCTCTGGCTCTGGTGAATTCTCTCACCCTCCCGCACTTCTGACTGTACCCAGTGCTTGTATAAACAAAACAAACAAACAAACCAGCAAACAAATAAATAAAGCATGCCTCTTAAAAAAAAAAAAAAAGAAATAGTCTGTGGTCACATAGCTCCTAAGTGGCACAACTTGGACTTGCTCCCAGGCTGTCTGGTACCAGTCAGTCGGCTCTTTTTTTTTTTTTTTTTTTTTTAAAGATTTGTTTTATTTTATTTATTTATTTATACAAGCACTAGGTACAGTCAGAAGTGCGGGAGGGTGAGAGAATTCACCAGAGCCAGAGCGGGGAGCAGAGCAGGCAGAAGATCCAAAGTACACTGCAGAGGGGAGCAGCGGGCTGCAGGGGAGGTCTGCGCGCCATGCGGGACCCTCCTCCGGTGGCCGGGAAGCAGCCAGGGATCGAACCGGCGCTGCAGAGGCTGCGGGCAGCTTTGCAACCCAGCGCTCAACCGCTGCACCACTGGGGACACCCCAGTCAATCTGCTCTTTACTACAACACTCTTCTGCACATCTCAAGCCTTAATTGACTAAGATACTGTCACAAAGTGCTTCTAAAATTGCAGTGCTTTAACAATTAGCAAAGTGTTGAGCATTATTCTCAATGAATATGTGTTAACTGGTGCCTTTTTCCCTCTTTTTAGTTTGTAGTCTTTCATCTGGAAAATTTGGGACATTACTTAGTGGCTCATGGGATACTACTGCTAAAGTCTGGCTGAATGACAAATGCATGATGACCTTACAGGTACAGTACTTTTTTGTGACTATTCTAGATAATAATATATGATGATTCAGTAGAAACATAAATTACTACCCATTTTATTCACAGGGTCATACAGCTGCCGTGTGGGCAGTAAAGATCCTGCCTGAACAGGGCTTAATGTTAACTGGATCAGCAGACAAGACTATTAAGCTGTGGAAGGCTGGAAGATGTGAGAGGACTTTTTCAGGTAAGATTAGAGTAGACAACTTTTATAATCTAATCCTTTTTTATTTGTTCAGATGGTTTTTTCTCTAAAGTTTAGAAACTAGAAAATGGTAATTGAAAAGCATCCCTGTATTTGAGTCACTTAATATGGCATGTAATTTTTCTAAAAATTAATATTTAATATATTTTAATGATATAATGAGACCTTTCGTAAAACAATCAGATGTGCACTAATAATAGCTACCTGATGAGATGTGATATATGTATGTGCTTCTGTGTATTACAGATATGTAATTTCTGGCTAGCCATTATGTTTTTGGCTTTTATTTTCATTTTAGCAAGGTAAACTTCCAAGCATAAACCTTATTGGTGTGTCAGTAGTGTCATCTTCACTCATGAAGTAAAACATCAGTATCTTTATTAGTAATAAAGTACATTAATACTAACAAATATTAGATTTTTATTGTGATTTCAGGTGGGTAGTCTATTTAAATTTAAACATTTAAATAACTCTTAGACTGAAGCATTTGCTATCTAATATCAGTAGTGCTAATTTATTGGGAGTCACGTTTCTGATGGGTTTTTTCCTTACTTTTATTTATTTCTTTGAAGTTGAACACTACACTCTATAGTACTGTAAAAAGTTCGTTGTGGACATAAGGCTATCTGTAGGTAGAATATAGACAATGAGTTATAACTAAACATGCCTGTTTTTCTGCTTCCATACAGAAAACGCACGTGTGTGTGTGCGTGTGTGTGTAGCTGTTGGTAATCTGGATAGTTAATCTAAATCAGCAGATATTGTGCACAGTGACTTCTGATCTTATTTACTAGATCACAAGTTCATAGAATGCTTTGCCGTTAATTATATAGTAATACCTTCAACAATGCTTCAATAAATAGTGAAAGAAATAAAATTTTATCAAGTTTTTGAAAATATTTAATAGTTTCTGTTAAGTAGAATATATGTGTGAATGTGTGCTTATACACACATGTATGTGTGTATACACATACATACATATATTCACATGTATGCATATTGACACATACATTAATTCATACCTATATGTATATATGCATGCATATGTATGTATATACATACACATATATGAACCTAATGCAAGAAGTTTGTTCCATAAATTCTTACCTTTAAAAAAAAATCACTGATCATTAGTTTTTATTTCACCATTTTAATGCCTGAATTTATATAAATTGTGAAATACTTCCATTGATAATGCAGTGGGGTTTGGCTTTCTGTTTGCAATTTGGTTGTATCAAAGGGGCAGAATAGGTTATGATTTGATTCAAAAAAGGTAAGATTGGGCCTCCCCGGTGGTGCAGCAGTTGAGCGCTGGGTTGCGAAGCTGCCCTCAGCCTCTGCAGCGCCAGTTCGTTCCCCAGCCGCCAGGTGAGGGTCCCACATGGCGCGCAGACCTCTCCTGCCGCCTGCTGCTCCCCTCAGCAGTGTACTTTGTCACTCTGCCTGTTCTGCTCCCCGCTCTGGCTCTGGTGAATTCTCTCACCCTCCTGTGCTTCTGACTGTACTCAAAATAAATAAATAAATCTTAAAAAAAAAAAAAAGGTAAGCTTATGAAGTGGGAAACTTGATTCTTACTTTAGCATTGCTACTAGTTGTGGTTTTAGATAAATTAATCTCTTTCAGCCTATCTTATATTTTAATAAAATTTACTTTTAGTGATGAAATTTTTACTTTGACTCTTAAATAATTAAATTCCTTTTGTGATATCAATTTTTGTGAATTTCTTCCAGTGTATTTTGAATATAAATCTTAGCATTTTGTGCTGAGATTGAGGGAATCTTTGTTACATTCAATTATAGTGTATGCTCTTGATTACTCTTGTTATTGGGGAAAATTAGGTGTAATCAATTGTCAGGTAAAAATAGAAAATTGAGGGGATCAAAATTGTGTTTCTAGCAGGTTTTAAAAGAAAGATAAGATGAATGTAAAATAACTTTGCAAGACTGATGATAAAAAGTGGTACCAAACACAAAACACTGTTTACTTGGCTTTTCTACAAAAAAAAAGATTATCTCTAACTCAAAAATCATTTCTTAGTACTCACTGATCTTCTGTAATGGTGTAGTAAGTTACATAAAGCTATCAGCAAATGATCCATTTTATTGAAATATGTTCTTTTTTTAATATAGGGCATGAAGACTGTGTAAGAGGTTTGGCAATCCTGAGTGAAACAGAATTTCTTTCTTGTGCAAACGATGCTAGTATTAGAAGGTGGCAAATCACTGGCGAGTGTCTTGAAGTATATTATGGACATACCAATTATATTTATAGCATATCTGTCTTTCCAAATTGTAAAGGTAAGATTATATTTCACTATTAATTCAATTTTTTTTTTAAGATTTTATTTATTTTTGCGTAGACGAATGTAGAAGAACTGGGGTGCAAGCCAGAGGTGCAGGGGGTGGTAAGATGATTCACCAGAGAAAGAGCTGGGAGCAGAACAGGCAGATCTACTGAAATACACTGCTAAGGGAAGCAGCGAGTGAGAATTGAGAGGTCTGCTGTGCCATGTGGGTTAGCTCCCTGGCTAGGGATTGAGCTCAGGCCACAGCAGTCATATCATGATAGCACTGAGACTTAACCCCTAGGCCACCAGGGAGGCCCTGTATTAATTCAGGTTTGATGAATGTGTTGTAAAAAGTTCATACATATTTGAGGAAAGACTTTGTATAACTTGTTAGAATGAGGTATAGGATGTAAGATATAGAGTGTATAAAATTGTTATTTTTGATAATATGGTATAAGTGGCAAATAACATAAAATTTGAAACTTTAAAATACTTTGGAATCATCTAGAAAGATAATGTGTGTAGATATATATCTTTTTTTATTCAAACTTACTTTTCCTGTATTCATTTTAGATTTTGTGACAACAGCAGAAGACAGATCTCTGAGAATCTGGAAACATGGGGAATGTGCTCAAACCATTCGACTTCCAGCTCAGTCTATATGGTGCTGCTGTGTGCTAGACAATGGTGACATTGTGGTCGGTGCGAGGTATTTATATTATATTCAGTCAATAAAGTGTCTAGCTAAATCTTTGGTAGACTGTGGGAGTGCACAGTGATAAGCATAAGGAATTTCAGGTGCATGGGGGGCATATATATGCACTTTGGGTTACCAAACAGAACAGTAGTGAGTGTAACAGCTTTTACACAAATGACATATGTACTGCAAGTTATGCAGTTGAAACAATGAATGTAAGAGAATTGATGTTCAGGAAAGTAGAGTTTGTTGTGGGAAAACTTTCTGGAAGAGGATGTCATTTGAATTGAATTTTGAAAGATAATAATAAAGGAAATGAAGCTTATCAAAAGAAATGATTAATAAAGGTAGCTTGAGAATGAAAGTGATACATGTAAAGATGAAGGAAAATGAAGTACAAATGCTGGGGAATAGTGTATAATAAATAAGGTGGGGCTTAATTATGGAGAACCTTGAATGGCAGGCATTTTTTAGATTGTATGTTTGGGGTTAAAAGGTTTTTGCTCTAAAGCTAGAATTGATAAGATTAAAGCAGAATTTGTGAATTATTAAATATGTCAGTAGTATTTAACTAATGGTAACAGTGGGCAGGAAAACAAATTAGAAAGCAGTTGTAGTAAGGGGTATGACGTTATGAAGTATTGGCCCCACATGCTGGTGGATAAGAGAACAAAAAAAAAAAAACAAACACAACAGATAATGTTGAGGAAAAGTGATCAGAAAGGGGATGAAAGAAAAAGCTAAAGCTTTAAACTTTGGATGATTGGAAATCTGTGCTAATAAAAATGCAAAGTATAAGAATTGGTTTGGTGCAAGGATGATTACCTTGGTTATAGACCTGCTTGAGGTCCAAGTGGTGGAGAGCCAAACTCATGCCAGTGGGTGTGGGAAGATGTACTCCAGCCTAGGGTAACGACTCAAACCGAAGGCAAAGCTTGGCACAAAACTGCCAGAGACAAGCAATAGAACATCTTTCTCTGAGGGAAGTACATACATAGGAGGAGGTATAGAAAGCTATAGACTGAATCATCATATACTGTGGGTAGAAAAAGAGAAGCAAGTAGGTTAAAGAGAAGAAAGAATTCAGATACTGAAATTCAGAGATGGTAAAGGAAAGGTTTTGAAAGGAAATTATGATCAGTGTCAATAGGTGTATGAGGGCTTACAGAATGAAAAGTTAGAAGAGCTTTTGTTCTTAATTGAAAAAATGTTATTAGTGACTTTTTTGAAATCACATTTTAGTAGAAAACAATAGAATAAGTTAAATAAGAGGAGATATAAAGTTGTTTGGGGAAATGAATGAGGATGGAATCAGACTACTCTGGCAATGACAGCAGGAGGCAAAAAGGCTACAATGATAAGGGACACAGAGCATAATAAAAGTGGAAGTGTTTTGCCTGGGTGGGACATTGATTTGTTGGTTTGGTTTTTTTTCCCTCCTAAGCATATTTGACATTGTGAAAAAAAAAGTAAATCAACGAAATGGGTGAAATTATTTAGTGAAGGGTAACTATTTAACTTGGAATTAAAAACTATATTAAGTATATTTCTCTCTTAATCTTTTGCCAGTACCTTTTCCCTGAAATAACCTTTTCCCATTCTATACATTGCTCTGGAAAATGATAGAGTAGTGTGCACTAAAGCCCACATACCTACATAGTGCAATATTCAGCTGTATAGGCAGAGTCATGTTTCTCGTAGTCACAAATACACATTTTTACTTTGGATTGTGTGATAACCCTAATATACAATGGCAGTCACTTAAAATGAGTTTGTTTTTCCTTATAGTGATGGTATTATTAGAGTGTTTACAGAATCAGAGGATCGAACAGCCAGTGCTGAGGAAATCAAAGCTTTTGAAAAAGAACTCTCTCAGGCAACCATTGATTCCAAAACTGGTGATTTAGGAGATATTAATGCTGACCAGCTTCCAGGAAGGGAACATCTGAATGAACCTGGTAAATATTTCAGGATGTCTAGTAGTAAAAAATGTTACCATGTTTGCCTTTTGGAGAGGTAAGAAAAGAAAGATTGTTTTGCTAGTGTTATTCTCTGTTTTTCTCAGATCTGGATTTTTGAGAATGTCTATCACTATGAAATAACCATTGTGAGAATCCATGTTTTTCTTGCTTTTGTCTTAGTTTTAGACTTCTAGATAAGTTCCCTATAAATACTTTTTTGTTTATTTAAATAAAACTTCCATTACTTATATATTGTAAGTACTCAGAAGTTACCTATTTAATAATTTTTGGTTAGTTCAATCCCATAAAAGGTTGTACAGGCTAAAAATAAAAATTAGTTGCACAGGATGATGTCTACTGAATGAACTGTGAGTCTTGAGTTTAAAATCAGAGGCAATTGCCCTAATAGAATCTTCCATTCAGTATATTCCTGCTCCACTATATCAGTTGTTTTCAGAACTTGTTCATGGATCACTGGGAATTCTGAGATCCTTTCATAGTGTCCATACAATCAAAACTAATTTCATAACATTAAGAATCTTTTATACTGTTAACATTTGCACTTAAAGTATGAAAGCAATCTGGGGTGAAACTGCTGACGCCTTAGGCTGCACTCGAGGCAATGGCTTTAAATTCTTGTGGTAATCATTGTGTTCTTCACCGGGCACACAGTCGTAATTTAAAAGCAAATGCCGTCTGACTTTAATATTAGTCCTCGAGGACACATTGAAAGTTAATTTTACTACATTTTGACCCTTTAATATGATTTTTTTTTATATTCTGGATTACAAAATGTAAAATACACATAAAATACACGGAAGTATCATACTATCCACCAGGATAAGTCAGTTAAGTTGCAGGCTGAGTTATTCCTTTTTTGTTATAGAATGCCATTTTTTATTTCAAAGGACAAATAACTATGGCTCTTCAGGCTTGCATATTTGGCAGACATTTTCTGATAATCAACTAATTAAGCATGTTTACTTTCAAGAAAACAACTTGCAGTATTTGTTGCCAGATACAATTCAAACTTTTGAAATGAAAATTCAAATTTTGGGAAATTTATGTCTGCCACCAGGATTTGATTACTTCCTTATGCTTAAAAGATTATTCTAATACTATCAGTGGTACTATTAACAAATGCAATTTTTATATAAATAATAAAATGTTTAAATATGTGGATGATCTGCTTTAATTCACTGTCAATATGACCAATTAATGGTGTTTACAAAAGTAAAAATGGGTAAAAGTTCAGTTGAAAGTCAGAGGATAAAGCAGCAAGAAGTGGTGATCAAAGTTTAAAGTAGAAGGTGGATTTCAGTGCAGTAGACCATGGAAAAAAATCACTGATATGGTTTCAGATCCTACATTGCAATCTTTGAAGACCTACAACTTTAGTATCCATATTTTTATAAAAAGACTTTTGAACTTGTCCTTTTTGCTTTGATTATGTTAATCTGTGTAAGGCTTAATCTCCTTTTGTATACTTCAACCAAAACAGCAGATTGCAGTGGAGTGAATGCTGAGGCAGGTATGACAGATAATCTAGTTGTCTTCTAGAAGAGAAACATCAAAGAGGTTTACAAAATGTAAAACAGTGCCGGTCTTCTAAATTTCTGAAAACATACTTCATTTTCATTAATATGTATTCAATATGTAATGAATCTGTTATTATTTTTCATGAAATAAATATGTATTTTTACTCAGGTTCAATTTCAAATCCAGTAAATCAGTTGACAGATACCACAGGGGAAAAAAGCTCTTTCAGCTTCTGAATAAGTTCTATGACTATTAAGAGATCTTCAAACCAAACATCTGAGAACTGCTGCATTGTTTTTAATATTCCTAGAATTCTTTACAAAAATGTAGTCCTTTCATTACTATGTGTGTGTGTGTGTGTGTGTGTGTGTATAGATGTTCAATTGATATTTAAGTACCTAATGTTTGCCAAGCATTGTCTAAACTTTGGGGAATATAGTAGATAATGAAAGAGACACAAACCCTGTTCTTAAAATTTATGTTCTATAGGGGACAGATAAGTAAATCATAAATAAGTAAATATATAAGTACATCAGGGAATGAAAAGTACCATGGGATAAAAGAACCAGGGGTTGTGGATGTTTTATAATATTTTTTTGTTTAATCAGTAAAATATTTATTGTAGTATTTTCTATACAGCTAAGCAAACCTTAGTAAAAACCCTTAGGTCCAGCTATCTCTACAAATTGTAATGTTTTGGGATATTTATAACAATATCATGAGGTATTTGTTTTATAAACTTAATATAACCATCAGGGAATGTATAATACTTAACACAGCAGTAACTGTTGTAATAGGTAAACCAAAAATCTTAGTAACTTAACACAAGATAATTTTACTTGTATATTTAAAGCTTAGTGGATGGCAGGCCATGCTGGAGCCCTGCCTCTGTGAACTCTATGTTCAGAGTAATTTTGCTCCTCATAGTCAGTTAGGGGCCCAGGCTGATGGAACTCACAATCTTCCACATGTGACTTCCAAGGTTTCCTTGAGTATAGGTAGATATTCAGCTACCTAATAGGGTAAGAAGGGAGGATAGAGGATGACAGAGTAGTTCTAAAACTGGCACTTAATATTGCACCCATCCAAATTTCACTGCCCATTACTCAGTGTATGACATCTAGGATCTGAACAATGTGGTCATGGCTAGTAAGTCTTTGATTAGACAACACTGTCCTATGGAATAGGATGTGAATCTCTGGAGGACAGCCAGCTATCTCTGCCATTGAAACCTTCACTGAAAATGGGACATTTGGGTAAAGTCCTTATGGAAACAGGGGAGCAAATCTTGCCAACATCTTTGTGAAGGGTGTTGTTGGCAGAATAAGCGGCCACTGCAGAGACTCCATGACTGAAGTAGAGTAATGGGATGAAGGGGAGAATCAAGAAGACGAAACCAGAGAAGGTGGTGGGGGCAGATTATAGCTGGCCCTATACACCACACCTAGGACTTAGATTCTAATTCAAGACTAAAATGGAAAGTCAGTGAAGGTTTCTGGCAAAAGAGTGTCAGGAGTTCCTTAAACTTTTCAAATATTCTTCAGTTACCTGAGTCAAATATAGAGTGTAGGGTCCCCAGAATAGGAGTAGGAAGCCATTGAAGCAATCCAACGGAGAAATAGTGGAGACTTCTACTAGACTTGTAAATTTCTGAAAACATGCTTAGTTTTCATTAATATATATTCAATATGTAATGAATCTGTTGATTGCCATGAGATGGTGAGATGAGGAAGTTTTCCAGATATATTTTTGTAAGATAGAGGTGATAGAATTTGCCAAAGAATTGGGATTGGAAGAACAGGGAATCAGATTCCCCTATACATTTTGGCCTGAGCTGGTGAAAAAAATGGAGAGTTATTTACTGAAATAAAAGTGTTGTTAGAAGATACTCAGTAATAAAATTTGTGTTAGGTTTGATGGACCAGCTGCTGGCTAGTAGAATCTTATTTTTAACTTTCTTTTATGTAATAAAGTTCCTGTTACTTTCTTTTTGGTCACTTTTTAGTTAAGTTACATTCTAAAATTTCTCATTTAATAACAATTTATATTAAATCAAAAAAACTATAAAAAAGTTAATGATAAAAAAACTAGATGTTTTTTGAATTTCACTGTGTCATCCACCTTTGATTCTTAAAATTTTTATTTTAAGGTACTAGAGAAGGACAGACTCGTCTGATCAGAGATGGTGAGAAAGTCGAAGCCTATCAGTGGAGTGTTAGCGATAGGAGATGGATAAAAATTGGTGATGTTGTTGGCTCATCTGGTGCTAATCAGCAAACATCTGGAAAAGTTTTATATGAAGGGAAAGTATGTTAACGTCTACTTTCTAATTATCATTATGTTAAAGCATTAGAAAAATTAAAGATTGTCTTTTCTCTTTCCCCCATGCTGATAACATTTTCTTTGGTGTTATGACATTTAAAATTATACTTTGAGGCCTCCATGGTGATGCAGGGGTTAAAGTCTCAGTGCTGTCAAGCTATTGCCAGCCACTGTGGCCAGGGAGCTGATGCACTTATGGTGCAGCAGACCTCTCCTCAGTACATCCGCCTGTTCTGTTTCCCACTGTCTCTGGTGAATCCTCTTACCTCCCACACCTCTGGCCTACACCCCAGCTCTTGTATGCATAAATAAGTAAAATAAATCTTTAAAATTAAAATAAATGAAATTATACTTCAGTGGGGCAATTCTGTCTTTTCCCGGTCTTCAATAAAATTTGTAAGTCTTTTCAAATGGGGAGTATTGCATTTGGATAGACAGAGTAGCCATTAATTGCCCTAGTAGTGAGATACATAAGCTATTCCCAACACATTTTAAGGATTAGGTGCTTCTGTGCCACCTTTTATCTAATGTTTAGTGCTTTACTATATTTAATTTGAGAAGACATGAGAGACCCTGCTGGGCAGTACTTACAATACCAGCATGTTTTGGTAAGTGGGGCATGGTATCATCTGATATGTTTGGCTTTGAGATCAACCAATTGGAAACCTACCTTTGGCCTTAAAATTAATAAGTGTTGTAATCCATCCCTCACCTCCAACCCCAGGGAAACACTTATTTTGTAATACATGCAGATGGTTAATCATTGTATGTCAAGTGGAACATCTTAGCATTGTAGTTTGGACAAAGTTTAAGTAATGTAGCTATTAAAAAAAAATAACGTTTTATCTATGTCATTAAAATATTTGAGCAGATAAGTTAGTAATAATTTATCTCCTTTTTATATTCCTGTTAAAGGAATTTGATTATGTTTTCTCAATTGATGTCAATGAAGGTGGACCATCATATAAATTGCCATATAACATCAGTGATGATCCCTGGTTAACTGCGTATAACTTCTTGCAGAAGAATGATTTAAATCCTATGTTTTTGGATCAAGTGGCTAAATTTATTATTGATAACACAAAAGGTCAAATGTTGGGACTTGGGAACACCAATTTTTCAGATCCGTTTACAGGTAAGTTAAGGTTTATATTCTTATGTACTATAAATGTTGGTTTTTTTTCTTGATGCATTTAAATTCCTGTTATAATTAGCTATTTACATACAAACTGAGACCTACCACAGGTTTTTACTTCTCATTCATTTTTTTTTTCCTTAAAGATCTTGTAACATTTTTTTTCTTTTTTTTAATAATAAATTTTATTTTTGTATTCCCCATACAATTGCAGCCCCCCCATTCTGACCCCAATCCCTCCCCTCCCGCCCCTCACACCCCAAAAAGTGTCTCTGGTTCATAGTTTTTTGTTGATTTTGATTTTCACTTTCTTAGAGTTATTCACTTTCCTGGTCCCTTATTTAAGTTTTCTAGATTCCTGCTATGAGTGAGACTATCCGGTATTTTTTTTTTCTTTTTGGCTTATTTCGCTGAGCATGATCCCTTCCAGCGCCATCCATGTTGCTGCAAATTGCATGTGTTTATCTTTTTTGAATGCTGAGTAATATTCCATGGTATATATGTACCACATCTTCTTGATCCAGTCATCTATTTTTGGGCATTTGGGCTGTTTCCAAAGCTTAGCTATTGTAAATAGTGCTGCTATAAACATAGGGGTGCAGGTGCCCTTTGGAATTGATGTTTCTGTGTCCTTTGGGTAAATACCTAGGAATGGAATTGCTGAATCATATGGAAGCTCTATGTTTAGTAGGTCCAGAAATCTCCACACAGCTCTCCATAGTGGTTGGACCAGTTTGCACTCCCACCAACAGTGCAGAAGAGTTCCTTTTTCTCCACACCCTCGCCAACATTTGTTGTTGCTAGTTTTTTTAATATGTGCCATTCTCACTGGTGTGAGATGGTATCTCATGGTAGTTTTGATTTGCATTTCCCTGATGGCAAGTGATGTTGAACATTTTTTCATATGCCTGTTGGCCATTTGCATTTCCTCTTCAGAGAAGTTTCTTTTTAGCTCTTCTGCCCATTTTTCGACGGGATTATTTTCTTTGTTGTTGTTGAGTCTCATCAGCTCTTTGCAGATTTTTGTGATCAGTCCTTTATCATTAGTGTTGTGTGCAAAAATGTTCTCCCAGTTGGTGGGGTTTCTCTTTGTTTTTGTTATTGTCTCTTTTGCTGTGCAGAAGCTCTTTAATTTGATGTAGTCCCCGCTGTTGAAGATCTTGTAACATTTAATGAACCTCCCTCTATTGGCTTCAAGCTACGAGTACTCAGGCACACACACACTTACACACATACACACTCATCTCTTCTGCTAAAGAATTTGGCTCTTACAATCACAGGCTGCTTTGGGAACTTTCCTTTCCCTAGAACTTCGTTGTAGCCTGATCACACCACATCAACAATAGAGCAGCTCCGGCCTTGTGTTTTGGTAGCATTAACCTGAGTTTCCTCACTGACCAAGATCCACAGTTTATCAAGGTTGACAGGTATAAACTCTAATTTCTTTTTAAGTGGTAATCCCTTTACCACCTTTGCCAAAGCAATGTTGGTGGTGTTTGTCAAAGTTGCTCCTGTGTTGATGCATGCCTTTAGAATCACCATGGCTCTCCATGTGTGGATGGCGTGTTGGTGGCTGAGACAAGAGAGTCACACTTACATTTTTAAGCTCCATGTTATGTAGTAATTTTGTGTTTTACAGAAATAGTTATAAATTGTTATCTTTCAAAAAAGTTATCACACTAAAACTAAATAAAATTAAGAAACTTTAATTCGGTCTTTTGAAATGAAATGTATAAGGTCCTTTATATAGTTATTTCTTTTTAAAGTATCTAATTTGCTGCAGCCAGTTAAGCCTACCTTTCCCCTATGGGGCTTGGTATGCAATGGCTGCAAACATAAGCCTCCTCGGTTGTATATGCAGCCAGTTGCTTGCATGGGTTATCATAAGGGACCTACGAGACAGCCATTTCCAGTGAGCATTTGTGTCTGACCTTATGCTGTCCCCAATCTAAGCTCCAATCTAGGCTCCAGACAGATATGCAGGGTCCCTTTGAAAAGCCACAGGGCACAATAGCCAGCCAAGTAATCATGTCCATGCCCACCAACTTGTAGAACAAGGAGCATGTGATTGAGGCCCTACTCCTGGCCAAATTTAAGCTCTCTCGTTCCTTCAACTCCAGAAGATTCACATCTTTAGGAAAGGGGCTTTACCAAAATTTTAATGCGGATGAAGTTGAAGACATGGTGGCTGAATGCTTATCCCAGATGGCTGTGCGGTTAAATAGATCTCTGATTGTAGTCCCCTGTACAAATGGTGGGCCCTGAGCTCATGAGAGCCTCAGAGCCTCGCCTCCTTTGCTCATGCCCACAAATAAATCCTACCTCTGATCCAGAAATTTTTTTAATATAAAAAATGAAAAAAAATCTCGAGAAATTTTTAAAATAAAATGAAAATATTTTGTTGATTCTGTGTTCACTTGAGGCTAACCTGGTTTGCTATGCAACAAATCTAGGGCTGAATTGTAGGTAGTTTAGTTTATATGTGATTTGTATTTTACACATCCATTTTTTTTTTAAAGATTTATTTATTTATGCATATAAGAGCTGGGGTACAGGCCAGTGATGCAGGGGGTGAGAGGAGTCACCAGAGAGTGGGAAACAGAACAGGCAGACTGACTGAAATACACTGCTGAGGGGAGCAGCGGGTGAGACAGGTGAGGTCTGCTTTGCCATGCGGGTTTCTCTGTTGCCCGCTGGGGATAGAACTCTTGCTGCAGAGGCTGTGGATTGCTTCATAGTGTGGGGCTTAACCCCTCGTGCCATCAGGGAGTCCCCCTACACATCCATTTTTTTAAGTCAATAGTTTGTAACACTATTGAGTGTTTAAAATCCCATGAGTGATCTCATACCAGATCATAAATTATAATCCTAGTAGTAGTGTATTCCGAATCCTGGCTTCTAGGAAATGGATTATAATTTTAGGAGGATTAGCTTGAGTTCTGGGTCCTGAGAACTGATGCCATGATACAGGAGAAATGAATTGTTTATTCTTTTATTAGCTACAGGACCCGGTCTAAAAAAAATTTGAAATTGGCACTTTATTGTTAATGTTTTCCTCTTATCATTTCTGACTCCATCTTTCATGTTCTAGTTCTCTTGTTTTACAAGAATCCTGTGTACTCTTCCTGTCTTAAGTCCATATATACATTGGCCTTTTTCCTTTCACAGATACTTCATGTTCTTAAATTGTCCTGTCCCCTCGTAATCCAAAATACTATTGTTCAATCACATAATAAACCTAATTTCACCTGTTTGTTGACTTAGAATTATCAGTCTTGAGTTACTACTGAACTGTAACTGATGTAAGCCTGCCAATCATTGCACTTTTTTTCTCTGAAGAGGAAAAAAACAAGGTGTTTATTTCTTTTGGTGGAATTTCAGGCTAATGTGTAAGGGAGTGAATAATAATTGCAGAATTATGTGCGTTATTAAAGCAGTTAACTCTAGGTATTGAAAAACTTTGATTTTTTTTTGTTCTTTTGAAACTTGATCACTTTACATTCTTCAGTACATTATTTTGTAGTTGCCTCTGATTATTTCCCTAGAGGTACTAACAAAACATACACAAACCACACATTTGTAAACATATAAATGGAAATCTGTTTGCTTTGTAGCACTTTTTCCCTTTGTAATTCTTTTCTCCAGTAGGTTGTAAGCTTCAGTGGATACAAGCAATTTTGTTCCCTGCTGGATTCCCAGCACTGAATGCACTGTTTGACACATGAATTAATGAACCCAGGGGTTCACTAAAAGATTAACATTGATACCTGCGGTTTTGATTGCAACAGCAACAGCAGGAATTCTAGCGAATCTGTATAGGAACAGGAATTGATTTTGTGTGTGTGTATTATTTAGGTCAGGGGACACCTACAATTTCTCTTTTTATATTTGAATTCCCAGTCATTTTAATATTGGAGTACAGTGACTAAGGTATTATGAAATATTAAAGTTACGAAACAGAACTTGGAGAATCAGAGAAATGTGTTTCATACAAGTCTTTCCAACTATAAGACTTCCTGACTTTAGTTTCTGTTATTTCTGTCATGTGATGGCCTTGCTCTTCTGTTTTTCTCAAAATTTAGAATCTTATAATGTGAGCATTATGCTGTTTATTAAATTCAAAATCTGGCCTACTTCAGCTGTTCCTTTGTTTGCTTACACAGGTGGTGGCAGGTATGTTCCAGGCTCATCATCAGTATCATCTAACACAGTGCCTGCAGCAGATCCTTTTACAGGTAGGCTATAGTTCTTGTGAATATATCTTGCCTCACTAAATGTACAGCATTTTGTGTTTTGTGTTTTAGAGCTTTTTTCCAATAATTGGTAGTTCCCTTAATGTATTTCCAGTTTTGACGGGTTGCCTTTCACTCTAATTTTTGCTTTTTCCTGGAGGAATTTTGTATCTTTCCTCATGACTTTTAAAACATATTATTAGGACTGATCATTTTCTCCAATGATCCCTCCCGAAGAGCAGAATAGTTTTATAAGTGTAGGTTTCAGAGTCAGACAGATCTTGGTTCAAACTCTGGCTCTACCACTTACTTGCTATGAGAAGTTGGCAAGTTGCTTAACCTGTCTGAGCCTATTTTTTTTATCTGTGAAATTAGATATTAGGGGAACTCAGCACCCAAGATACAGCATGAATGCTCTCAGTGGCGAGATGCTATCCATCACAAGCAGAAGGAGCCATGAGACCCTGGTACTGGATGAAGCAATGCAGTCAAGAAGTCTGCCCAGGCATATTTTGCCATAGCGTGGAAGACATTTCACCCATCTACCCTGGATTAATCTTCCTAATCTAAGTTCTTGTCCTTCATGAAGTCCTGGAAGTGTTGGTGTGTCTTTTCAAAGTGACTTTTTTTGCCAAGGTATGCATGTCTCAGAGTCTGCTCTACTGGAAAAAAAAATTGCCAAGCTCGGACCTTAATGCAGCTGAAGAAGTGTTTTCAGAATAGCTTTTGACATATTTTTTATGATGCTGCTGTTGGATCTTCAACCTGAATTCCCAGATAATCTACCAGATTTGGAGAAAAATTCATAGCGTTTTTGGTGTTCATTGACTGGACATACATATACTGTGAGCTCTAAAAGCGACAACGTGCAATCATGTCTAAAGCATAGATTGGATCAGCATGCAACCTGGGTTGGTATCACGAAGTTATGATCATTCTCAGTGATCTTCCTTGCTCCCGTGAATGAATTGGTAACCCTGATGCCAAGAACTGTACCTTGTGCATTGATGACCAGTAAATTAACAGTAGCCAACTATCAAGCTAAATGTGGTAGCACATTGACTATGAAGGGATTCTTTGATGGCATAATACAGTTAGAAAGTATAGTAGGAATCTGAAGAGTGATGACTTTGATGGTGATGCCCTAAAACTTAAAACAACAGAGTTCTGAGTCTCACTGGTGACTTTTTTTGGAACAGAAAGAACACACCGAGCTTCAAACAATACCAGCAACATTAGAGAACTCTTGGAACTATCCTGATGGCCAGCACATCTTCCTATTGCCCGATGTCAGTAATTCAGAATATGTAATGACTTATGGAGATATGCAAGATAGCATACTAAATGCTATTTTAAATAACTGAGACAGACTATTATAAGCACCTCCATTTTAAGATATGAAAATTAAATGGTATAATACATGTAAAGTGTTTAGCAAATGCTTAGAATATATTTAAGCCCTCAATACATGTTATTACTGTTGATGTTATTCCCCCAACTTTACCTGCAGCACTGGGTCCAAAAAAGTTTCTCCACTTGGTTTACATCTTCAGGTCAACCTTAATCTTAATTCTTTCTGCTTTTCCTTACTTATGTGGTTCTCAAATGTCTAATGCCAGTTAGACTCTTTGGGGTGTGTGTTTAACTTACTCATCACACCATCTTACTCATAAAATTTTGATATACTATGTTAGTAAAGAAGTTAAAACACTCATGCCCTGATCCTCATTCATTCTGATGAAATGATCTTGGGTGTGGTTTGCTGTTAGGTAGCTTTTAAAATGTCCTACAGGTTTCTAAGGTGAAGCCAGTTTAGAGAACCATTGAGTTACTATAACCCAGGGAATCTACATGTTGAACAGGTAACTCTCATTGGGGTGATCAAAGATCCATTTAGAAAAGTGTTGGACTATACTCTGGACATGGCAAGTTATTCAACCTTCCTCTTGTAAAATATTATGTATAGTAATGGGTATCAAATATGTAAATGATTTTGTGCATTTGAGATGCTTAGTGTACTAGCTGGCAGATAGTAAAAGCTCAGAAAGTCTAAGTATTCTGTGTCCTACCTTATTTTAATTAATCCTGTTTACATTTGTGGCTTTTGTTTACTTTTTCTTCATCTGTTAATCCTGTTCTACCAACTCCTAGATTCTAAACTTGGGCTAGAATAATAGCTCATCTTTCTTCTGCCCACATAGGCTTATCCAGGGCTCTGAACATCTTCAAATCCTGGTGACTTTCTGCACTTGTTTTTCATGTTCCTTCCTTTTCATTGTCAATGAGATAGCCACAAAAATAATCTCAAGTATGAGACTAAGCTATTGTTGTAGCATCCCAAAACTCTATAGTCTCATTTCTGCTAGTTTTATGTGCCACTATTCCTGTTTATTTTAATAGAATGGTGTTCATATCTTAATATGAACACCTTTCAGCGTGTCACCAATCCCGATTTTTTTATCATTCATGAAACTTCTATAATTATGATGTATAAAGTCTCTAATGTTTATTTTGTAACTTGAGAATTCCTTTTCTATAATTCTGACATTAGGCACTGTAAGTTGTAGGCACTATTTTAAGCATTTTCATGTATTAAATGTACAGCCTACCACATATATAAAGATGCCATTCTGAAGTATGACTAATAATGAAAATAAGTTCCGTGTAAAGAATAAGCAGTTTGACCTTTGTATTGAACTTTATAATTTGTAGTTACCTTTCTTATTAGGATTATTATTGCATTTTAGGTGGTGGTCGTTATGTGCCAGGTTCTGCAAGTATGGGAACTGCCATGACTGGAGTTGATCCATTTACAGGTAAACATTTCTCCCCTCCCTCCCTCTTTGTGAAACTTTCATTTCATGAAAGACTAAGAAATAGGTGTCCTTATCATGCAGGAGAATGTTTTGTGTAGTAAATCAAGACCAAACTTCTTGGCTTGGCTTTTAGAGTAGTCTCAGAATTGTGTCATCACTGCACATTAAAGTTATCTGGGGAGTTTTAAAAAGTACTCAGGGCCTCTCTGGTGGTGCAAGGAGTTAAGTCTTAGCACAGTGAAGCTATCAGCAGCCACTGCAGCGTGAGTTCAAGTTCGGTCTCCGGCCAGGGAACTAACCCACATGGTGCAGCAGACCTCTCCTATCACACCCACTGCTCCCCTCAGCAGTGTATTTCAGTAGATCTGCCTGTTCTGCTCCCCACTCTGTCTCTGGTGCATCTTCTCTCTCTCTCTCTCTCTCTTTCTCTCTCTCTCTCTCTCTGGTGCATCTTCTCTCTCTCTCTCTCTCTCTCTCTCTCTCTCTCTCTCTCTCTCTCTCTCTCTCACACACACACACACACACACACAACACACACACACACACCCTCCTCTCTCAGCCTATACCCCAGTTCTTAGATGCATAAATAAAATCAATCTTTAAAAAATAAAAAAAGTACACAGTCTGATCCCCAGAGACGTTCACTTGGTCTAATACTGCTCTGGACTGATGCCGTGGCAAGGCTGCTTTTATAATCTAATGTGATTCTGCTATGTAGCCAGGATTAAAAACTGCTGTTCAGTCTACCTCAATAAGGCTGGTTTCCTCACTGCCCTTAAAAAATCTGAGTTTATTCAGTGTTTCCCATTTCATTCTTAGTTTGTTGAAAATATTATTCACTATGTTATACATTGTTCTTTTTAAGATTTAGAAAGGAATTTTCGTTAATCATTTAACCCTGGAATATTTAATATCCTTCTCCTAATTTTTTTTTATCCTTAGTATCTAACCTAGAGTCTGACATATCTTGTTCATCATTGTTAAATATATACAGTCATTTTTTTTCTTTGTATTGTCTGCCAGGAAAATGCAGAGATAAATTGGTTCACCTCTTGCAAGTTTCACAGAACCTCTCCGCAGATATTTTTCCTAACTTAATGGTATTTTCTATGGTATACACACACACAGACATAGAATATATATGTTATTGAACATAATAAAAGAAATAAAACTGCCACTCTATTTTGGTATGTGATTTTTATAAGCTAGTTTTTCATTGCAAAAGTAACATTGGCTGGGCCTCCCAGGTGGCGCAGCGGTTGAGCGCTGGGTTGCGAAGCTGCCCGCGGCCTCTGCGGCGCCGGTTCGATCCCCGGCTGCTCCCCGGCCACCGAAGGAGGGTCCCACATGGCGCGCAGACCTCTCCTGCCGCCCGCTGCTCCCCTCAGCAGTGTACTTCGGTCCTTCTGCCTGCTCTGCTCCCCGCTCTGGCTCTGGTGAATTCTCTCGCCCTCCCGGCTTCTGACTGTACCCAGTGCATGTATAAACCAAACAAACAAACAAATAGATAAATAAGACATGCCTCTAGAAAATAAAAAAAAAAAAAAAAAAAACAAAAGTAACATTGGCTGGCAGTATTGAAGTATAACATTGTAATTAAGATTAAGGACTCAGGCCGTGGGAATGTTTAAATGCAAATCTCAATTCCATTACTCTATCTGTTTGAACTTGAGCAATGATTTTGTTTCGGTGCCTGTGCTTTTTCTCATTTGTAAAATGAGATAATACCTACCTCCTGGAGTTAAGCACTTAAAACTATAATTAATATATGTATATGTATCACTTTATACAAAATAAGCTTGTAGTAATCATTAGCTGTACCATTTTCCAGAAGTTACAGTATTTAACAGTTGGGTATATATAATGGATCTTTGGATACTTTAGTCTAAGCTATTGTCATCTCTCACTTAGACTAATGGAAGAGCAGCCTCCAAGTTGGTCTCTCTATGGTCTGTACCTCAGCTAGCAAAATTTTTACAGGATAACATACCTTATACCCCTCCCTTGCTTAAAATCTTTAAAGATTTCCCACTGGACATTTTCTCTGCCTTGTATCACTTTCCCCTCTGCTTTTTCTCCCCATCCAGCTTTCTGGCCTGAATCAATTTCTTGAGAATACCATGTTATTTTATGAGTTTTGTACATGCTATTCTCTTTTGGAATACTCTTATCCTTTGCTTTGTTGTTTAGACCACAAATTACTGTTTGTTTTCCCCGTTCCTTTTTCTTTTTTCTTTGATTTTGCAATATAGTATTTATTAGATGAATTCAGTGAAACTGCTCTGGACACTCAGATCTGCTCTTGATTAGATCACTGACTCAAGCATATGTTCTCATTGCACCCTCTATTTTTCCTTTAAAGAACTTTTTGATGTACTTAGTCTTTTGAGTGATAACTGATTTGTATTCTCCTATTACTATAACTGTATCAGGTACTAGAATAACTTTATTCAGATTTGTTTGTGATCTTATAACATTGGTGAGGAAAAAAACAACCAGAATTGACTAAAACAATGTCATTCCAGTATGCAGTATTAAGGGAGGACATACTTACCTGTATACTCTAATGATTAAGAGTGCAAGCAGTGTCTATACAGCTTGTATTGCATGCTTTATAAAGCAGACAGAATTAATTTTATGCATTTATGTCATTCATCTTTTTCTGTGTTTTTTATCTGTTATACTTAGGAATTTAAAATATATTATTCAAATACCTGCAAAATAATTTTACATTGGGGCAAAAATTAAATATAAAGTTTTGAAATGTAAGTAAGGTATAAATTAGATTTAAATTAAACTTTAGCTTAAGTCTCTTAGTCCACTGAGTACTGTAGAATTTTCATCCTGTGCCAGTTTTTTTTGTTCATTATCAGATAGTAAGTTTCTATTACTGTAATAGGTACTTAAGAAGTAGAAATGTTATAAAAGACTTAGAACCATGATTCTTCAGGGACATGTAACTTGAGGGAATTTATTAGAATGATTCAGAGAATGTGACAGTGCTGTCTACATAGATGGAATAAGCAATAAGAGACATGAGAAGATCATAAGAGATCAATATGCCATAGAGAAGACTGGAATAGGAAGTTTTATAATTGTTTTGTATTCTTTCTTCTCTTAAAAATGTCTAATATAGATTTAGTCTTAAATTTATCAGAGAAGTAAAAAATGTCAAATGGGAAAAATGTTGGTTTACATTTAACCTCCCATTCCAAAAACTGTTTTCTACATCAACAAATACAAATAGTATACAAATTCTTATAAATATTTTTTCTTTTTTGTTGAGATTGCTTCATTATTTTATTGCATGAACTAAGTAGTCGTTATATACTTCAGTACTGAAAACCAAGTCATGAAATTTTTAAGATCTCATTTTTGACCACTTGTTATGATTTTCATTATTTTCTGTTCTATAAATAGGGAATAGTGCCTACCGATCAGCTGCATCTAAAACAGTGAATATTTATTTCCCTAAAAAAGAAGCTGTTACTTTTGACCAAGCAAACCCTACGCAAATATTAGGTAAGTGTATTTTAAATAATTAGTTTTCTCACATTTCCACAGACCCTTTGAGAAGCTTACAACTGTGCTGGGGACTGGGTGTTTATGATAGACTCTTCTATTGTGGTATTACATAGCTGTGTCAACTACAAAGACACGGCAACATACTTATAAAAACTAATGGACACTAATAAAGGATGTGAGACTTAGGAGGGGGGAGGCGAAAAGGGGGAAAAGGGTAGCAGTGGGGAAAAAATATAGCTATGTTTTGCATTTCAAATGTAAGTGAAAGAGGATTAAAAATTTTTTTTTTCACCCTGGAGAACTGTGTTCTTCCACCAGAAAATATACATTGTTGGTTTTCTCCCATGTTGTGATGTTGGCCATCTATGAAAGTCATTTGTGCTGGTATTACAGAGCAGGGTAAGTTCATTGAGGACATGAGTAGAACGAGGGCATACCTCACAGGATTCAGAAGTGCATGACCTGCCAGGGAGGATAAGAACCTTGTTGAACCAGACAATAGAGTCAAGGGCAAGAGCTCAGAGGACCTGGTTGAAGAGACTCCAGAACCTGGACATTAATCTTGAAGGGATGATGACTGTTATTCCTCCCCAGAAAGAGCAGAGATAGTTCTTAGGTCAATCAACTCTGACATTATAGACAGCATAAAGTCCAGCTATACTCACCTGGGTCAAGATTTTATGGCAAAATTAGGATCTCCTCACTAGTTCAGGGCTGTTTTCTTGTCTCGTAGGGGGCAAGGTGACCACATAAGGAGCTCGCAGAGCTGCTAGAATTTGGGCTGTGCCAGAACCCTGACCTGCTGTGGTCTGGTAGGACTCACTTAGGAAGGGAAAAGCCAGGGGTCTCCAGTTCAGATACTTGTGCTAATTTCCTTGTAGTCCATGACTTCTGCCTCTGGACCTTTTACTCTTTCCTGCCTAAAGCAGTCTTTCCCTTTTCTACCTACTTGAATCCTTAAACTCCTGTGCATCCCTCAGGTCTTTAAAAAAAAAAAAAAAAAGAAATGATCTAAGACTACTACTAGTTCTGTTGACCACAAAAATACATTGAGAATTAATTGAGATATGATAGCACTCATATTGGAATATAAGATGGGTTTTTTTGGTCATTGTTATCCTTCATACTATTCTATAATAATAACCCATAGGTGTGTACTTATTTGCTTTATTTTGAATAAATCGAGAAGTATATGTACACTTTTAGTAAACAACATTTTTCAACTCTTGTTACAAATCTGCAGTCTTTTGCTTTTTGCATTTTTTGAATACTCGTTGCTTTCAGTAATGATTGATAAAAATTTATAAATTTGGACAGTTAATTTTGTATGTTTTTTTTTAAAGTTTTATTTGGACAGTTTATTTTTTTTTAAGCCTTTTGTGATGGGAATTGAGCTTTTTTCCCTTTGAGATAAAGATTTTTGAGATAACAGTTGTTAGATGACTTAGAGTAGCACAATGATGATGGGGATGCTGATACTGAAGTGGGGTGTGAAGGGTTTGAAAGAAACTATTTCATAAAATGTGAATATGCTGGGAATTAATTTCCATTAAATCTTTCTTAAAGTGATATCAAATGTGCATATGGAACTAAGTTAATATAGACATTTAAGAGATTATTTCATTAACATAAGCAGAAGTTGACATAGTTTGCTAGAAGTTGTTACAAATTTTTTTTCTCCTTAGAAGATAGGGAATTGACTCATACTTGGGTATGTATGACATGATACTCTTTTGAAAACCATTCATGATTACAAATATGATATACTTTAAAAATTTATTCAAAGCAGGGGCCACTCCAGCCGGTGCTTTGCCTGGGTGCCTCCATGTGCTCGGCCAGTGGCCTCTGAGAGCGCTGACCCGAGCGCCCCGGGAGCCGGCGGGCGGTGGCCCTCGCCGGGGACCCTCCAGCGGTCCCCGGGGACAAAAGTGGCTCTAAATCCACCAAATACACATTGAAGCACGAAAGGATTTAATATGAGGAACAGAAGCATATAGTACCAAATTGTAAGCAATACTTGGAACACATTTAGTGAGTGGGGCAGCTTTTCCTTCTCCCACTGCTGCTGAGATGGTGGAAATTAGTCAAATTCAATATGAAATGGAATACTCTGAAGGTATTAGTCAGCGAATGAGGGTACCAGAAAAATTAAAGGTAGCACCACCAAATGCTGACCTGAAACAAGGATTCCAACAAGGGGTTCCAAATGCTAGTGTGATTATGCAGGTTCCAGAGAGGATTGTTATAGCAGGAAATAATGAAGACATTCCATTTTCACGACCAGCGGATCTTGACCTTATTCAGTCAACCCCCTTTACAACCCCAGCACTAAAAACACCACCTTATATACTTACGCTGAGTGAAAGACCACTAGATTTTCTGGATTTAGAAAGACCTCCTCCAGCCCCTCAAAATGAAGAAATCCATGCAGTTGGCAAGCTAAAAAGAGAGTGCTCTATGAGTGAAAATGCTGTTCGCCAAAATGGACAGCAGGTCAGATCTGATTCCATGGCTTACCAGCAGATCTTGGATGTGCTGGATGAAAATCGCAGTGTGAGAAGACAAAATGAAATACGTTTGGAAAGACCTGAGTTGCGGGGTGGGTCTGCTGCTGCCACTTCTAATCCTCATCATGACAATGCAGGTATGGCATTTCAAATATAGATGCAACAAGTGAAACAACTTCAGATGACATGACTGTTCTAGATGCAGCTTCGTTAAGACGACAGATAATCAAACTTAATAGACATCTACAACTTCTAGAAGAGGAGAACAAAGAACGTGCTAAAAGAGAAATGGTCATGTATTCAATTACTGTAGCATTCTGGCTGCTTAATAGCTAGCTCTGGTTTCACCGCTAGAGGTAACCTCAGCTCTCAAAAACATTGTCTCAACAGCTGGAAGTATAAAGAATTTGCAAACTTTAAAAAAAAAAAAAAAGAAGGACTTATGCTCAGTGAAATAAGCCAGAAGGAAAAAGAAAAATATCGGATGGTTTCACTTATAACAGGAATATAGGGGAACCAAATAAGACATCGGTATAAAAAATTAATAATAACAGTGCAGAACACAACGAAGCAAAAAAGGACAAGTATAAGCCAGAGTCATACTTTGGGGGAGGAGGAGGGAGAGGGATCAGAGGGATGGAGAGCGGAGCACAGGGGACTGTGGTGATGGTGCATCGGTGCCTTGGGGAAGGAAATTCTATGAGGACTCAATCTGAGGGGGTGAGGGGAAGCAAATATTGTCTTAAAAATTTTTTTAAAAATGATAAATGTTAAAATAAAAATTAATAAAATAAAAATTTATTCAAAGCAAAAGGCTTCAGAAGACCTTAGTAACAGGTTAAATAAAAATCTTTTTGCTTCCTACACTATGCTCAGCTTAAAAATACGAACAGAGCTGCTTATTTTATTGGCTTTGATTATTGCTATAAAAAGTCTTACTTCCAGGGGCCTCCCTGGTGGCGCAAGGGGTTTAGAGGCAGCCTACGAAGCTGTCTGCAGCCACTGCAGCATGTGTTCGATCCCTGGCCAGGGAGCAACCCACATGGCACAACAGACCTCTCCTGACTCACCCACTGCTCCCCTCAGCAGTGTATTTCGGGTAGTCTGCCTGTTCTGTTCCCCACTCTGTCCCTGGTGAATCCTTTCACCCCCCTCCCACACACACACACACACACACACTCACTTCTGGCCTATACCCCAGTTCTTGTATGCATAAATCTAAAGAAAAATAAATTTTTAAAAAGATCATTAAAAAAAGTCTTACTTCCCATGATATATAGGGAATACTTTTATAGAATATTTTGGTGTTCTATCTGGCTAATTGATAATTTTGAAGATTTGGTTTTTGGTTCTAGGTAAACTGAAGGAGCTCAATGGGACTGCACCAGAAGAAAAGAAGTTAACTGAGGATGATCTGATACTTCTGGAAAAGATATTATCTCTAATATGTAATAGTTCTTCAGAGAAACCCACAGCCCAGCAACTTCAGATTTTGTGGAAAGCTATTAAATGGCCTGAAGGTACAGATACACGTTTTAAAATGTAACTTGAAAGTGTCTTTTTGTATTTCTATCAGTATTTCTGGTGTTTTTTGTACTAAATGAAAGCAAAATGGGTACTGAAATTCATTGTAAAAACCCTCACAAAAAGCATTCACTCTGTATTTTGAAGTCTTGATTTGGTCACATGCTTTATGAGAATGTGAAAGTAATGTGTATTGATCCCCATACTTATGTCATTTTGTATACAGTTTCAGAGTATTTGTAGATCCTCATGCAAACCATGCAAGAAATTCTGGTCTTTTAAGCTGGGCTATAAATGTTTGCTATATGTTTTTTCATGTTGCTAATTCACTTAAATCTTGTAATTCCAAGTTTTCCTTTTCCCTATTAATTTTTCATGCTGTTGATTTGTTGGACAAAAGAAGCCATTTGTCCTATAAATGTTCCATACTGTGGACTTGGCTGAACACTTTAATATATTTCTCTATCTCTGTAGCTTCTGCTGTAGAGATAATTCAAGTCTATACATATAGAATACACATATTAGATTCTATATATAATTAGATTCTGGTACGAGTTTTGTTTTTTGAGTGACTTTCCTTTCTTGGTGATGGTGTCTACCCACTTACTTCCTTGAATATAAAGCTTTCCACCAACCTCTAAGTATCCTATTAGCATTTGTAAACTGAAATTCTATAGTTAACCTTCCTTTATTCAATTCTTTGGTCTTGCTATAGGATTTTTGAAAGCAAAGTCCCATTCCCATTTGTTCCACAAGGACTTGTTAAATATGTGTTGTGTGTCAGCCCAGTACAGTTTACCTTATTTTTAAGCATATATGATGGTTTAGCAATACATCAATCCTTATAAATAAGAAAAATTAGTACAACTATCAGGAAAAAAAATGCATTTCATAAGGCAAGCACATGATTTTTAACATTTTTATAAATGATTATGTTAATTTTGTGACAAGAACATGAAATTTTAAAAACTGAGTATTGCATTTGTCATTGGAATTTTTTGGTGTTACATAACATTAACGACTTTCTCTTTTTAATAGATATTGTCTTTCCTGCACTTGACATTCTTCGGTTGTCGATTAAACATCCCAGTGTAAATGAGAACTTCTGCAATGAAAAGGAAGGAGCTCAGTTCAGCAGTCATCTTATCAGTCTTCTGAATCCTAAAGGAAGGCCAGCAAACCAGCTGCTTGCTCTCAGGACTTTTTGCAATTGTTTTCTTGGCCAGGCAGGACAAAAGCTCATGATGTCTCAGAGAGAATCACTAATGTCCCATGCAATAGAACTGAAATCAGGGAGCAATAAGAACATTCACATTGCTCTGGCTACATTAACCCTGAACTATTCTGTTTGTTTTCATAAAGACCATAACATTGAAGGGAAAGCTCAGTGCTTGTCAGTAATTAGCACAATCTTAGAAGTTGTACAAGACCTAGAAGCCACTTTTAGACTTCTTGTGGCTCTTGGGACACTTATCAGTGACGATTCAAATGCTGTACAATTAGCCAAGTCTTTAGGCGTTGATTCTCAAATAAAAAAGTATGCTTCAGTATCAGAACCAGCTAAAGTAAGTGAATGCTGTAGACTTATCTTAAATTTACTGTAACAGTGGGGAATGGGGACTGAGATTTTAAATTGATTAGTGTTTTTTTCCTCACATTTTACATGACTGATTGCAGATGATAAAGAATGCTGTGGATTAAGTAAAATTTCAGATCTTGTAAAGTGGGGGAGGGAAGGGAAACTGAAGAAATAAAATTTTTGCACTGATTAACTGTGAGATTTCCCTGTGTAATGTGGGTGGGTAGTTTTCTCAAGAGTTAAGAAAAACTTAATCAACACTACAAAAACTAAAGTGGCATAATTCCTTTACTCTAGCCACATGAGAAGACAAGGGTTTTGTTTGCATCATCTACTTTTACTACTTACATACCTCAAATTGTTACCTAGTGATGGCTGTCTTTAATTTCTGCTCTACCCATTTTCATTGCTTAATTTTTAATAGAGCTAGTACATTTTATGGACTTTTTGGGAATTTTGTTATACATCATTCCATATGTTGACAAAATAATTTCTTCATTTAAGTCTTTTGTAAGTAGAAAGTGTATTTAATAGCTCACTTTTAGATGAAGTAAAAACAAATTACCAAAATGTTAGTTTGTGTATCATTGACATCAGGCTTATAATACTATTTCTCTTAACCTTCAGTACTGGAACTAACTTACTTATCCATTTCAGTTTTGACATTTGTTTGGTTTTGGTCAATCCCATTATCTCAAAGGGAATTTGGAATGTGTTGAATTTTATCAGGCACTTTTGTAATAAGTAAGAGTAAACCAAACAGTGCTATTTGCAAGTGCAAAACCAGTCATATGAAATTAGGATTTTTGAATCCTTAAGATAGCCCAGACATAGTGCTATGTACTTTGATATTTGATTCTCCAGACTCCTTAAATGAATGAAGTTCTCTGTTTTCCAAAGTAAAGAAGTGGAATAAATCATGATAGAAAAAAAGTGCAAGAATGCTGTACTTCCTTTAAATGTTCTGAACTTACAAAGAAGGTGCAATTACATTAATTACATAATTTATTGTGTCCAAGAGAACTTCAGTTTTTTAAGTACAACTATTTCCTATCTTAAAAGGGAAAAAGATCTTTTCATAAAAAAAGACGGGCTAAAATAGGGACTCCTCTGTGGCGCAGCGGGTTATGCGCAGCGCTGTGAAGCTGTCTGCAGCCTCTGCAGCATGAGTTCGATTCCCGGCTGGCCAGGGATATACCCACATGGCGTGGCAGACCTCTCCTGTCTCGCCCGCTGCTCCCTTCAGCAGTGCTTTCGGTCCATCTGCCTGTTCTGCTCCCTCCTCTGTCTCTGGTGAATCCTTTCACCCTCCTGCGCCTCTGGCCTGTACCCCAGTTCTTGTATAAATAAATCTTTAAAAAGGAAAAAGAAGACTGCCTAAAATAGTGAGCCACACTCTCAACATTTATGATACATAGAGCCATAAATTTCTAATAGGGGTAAAAAAGGTCCCATGGTCTAGACTATTGCAAAGGAAAAAATTTTGGAATGTAAAAAGAGAATGTATAAAGATGGGATATGCATATTTTACTATGAATTAAAATAGTAATTTTAATTTGGTGTGTACCCAGACTTTTAAATGTTCTGTTTGCTGATTTTATTAACAACCTGTGTCTTACATTTTTGTTGAATTGGGATTTAGGTGGTTAAGTAAAATGTTAAATGGTAAAGAGTTTAATCCAGATCAGCCTGGCTTTACACTGCTTTCTTGTTAACATGTCAAGTCCAGCGTGTAGTTGTAAGTACAAATAATTGATTTGCAATACTTTGAAATACTTGGTACCGTTGAATGATGATAGGACATAGAGTCTTGGTTAAGAATATGAGTTTATTCTTCAAAATGTAAGGGGTGGCAAATTATAAACACTTTGCTACCTATTGGTTTACAAAACTTTCTGTAACAATTTTTGATATACCACTATTTCATGTTTAAAGAAGACAAATTACAAAATATAACCTAGCAAAAGAGATAAAAGTCCCACTTGAAAGATAAATGTTAAATGTGGCTTAGTGTTATTTTAAATATTTGAAATTTTTTCCATGATTCCTGAATATGCTTTTTCTGAATATAAGAACACATTTATTTGATAAAATACATACATCAAATAAAAACTACCTATAATCCTACTACCCAGAGAGAACCATACTTAATCTGTGGCATATCAACAGATATGTAAATATGTTTTTAAGGGATTAAATGCATTTGCTCATTAGCCTGATTTTTAAACCTGACATAGACATACACATGCTTCTACCTTTATTATACAGATGTACTCATTTTCTATAATTAATTATTCCCATATTTACCTATCAAGCAATGCTGTAACAAGTCTCACAAGGGTCTTACTAGTTTCATATCTAAATTAGCACCCCTAATTTCATTTTTTTAAATAAGCAGGTTAGTGTGATTTTTTTTTTCTAACTAGCTGAATTTATAACTAGCTAGGCAATGGAATGTTTTATCTACCTCGTTCTTTTAAATGATAGAAGCATAACTAAAAGATAATTCTAGTGATATAATTTTTAAAAAATTTTTTAAAGATTTATTTATGCATACAAGAGCTGGGGTATAGGCCAGAGATGCAGGGGGTGAGAGGATTCACCAGAGACAGATTGGGAAACACAACAGGCAGATATACTGAAGCACACTGCTGAGGGGAACAGAGGGCGAGTCAGGAGAGGTCTGCTGTGCTATGTGGGTTGCTCCCTGGCATGCTGGGGATCAAACTCGTGCTGCAGAGGCTGTGGACTACTTCATAGTGTGGTGCTTAACCCCTAGCACCACCAGGGAGGCCCTCTAGTGATATAATTTTGAGGGAAACACATAAATTGCTCCAATGACTGTCATGGAGGAAAATAACGTGGGAAAAGGGATTTTTGAAGAGGAGTTGGCTAAGTTCTATAGGTTGATGTTGGTCCTGGGGCTAAGATAAGGTGCTGGAACTTCTCGGGGTTCCTCAACCCATTGTAATAGGAAAGTAAAATGTCCAAATGGCAACGATGTTTTCATCAGATTTTAAAGTATATGGTATAGAATTATTTAAACAGTGGTTTGCAACTTGAATTAAAATACACATTAAGTAGCATTGCAAAGAACAATTTTAAACTGGATAGCATGCATTCAGCAATTTTATGCTTGTTCTAACTCTGAAAGGTCAAATAAAACTTAGATGACAAGTCAATGGTAACAAAAACAATGAAGAGAAGATACTTAATGATAAAACAATTGACAAAACAATATCAATAAGAAGAAATAGAATTGGTAGCCATTTCACTTTATTGTAACTATGGTGATTGGAGGTAGCATGTTAACTTGACACCTAAGTTGAAATAAGGTGGCCTGAAAAGCCCTTAAGCAATGAATCTTTCATTTTTACATCATCAAAGGAAATAATAAATTCAAGAAATGTTTGCTTATTTCTATATGATTTAAATTTTTCAATTGTAAAAGGAATTAAAGGTACAGTATAATGCAGCAAAAGAGTACTGGCTTTGGAATTGAAAAGGCTTACACTTCAATTATATTTCTACCACTTGATAATGAATTAAAGTTTGTTGCTTAATCTCAGCCTGTTTAATCATCTGTATATTTGGGATGTCATAAAACAGAAGACTAAAATATTTACATTAAAGCTTAGCAAAATATTTGCCACATAATAAATACTTAATAAGCATTCCTTTCAAAGATAACCTAAGCCACCCATCTTTAATAAGAAAAGTGATTGCTGGGTGCAAAAAATATTCAAAAGGGGAGAAAGTATTAAATCTTACTACTATGTAGGTAAAAAAAATGCCCATGGTTGGTGGAGAACAGTGATTATGATTTTTTTAATAAAATTGGCTGTTTGTAACTCTAAACAAATATCCTTAAGCTTTGTTTAAATGTATTATAATGCCATAAAAACTTACTGTGAAATAGAAAGGTGATTCTGTTGGATTTAAGAATCACATCTACCTATCCTACAGCCTTTGCTTGAATATTGACTTATTTGACATTAATTTTAAAAACCCTTCTCATGGGAGCCTCCCTGGTGGTGCAAGAGGTTGGGTCTCAGCACTATGAAACGATTTGTGACAAGAGTTAGATCCCTGGCCAGGAAGCTAGCCACATGGCACAACAGACTTCTCTTGTCTTGACTGCTGCTCCCCTCAGCAGTGTATTTCAGTCAGTCTGCCTGTTCTGCTCCCCACTCTGCCTCTGGTGAATCTTCTCACCCCATGCTGCACCTCTGGCCTACACCCCAGCTCTTATATGCATAAATAAATAAAATAAATCTTAAAAAAAATTTATTATGGACAGCAGAGAAATATAGGGAAAGAGGCTCTAAAAGTGTGCATTTTGTTTAATTATAGTCACAATAATAGTGTGTAACAAACAACAAAAGCAATAGCATTCATTAAGCTCAGGAGTTACAAGATTGGGATTTGCTGATATTGGTTGGGTTCATTCATATCTCTAGAGTCTTAGAACTCAGGACTTTGCTCTAGACTGGTCTTGACTAGATAGCTTAATTGGGACAGCTCAGCTTTATTTTTCTCTCTTTCTCCTTGGTTTTAATGTTTATCTTTGACCCTTTGTTTGGTTTCTCTATATTCCACATATAAGTGAGACCATCAGTATTTATCTTTCTCCTTCTGACTTACTTTGTTTAGCATAACAGCCTATTTTATATAAAAGTATTGACTATCTAGTGTAATTTATTGACTACTGTACTGAAGGTGAAAAACAATGGGTATATGGGTTCTCACCATTAATGAACACAGCTGAAAGCACACAGCCTGAAGAATATTTGAAGCACTGAACTAAAATTAATTGCTTGATGATGGGGATGCTACAGCCACAGGGTGATCAATTTCTCACTCTTCTGATGAGGCTCCAGAATAACCAGTAGAAGTTTATTTACTGTTGTGATCCTGTGGCTCACTGGAAGACCTGCAGCTCAGTGCTGCTCTCCTGCATCACTGCAGAGTATTATACCATGTGACATTTGCCTGGAAAAAAATCAAAAGTCCAAATCTGAAATATGTGTATCTTTTTTGCACCATTGTAAAATATATACACATAATGAATTGTGAAGCTGTAATATTGAAAAAATGTTACAAAACAATGATAAATCAATAAATTTTATTTTTTTTAAATTTCTTACATACTTCTTAGTAAAAATTTGTTGAATGAATGAGTGAACAGCAGCACAGTTTCAGGAGAACTCAATACTCAATTATCTAGTAAAATAAATAGCTGGGAAATACAGACTGTCCAACATGGCTTAGTGAGCTGAAATTTAGGATGGCTTATGTTTAGCTCTGAAATCCTACATCGCAACCTTCAAAACCTAACACAAACCCATGATGCATTGTCAATTTTCAAAATTCTTGTCTATTATGCATTCTATCTTGGAAATACTAAATTACATAAGTACATACTTAATTACATAAGTACATAAGTACTCCCTAATTTTTTTTCTGTTTCTCTTTCATTGCTGCCCTCACATGTAGTTGCTTTTTCTTTTGCACTTCTTGACGCAAACTCTTTGTAAAAATGGCATGGGAATCCCCCGGTCAGTTCCCTGCATGAAACTCTTGTTTTCCTCTCCTTCAAAAAACCAAGATTATTCAGACTCCCGAAAAGGCAGTTTTTGAGGAGAGGAAGGAAAAGACAAGATATTTTATCCCTGCTCCCCTGTCCCATCTCACCAATACAAAAATGAATGTACATTTATAAGGTCAACACACTGATCTCAGAAGATAAATGGTTGAACTTGTTACCAGACCACTTAATGAGGAGGACATATAATGTTACACCATTGGAAAAGTATTCAACATGTAAATGAAGAATGCAAGTTAAAACTCTGAAATGATAATAAATGAGAACAAAAATTTCAAAAGATTTCAGTGTATGGGTGACATTTTCAGTTGGTTCAGTCTTTCCTCAAAGGAATTCAGAAAGTAAGAAGCTGACATCCTATCATCAATTTCCATTTGGGGTACAGAATAAGGAAAATAATGAAGTTTTTTCTTAAGGCTTTTATAGCTGCATTATTCTAAAACGACATAAACATCGACATTTGAATGTTAAATAAGAGAGGGGCCTTCCTGGTGGCGCAAGGAGTTAAGACGAAACCTATGAAGCTATCCGCAGCCACTGCAGCATGAGTTCAATCCCCGGCCAGGGAGGTACCCACATGGCGCATCAGACCTCTCCTGACTCGCCCACTGGGGAGCAATGTATTTCAGGCAATCTGCCTGTTCTGCTCCCCACTCTGTCTCTGGTGAATTCTCTCACCCCCCAACACCTCTGGCCTGTACTCCAGTATTGTATGCAAAAATAAATAAATCTTTTAAAAATAAATAAATAAACGGAGAAAGATTACTCAAATCAAGCGCCCTTAGAAATGAAAAAAGAATGTCATAGCAATTAGTTGGGAATAAAAAGGAAGCATAAAACACTCTTCCTATACAATTCCCTAAAGTCACTAAAAATCTACTCAGATGATTAAATTCTCTTTTTTGTTATAACGTTTAGTGTCTTAAAGATTGGAAAGAAATGAAAACAGACGTTCGGAAACTACGTTCCTCTTACCACGTAACTGCTTAACGATAACGTTTGAAAAAAACAGAATCAATAAGGCAAACAACCGCAGTAAAGCTCCACCTCCGTCCTCTGCACAGGTGGAAAAACAAACAAAACCCCACCACGAACGCAGCCAGCTCTTCCGCAAACAACTGACGTCCGCGCTCGCGCAAACAGCCTGATTGGTCCGCGCCAGCGGAAATAGCGTGGTAGGTCCGGGCCGCCACTTCAGAAACGTCTCTAGGCTGTGCGACGAGGCCGGAAGTGACGCAAAAGCTGCGACGCCAGCGCCGGCCGCCACCGGAGCGGGCTTTTGGTGGCTCCACAGGCAGCGAGCTTTCCTTGGATGCTCGCGGCGGCGCGATCATGACCGGAAAGAAGTCTTCCCGGGAGAAGCGGCGCAAACGAAGCAGCCAAGAGGCAGCCGCGGCTCCCGCGGCCCCGGACGTGGTACCGGCCCTCGCCGGCAGCGGCAGTGGGAGCACCAGCGGCTGTGGGAGCACCAGCGGCTGTGGCAGCGTCAGCTGCTGTGGTAACACCAGCTTCACTGGGAGTGTCACGGGCGGTGGGAGCAGCGTGGAGCGCGGCGAGCGCAGGAAGCGGAGGAGCACGGACTCTTCTTCCAGCATCTCGGGCTCCCTCCAGCAGGTGCGTGCGCGCTCTGTCGCGGGCAGGGAGGGGATTGTGAGAGTGGGATGGGGTGCCCGCTGTGGCTCGCTGCTAGAGCTCCAGTTCCAAGGTTCCAGTCGTGCTTGAGATCCCAGCACCTGCATCTCGGTAAACCCCCTGTCCCCAGGGCCTGAACTTCAAGTTTCTGCATGTGCTCATCACCTAACTCGTTTTCCTTTGGGCACTTTTCACTCTGTTCTCTGTCTTCCTGAAACGTGTGGGTCCGGAGCTGTCCTTAAGTGCCCTTTGCGAGACACACTTTACTTTGGTCTTAATTTTCACCTTTTAGTAGATTATGATTGACGTTGCAAGAGCTGGAAATGTAGCGTCAGAGGTTAAGGATGTTAACCCCCTACTCACAAAAATGTTAATAACTTCTACATTGGAATCCACTGTCTGACTATAAAAGCGATGTTTATGTTTCACCAACCAGCCAGGATACCACAGTTTTAAAAATCGTGTGCTTATATTTTATGTACTGTGAAATAAATGCATGAATATATGCTTAAAGCTCATACAGTGTTGGAAGGGAAAAACTTGTCTTTTTTTAAACTTCCCCACAAATAGTTTGATACACCACCTCCTCATTAATTCTTGTCAGATATGTGTAAAGTCTCCACGTAAGTCATATTGTTATATGGCTCTCGCCTTCCATTGAATTGGCTGATATTATTGTATAGGGCTGAGGGATCTTTCTATATGTCGTACTTTTTTTTTTTAGTGACTACAAGATAGTGTCTTCATTGAATATTAGATTTCCAGTTTTATTGCAGTCAGAGTTAATATGAAAATGAATACCCCCATACAAACGTCTTGTGCAAGAATTACTTTAGTGAAGTCGCAGAATGAAAGTTGCTGTGTCAAGTTTATGCGTTAAAAAATATTTGGTAGGTATCAACCACCAAATGCTCACCAAGGAAGGCTTTATATTTCAAGTAGTATATAAAAATGCCCATTTCTGCAAATTTGCTTTATGCCCACTGTAAAATTTTTTTATCAGTTTATTGAGTAAAATCATTACTTCATTTGCTTACATTTACACTTTCCCTATTAATAGTGAGAGTGAATGTTTTTCTATTTTAATTTGCCATTTGATTCCTTTTTATGTAAATTGCACATACACAGCCTCTACTCATATTTTTGTTCGATACTCAAGTTCTTACTGGTAAGTTTTCACTCTGCATAAAGTCTTTGTTCTAATCCTTATGAAAGATATTTTGCAAATGTTACTTTGATTTTATACAAAGTGACTAGATAATCTTTTTCATTGCTTTATGAATTTTGTGTGTTTAGCAAGATCTCTTCTATTTCAAGATTATACAATTATTCTGTATTTTTTCTAATACTTTTTAATGATACATATTTAAATTGGCAGTTAATGAAAGCATAAACGACTGTTTATTTCTATGTATTTTCTTGTATGTAGCCTCACTGTTAATTATTAGTTTCAAACTGATTCTTAGAAAATTGCTACTAACAGGGAGTTTTGCCTCCTCTTCTTCAGTATTAGTATTTCTTATTCTTTGTTCTTTTGTATTATCTAAGACTTTTAATGTAGCATTGCATGGAAGCAGTGATAGTAGGTATATTTTTCCCAATCCTTTTTATAGTGGGACCATTTCAAATGTTCCATTAATAAGTATATTTGCCATCTGAAAGATGCCTTTTATCAAGTTAGGGAAATTATGTTCAATTACTAGTTCCCCAAGGGATGTGAACTTTATCAGATGCTTTTATGTCATTCTGTTGAGATACATAATTTAATATTAAGTCATAGATAAGTAAGTCACATTGAATTCTCCTTGAAGTACTGGAATAGACCCTATATGTTTTGTTTGTTAGGCACAGCTGGAATTCAACAGTTATTTTTATTTTAAAAGATATATTTATTCATACAAGAGCTGGGTACAGGCCAGAGGTTTGAGGGGTGAGAAGATTCACCAGAAGCAGAGTGGGAACAGAACAGGCAGACTGACTAGAAATATACTGCTGAGGAGAGCAGGTGAGCGAGTCAGGAGAGGTCTGCTGTGCCATATTGGTAGCTCCCTGGCTGGCAGGCTATCGGACTCCTGCTGCAGAGACTGGGGACTATTTCATAATGCTGTGCTTAATCCTGTGTGCCACCAGGGAGGCCTCCAACATAGTTATTTTGTGTCATAATTAAACACTATTTAGAATGAGAACTAAGTTTATTTGTTTAGAAGATGTCACTATATTTGGGACTGTAGATTGCATCTTAGAATTCTTGAGCATGCCATTGTATCTGTTGTGTATTGAGTTCCCTATTACAACATTTTTGGTAGTAATTTTATAAAGGTATAAGTCAGTGTGCTGTTCAGTAGTTGTAAATATTGAAAGAGTTGTGCAACCATCACTATAGTCAATTTAAAAATCTTTTTATCACACTGCAAAGAAACCCTTATAGCTAATACTCTCCCATCTGGTTCCTTACCTAAGCAACCAATAATCTACTTCCTGTCACTACAGTTGTATATATTTACCTGGTCTGGACATTTTGTATGAATGGAAATATATAACTCATGTTGTGACTGGTTTCTTTCACTTAGTGTAATGTTTTTTCAAAGTTCATCCATATTGTAACACATATCAGTACTTCATTCTTTTTTTGTGACTGATTAAATTTCCTGTAGGGCTATGTCACACTTTGTTTTTCTCATCATTTATCACTTGAGCGACATTTGGATTGTTTCCACCTTTTGGCAATTATGAATAATGCTGCTGTGAACATGTGTGTACAAGCTTTTGTGCACATATAAGATTGCATTTTCCCTGGCTTGTATTATCTAAGAATGGAATTATTGAGTTATTTTGTAATTCTTTGAGAAACTGTCAAATTGTTTTGCAGAGCAGCTACACCATTTTATTTCCTGTTAGCAGTGAATGAGAATTCCATTTTCTCTACATCCTCACTAACACTTGAAATACCTTAAAAGCCATCAGAATAAGAGCCAATCTTACTTACTTTTTCATTTAATTATAGTATTTAAAAAAAAATGCCTGTTTTTAACCTGCTTTTAAAACAATTTTACTAGAAAATATAGCAAAGAAACCTACCTGTATATATCATTCAGGGTGATTTTTCCAAGGACATAATTTTTGAATCGATATCTGAATTTGTTAATCTTGAAAGTACAGTGTAGAGTGGGAGATGGGGAGGAAAGACTGTCGTAGACAGCGGTATGAAAATCCTGCCTTAATGAGATGAGGGGAGAATAGGTTATATTTGAGTAATTCAAAGAAATCCATGTTGTTTGTAGCATGAACAATGAACATGAAGACCCAGATTGGCTCTATTACTCAAAGAGCAGTGGAAAGTTATTGGATGTCATACAAAACAAATTGGAGATACCTTATGTTAGCTGTAGGGAGTCTAGTTAAGTGACTGTGAAATGATCTAGGAAAATTATTATGGTATATCTTGGACTAGAATTATGGCAGTAGAGTTGGTGATATAGTGTAAATTTAGGAGATAGGAGGAATTGATATAAACGTCTTAAATTGTGTGTTTGAATTTGATCAAATTATGTAGCAGTTTTAAAAATGATACTAGTTCCCGGTAGGCAGTAGTACTTTATTATGTAATATTTGTGATTTATATTGCTATCCCATTTCCTTATATGTATTTTAAAAGATTGATGATGCATGCATATTATTTGTGAGTGAATAGTCTACTAGGGAAATATTTTAATTCTTTAGAAGTCTAAAAATTGTAGGAAAATATTAAGTATTGAGTATATTTTAATTATTGTGTTCTAAGATATTATTTTTTCACTTTCTATCAATTTACTGAGCTTATTACAATGTGGAGAGTAAGATAAAAAATATTGAGCAATTAAAAGAATAACTATAAGAAAGAAAAAATAAAAAAAAACAAACAACTGTAAACCAGAGACACACTATGGGGGTGGGGGCAGGGAAAGGAGTGTTTGGGGCCAAAATAAGAGGGGTGCAATTGTATTGTATGGGGAATATAAAAATTAAAAAAAAAATGAGCAATTAAATATTTTTCCCTTTGGGTTTAGATAAACAATCCATGCAAACAAGGAATTTGGAAATGTTTAATAAAGAATATATGAAATTGAAGTCTAAAAATTATTTACATATCCCATACATTTTAAGTAGTATTATTTAATTATTTTTTAATCTCTTTTAATTTTAGGAAACCAAATATCTTTTGCCAACTTTGGAAAAAGAATTGTTCTTGGCAGAGCACAGTGACCTTGAGGAAGGTGGACTGGACCTGACCGTGTCATTAAAGCCAGTTAGTTTTTATATATCTGACAAAAAAGAAATGCTTCAACAGTGTTTCTGTATCATAGGAGAAAAGAAGTTACAGAAGATGCTTCCTGATGTGTTAAAGGTACTTCATGACATACACTACCAGACTTTCCACATGATTAGACACATGTAAAATATGTGGCATATTTTTTTCTGTGGCACTCATTTTACTTAATGCAGATTATAATTAGTGTTTTCAACTAAAACAGGCTACTTCAAAAACATATAAAAAATGATTTTGGAAAACTGCAAATGGCCTTGTATATTTATAAATTTGTCAAGGATGAAAGGGATAATTTACTGTATTTAGGTAAGAATTTATTGACCCTCTGAAAATAATTTTATTGAATGCAGGCATTACTAGTAAGTAGGAGCACTGATGACTCTGGTGCTTTAAGAAATAATGTATTGCTGGGCCGCCCTGATGGCGCAAGGGTTTAAGCACAGCACTGTGAAGCAATCTGTAGCCTCCGCAGCATGAGTTCAATCCCCGGCCGGTCAGGGAGCAACCCACGTGGCACAGCAGACCTCTGCTGTCTCGCCTGCTGCTCCCCTTAGCAGTGTGTTTCGGTCAGTCTGCCTGTTCTGCTCCCCACTCTGTCTCTGGTGAATCCTCTCACCCCCCGGTACCTTGGCCTGTACCCCAGCTCTTGTATGCATAAATAAATATTTTTTAAAAAAAGAAATAATGTATTGCTGTAGAACAATACATAGTGATGTATTGGGTTGTTGGAAAAGTCATGACATATTTTTTCTATGTTTTTCAAAAAAAAATGTGTCTGTCATGACTTTTCTGACAACCCAAGAGCTTATATTTCATTAATTTACAAATATTTCATATACTTCTGAAAATTAGTCAGAGAAGTACATGGTACTTAAATTTTGCAATTGTGGAAATTGGGTTTAGACAAGCTAAACCAAGCATCATATATTTAGGATGTATAGAACAAGGACTTGAATATTTAAACCTTTAGAGTAGTTACCTAGCACAAATAGGCTGCTATTAAACAATATATGGACATTGGAACCTGACTTACTCTTTAGTTCATTCTTTAAACTCATTTCCCATTAACTCTATCAAGTATAATGTTCACATGTTAACTAGTAGTTTTGCAGATATCAGCCCATAAAAGAATTTATGTGGTTTTAATGTAAGATTTTACTAACCAAACTTTTTTTGGATTGCTGTTTTCTAGTTACATTAGTGCTATGTTACATAAATGCGTTTTTAAAATTCATTTTCTTTAGAACTGTTCAATAGAAGAAATTAAAAAACTATGTCAAGAACAGTTAGAGCTGCTATCTGAAAAAAAAATCTTGAAGATTCTTGAGGGTAAGAATACATATTTCTACATTTTGATAACATTAGTAAACACTATGTTCAGCAAAATCCTAGGTATATATATTTTTTCCTTGAAATTTATTTATATTTCATTATTGAGTAATCACTGAAAAGTATTTTTACTTCTATTTGTGCTAAGAAATATAACTCCCATATTAGAATAGCATTTTACAAATGGACTTTTTGATGATTTATGCATGCTTTTTTCCAAATCAAGCATACAGGTTAGAGTATAAGTTTACACACAGTAAAAAATTGAAATAAAATGTTTACCCAAAGTGCTATAGAAAATTAACTTCATAATTATAATTTTTTTATTGTTTTCTTTATATTTATTACTTTTGGTTACCTATTTGCTCTAATGAGAAGTGGATGCAGAATTAGAAGAATTTCTTACAATTTGCCAACATTTATATTTTTGTCTGAAATATCACTCCTCTTTATGATACTATCACCTGTAGAATTTTGGATTTTTAGGTATTTTTTTGCTTTTGTAGCTTTACAAGGATTTGAGCTTTAGCATCATAAGAGAAGCAACAAGAATGGAGACTTTCAATTTCTGCAGATATCTTTTTAAATAAAATGTTTAATGGAATTTGTAATCGGCATAAGATGTATACATATGTGTATAATCTGAAAGTATATATACACACTCTTCTGTGTGTTTGTGAGTGCATTTAAATAATAGATAACAGGGAGGCAATAAGAAATACCTAATAGTCATTAAAAACTCATTTTAAATACAAGCAATTAAAAGTGTCATCTTTCAACAACTATAAAGTTCTTTGAACTGCATAATTTTTAAAGATAACAACCTTTTTTATAATGATTTTAACTGTTCTATGAGCATGCTTTCAGTTTTATTTTATTTTATTTATAAGGTGACAATGGTATGGACTCTGATGTGGAAGAGGAGGCAGATGATGGCTCTAAGATGGGATCTGATGTAGTCAATCAGTAAGTAAAACTTTCATTTTCATTTCAAAATTTCTTTGTTATTCCTTTGGTGATTTCTTACCTCAAGAATGTGATTGTTTTCTGGTGTTTATTTATATGAACCATTTCAACAGTGTAGAAGAATTGATTTGTTTACTTGTAATGATTGGTCATTTTGGTGTATATAAGGATAGAGTTAATTGCTTTGAGGATTAAGATAATTTTCTTAAACTCCTAGTCATAAATATAGGACAACAGCAATGCCACCTTGAAGTGGAATTATGTCTCATTTAGAATTTGCGTATACTGTCAGTGGTATCCACTATATATTAAGTACTTACTCCACCAGGAGTAAATAGCTTAGAACACTTACCTCACTGATTCTTCTGTGTACTGAGCAATGTGCATATTTCTTTTGGAACTTTATGTGGATTTTAGCTTTATCATCATAAATGAAGGAAAAAAATGGAAACTTTTGATAACAGTTTCAATTTTTGAAACTTTTGTCTAAATTTCACGGATGAGATGGTTCATTTTATATTGGTAAAGATAGTTTAATTGTTATAGTGATAAAAAATGCCTAAAATTTTGGGATGCTGACTAATCAAGGAGACATGTGCTATTTTCCCTCTAGATTATTCTATCCTGCCATGATTCATCGAACTTTGACCCACTAATTTTAGCATTCATTGATGATTTTGGCTAATATAATTATTTTTTGTTGTTGCAAAGACTGTTTTGTATCTCTCTGTAAAGAGTGGTAGCACAAATAAGAATAAACTAACAGAGGAAGTACTTCGCATAAATAAGTAGTACATTGGTGAATATACACCCGAGGGGGGGAAGAAAAAAACCTGTATTGTGGGGGTAAAAAAGGAATGTAAAATAACATAATACTAATGGGTAAATGTCACAAAAGACAGACTAGTTGATTTCATGTTAAAACTGTAAAAGCTATCATGTATTCTACTTGAACTGAAGCATTAAAGAACTCTTATTGCTTGGATGCTTCATAATTAGTAATTTTTGGTCATCCCATTTGGACACACGTGGGTGTCATAGGGCGATTTATACTTACCTACGGAATAGAAACTTTACATATTGGTTTCCCTTCAAAATTCTTGGCTTTAAATTATTGTAGTAACTAATCTATTTCAGCTAGTTAATCATTTACAAGGCTTGTCACTTTCTAGCACCTAAAAAATTCTTAAATTATCTAAATTGATCATTTTGTTTCTTGATGTTACTTAGAGAATTCTGAATTGAACTTTTGCTTGATTACACTTATTTTGCCTTTATTCAAATCTATTAATTTTTCCCAGCTTTTGAAATGTTGTCAAGGCTAGTGTTTTTCACACCGAAATACTAGTGTTATCTTTTCTACTTCTAAACCATTTATTGGCTACCCAGTGAGATTAGAAATTTAAATCTTTTATGAGATGTTATGATCTCACAATGTTTGACTTCTTTTCCATTTATCTAATGGAAAAAATGAAGAATAGATTTAAAGTGACTATCATGAAAAAACACTTTGCATGTGCTTATGAGATAGGTCATGTTAACTTTTTTTTTTTTTTTTAAAGATTTATTTATTTATTTGTTTATATAAGCACTGGGTACAGTCAGAAGCGCGGAAGGGTGAGAGAATTCACCAGAGCCAGAGCGGGGAGCAGAGCAGGCAGAGGGACCAAAGTGCACTGCTGAGGGGAGCAGCGGGTGGCAGGAGAGGTCTGCGCTCCATGTGGGACCCTCCTCCGGTGGCCGGGGAGCAGCCGGGGATCAAACCGGCACTGCAGAGGCTGCGGACAGCTTCGCAACCCAGCGCTCAACCACTTTGCCACCGGGGAGGCCCATGTTAACTTTTTTTAATGCTGCAGTGAGGTGATTGAATAGTCACTAATAGTATCAAAAATTGGCTTAATAGCCACTGTTGGTTTGGTAAGTGCCAGATCATTGAGATTCTTTTGAATTATTTGAGAATACAGGCATTTCTCAAAAGAAAAAATAAATTGTTTGGCCAAAGATGCCAAAATAAAAATAAGAGTTAACACTTACTGAGCATTTTATGCCAGACACTGTTCTAATTACTTAATTTGACTTCATTCATTCATTGGATTTGTACAACAGCCATGTGAAGTAGATGGTACTAGCATCATCATTTTATAGATAGAAGAGTAAGGCCCAAAAATGATTTGTGCCCCTGAAAGGAAGAGGATCTGAGATTTTCAGTTACCTTTTGATATGCAGGAGAGGCTTTAGATAGGGAACCTTATTCTCTTCAATGTATTGAGCAAAATCTGAGGCACAGAGTCAAGGCAGTGATTTGTCCTTCCATGCCTTAGGAGGCCTCTTAAGAGGACTCAGTTGGCAGAATCCTTTGTGTTTCATTGGTGTGTTTGATATCTTCCTGTTTGTTTTGTGCTTAGAGTTGATTCAGCACTGTTAATTTTTATACAGGGAAATTGAACTGATGGGCAGACCCACAGAAACCTCCTTCCTTTGCTTAACAGATTGTTGACTAATATATTTGGTGCTTAGTGCTAACAGTTCCCATGTTTTTATTGCATGTTGATTTTCCCCTTTCTGATCGATGCCAGTAGTCTGACCTGTCTGGAATATGAGGGAATAGTCAATTACAGTAAGCAGGGGACGATTATAGGAATTCTCTAACTTGAAATAGGAAATCTAAGTGGAATAAGTAGCACAGGAAGAGTCTGTGGAGCACAGAATTTATAGAATTTATAGAATACAGGAAAGAAAACTTCAGGGAACTAATGAATGAAAACTCTTAAAAAAATACATTTAGAACAAATATAATTTCAGAAACTGAGAAATAATTCTAAATTAAGTAGGTGAATCAATGACGAGATTAGTTATAACTGGACACTTAAGTCATTATCCTGAAAAATCAAGTTGTTTAAATACAAACCAATAGAGAAAAATCATACAATCACAGAACTACAGTTTGTGATATAGTTAGAAACCAGAGTGTATTCAGTTTTTTTTTCTCAATTGCTTTGACTCTGGGGTTTTTTTGTTCCATAGAAATTTTAGAATTTTTTTTTCTGTGAATAATTGGAATTTTGATAAGAATTGCTTGAATTGCTTGGGTTGTACGAGCGTTTTAGCAATATCAGATCATTCCAAGCCATGAGCGCAGAATGTCTTTCCGTTTGTTATATTTTCATTTACTTTGATTAATGTCTTACAGTTTTCAGTTTACAAGACTTTCATCTCTGGTTAAATTTATTCCTAGATTTATTCTTTTTTATAAGATTTTTTTAAAATTTTTTTAGAGGTTTTTTTTGAGGTTTTCTTTATTTATACAAGAACCGGGGTACAGGCCAGATGAATGGGAGGGTGAGAGGATTAGCCAGAGACATAGTGGGGAATAGAACAGGCAGACTGATGAAATACACTGCTGAGTGGAGCAGCAGGCAAGACAGGAGAGGTCTGCTTGCCATGTGGGTTGCTCTGAGGTCAGCCGTGATCAAACCGTCACTGCAGAGGCTGCGGACAGCTTCACAGCTCTGTGCTCAACCGTCTGCACCACCGGGGAGGCCCCCTTGATAAGACTTTAAATGGGGTTATTAATTTTTCTTTCTGATAGTTGTTAATAATGTATAGAAACACAGTAGATTTTTGCGTGTTCATTTTGTATCCTGCAACTTTATAGAATTTGTTTATTCGGAAAGATTTTTGTTGAAGTCTTTAGGGTTTTCCATATGTATTATTAAGCTACTTATAAATAGTGATAGTTTTACTTCTTTCCGCGTGGAGCCCTTTTCTTTCTTGCCTACTATTTTTTTTTAAGACTTTCTTTTTATTTATTTTGTACAAGAATTGGGGTACAGGCCAGATGCACGGGAGGGTGAGAGGATTCACCAGAGACAGAGTGGGGAACAGAACAGGCAGACTGACAAAATACACTGCTGACAGGAGCAGCGGGCATGACAGGAGAGGTCTGTCTTGCCATGTGGGATCCTCCCGGCCAGCCAGAATCGAACTAGCATGGCACTCAACTGCCTGCGCCCCCAGGGGAGGCCCCTTGCCGACTGTTTCTGACTAGGACTTCTAATACTATGTTTAATAAAAGTTAAATCAGAGCGTGTGATAATATCCCTTTGCTCTTCTTCCTCAAGATTGCTTTGCCTCTTTGAGTTTTGAGAATATCTTCGTCTTGCTCCTGGTCTTAGAGGAGAAGTTGTAAGCTTTTTACTACTGTGTGAGATGTTAGCTGTGTGGTTTTGTTATATATGGCCTTTATTATGTTTAGGCATGTTTCCTCGGTTGATACTTTGTTGAGAGTAGTTGTCATATGATATGTCAAATGGATATTGAACTTTGTCAAATTATTTTTATACATCTGTTAAGGGTTGATTTTTAAGCTTCTGTTCATGTGTTGTATTACATTTATTGATTGGATGTTGAACTATCCATCTTTGCATACCTGGTTGATATAAATCCCCTTAAATATGGTGTATGTTTTTTCCCATGTATTTTATTTTATTTTATTTTTTTAAGATTAATGAATTTATTTATACAAGCACTGGGTACAGTCAGAAGCACGGAAGGGTGAGAGAACTCACCAGAGTGGGGAGCAGAGCAGGCAGATAGACAAAATACGCTGCTGAGGGGAGCAGCGGTGTGGCAGAAGTCTGCGCTCCATGTGGGACCCTCACCTGCGGCCGGGGATTGAACTGGTGCTGCAGAGGCTGTGGGCAGCCTTGCAGCCCAGCGCCCAACCACTGTGCCACCAGGAAAGCCCTTTTCCCCTGTATTGTGGAATTTATTTTCCTAACATTTTGTTAAGAATTTTTTTAATTTATGTTCATCAAGAATATTGGCCTGCAATTTTCTTTTTTTATTCTGACATCCTTATCTGGTTTTGCTATCAGAGTAATAGTGGCCTCATAAAAATGAGTTTGGAAGAGTTCTCACCTCTTCTGTTTTTTTCATGTAGTTTAAGAAGGATCAGTATTAATTCTTCTTTGACTGGTAGAAATCACCAGTGAAGCTTT